AAGAAGATAATGAGCTACTAGTACTTGGGGACCAGGTGAGTTCTTGGCATTGTTGAATGTGTAGAAATAATTTGATTATGTTTTGTTGTTTGGTCATGACCAAGGAAATCCAAATAACACATACGCTCAACTACAAGATCACATGATTGCATGTACACACCAGATCATGAGTTCAGACTCAACTCATGCACAGCAACTAAAAGCCGCTAAGTTCATTTCACACGCGCGCTCGGGAAACGGCACATGCTGCATGCATAACATAACACGATGCGCTTCTATCATGAATGTCTGGGTGGCCAAGGAATGCCACAATGTGTATGTAGACGTGAACACTACAGTGCCTGACATCTACAACATAGGAATGTATTAAATGGAATGCAAGTGTTCATGCTCATGTAATGTGGTAGTCTTCTTTGGTTGAATTACGTTCGTGGCTGTTACACGTATTATTACGACCAGCTTGGCTCTCGCGCTACTTCACACGGTACACATGTAGGTCAGAATAAATCAGGGCTTGTGGTCCGAGTCAGAGTAATGTCCAAAGCTGACGTCAGTATTCTAGGCTGACTTTATGCAAGAAGAGACAGAATTATAAACTGGTTGTTTTCTAAACACAATTGTATAGCCCGTGATAACGTGGACATGCGAACTTGACTTGTTTAAGGATCGAATTTCATTGGCGTGTTTCATTTGCGTTTTGTGTTTGAACTGTGTGTTTCCTTCAGCAATTGACATGTATGGTAAGTGGCATGGGTATACAGGCGCACTCTTCACGGAGCAACCACTTGTCTGTGTCGTCTGCAAACGGTCCGATGGCCGGTAATACCCAGTCATTGCCGAACAGTCATACTAGTAACGCACCTGGCCCGGCTCCAACCATCCCAGTCCAGCCGGTCGCCGCAGATTTCCTGCCCGGATCCACGTCCACTGCGCACCCCAGTGTCCGGCAAGAGAACGGGCCCAATGCCAGGAGTTACGACGGGCCCACTGCCAGGAATTACGATAGGCTCACTGCCAGGAGTTACGATAGGCCCGCTGCGATATCCACTGGGCTTGTCCCCGCCAATGTCGTGTTGCCCACTCATTTCGGCTTCAAAGGATCCGCTACTCCGCCGCGTCAGGTGAACACCAGTGGATCCGTTTCATCTCTGGGTACTACATTAGCCTCCAGTACAGATGTGTTGGCTAGTACGGCTTTGACTATAACCTCGGGTGCGAGGCAACCAGTGGCGGCTGCGGTGTCTTCTACAGCGCCATCTCAACCACGGTCGCAGCAGGTTCTTGCTGATCTCTAGCGTGCTATGTGATGTGTGAGTGTGTGCGCGCGCGGACGCGCACACACAATGCCATGTGTTGTGCGGTGTGTGTGTGTGTGCGTGTGTGGTTTGTGTATGTGTGTGTGCGAGCGCGCACAATGTCATGTGTTGTGCGGTGTGTGTACGTGTGTGTGTGCGCACGCGCGCATGCACACAATGCCATGATGAGGGTGAGGGCAGTTTCGATAGTGGATTGGACTGTGAATCGGACAGTGAGTCTGAAAGCTAAGGCTAGTGGACCGCACTATTGAAGTTTTTGAATTGATTTGAATTTGAATTGTACTTTTCAACTCTGCAGCAAATGACAAATACACTACTGCGCTATTATTTACAACATCTTCCATATCGCTCGTTTGCTAAGATCAGCTTATGATCGCTATCACTCTGCCGTTTTCCGGTGTCCTTTGCTTCGCTCGTGCTAGCTCTCTTCCGCTGGTGTTGTCGAGATCGTGTCCCAATAAATGAAATCCTCTCATACGAAAGATCCATGTTTGGGGGTGATTTTGGTCGAATTTTACAACAAATCAATCTGTGCCATCTCTAATCACCATCAATAGGAAATGAACGCTCGGCAAAGGGCAACCATGATCTACGAATCATCGAAATACAAGAACAAATTCACATCGACTGCACTAATTTTCAATAAAATATCGTATCACATGCTGCCAATTTCAATCAAGGAGTCGTAAAATAACGTAAAATAACGACTTCCGTAACGAAACCTAAAATTGGTTCTCCCCAGCTTATGCCCTAGTTCTGGACATGACAACAAGCCGTTTCGACATCCCTAGGACATGGTCTTTCCACCCATGCAAAGCTCAGGTTGTCTGCTTGAGACTGAAACGGGACTTGCAAAACAACGTCTTTTAGATTTGGGCCGCAGGACTAATACTGTTGGTGAACTATGGTGTTCAGTAAGGATACCAAGGCTCACCAAATAGTGGTGGCTTTCTTTAAGAAGTTTCTTACCAATTTATGTATAGCGAGGTGACAAGACCGAGGGCGCTTTTCTCCCTTTTTGTATGGTCGGATGCTAGAATGAAATAGAACTGGGTACTCGTGGTACATTTTATAATCTGTGATCTTTAGTGTGCACTCCATTCATCAGTATACGCAGCGCACTCCATTCGTCAATATACATCACCATGCTGTACTGATCGAGTGTGTTGCACGTTCCTGACTCCGTTTGTTAGTCTCTGGACGTGCACTCATGATTGCTTGGTGTTATGTTGTTGTTGTTGGAGAACAAAGAACAAAGACGGGATACGTACTATAGAAATGATCCTAGTGAGTACGTTGTTGTTGTTGTTGTTGTTGTTGTTGTTGTTGTTGTTGTTGTTGTTGTTGTTGTTGTTGTTGTTGTTGTTGTTGTTGTTGTTGTTGTTGTTGTTGTTGTTGTTGATGTTGTTGAATTCTTTATTCTCACGATGGCACCATCGCCAATAAGAGATGTTGTTGTTGTTGTTGTTGTTGTTGTTGTTGTTGCAGTGAACAAGGCTGTAGCACTAGTTGGTAAGGCAAAGAAGCCCGTCATCGTACTCGGCAGTCAAAGCACACTACCACCCACTGATCCAGCGGCCCTGGCCAACGCCCTTACGGTATGTGTCAGTCTGTCAGATACCACACAGTACCACACATTGACAACAACAACAACAACGTACACTGTGTTGTGCAATCAAAACAGGATACTTGTCACCCCGAACCATAGCACAGGGCCTCATCTATGAATGTTAGAGTTTCACTCAGACTGAATATTTCCGCGTCCATAAGAACACCACCACCCTCGCGGATTAAGGCGCAGATGCAGCTCCTGATTAGTTAGAACATTAGTTAGTAAGTCACAGTGCGTGATCTACAACGCTTGCTACAGCTCTAGGGCTATTTGTATTTCAGAAATACTACCCGCAACAGAGGTCTGTTGGCATGATGCACAGTCTAGACTGGTCAGAGATTTTTGTCCATTGCTCTTTGGGTAGTGCTTTTTCAACTACACTACCGCTAGAATACATACAGCTCGACCGTTACATCACGTGACATTAGTTTTCGTCATCCATGTGCCTTATTAGATCAAACCCATACAGAGTTGCACGCTCTTTGCAGTTTGTTTACTGACGGTGCAATCGCACGCGGTGAACCGGAACAATGTGTCAAAGTTGTTAATGTATATAGATGTTGCAAGCATGATAGGAAACGATCAGTGGGCGCCTGAACATAAGTATTCCATGTGTTTTGCAGCTTGCACAGCACTACTGTGCATGCAATTGCATGTGAGGTGAATCTGGGATGTGATTGTTACAATTGTTGATGTGTGGGTGTGGTGTGTTTGGATCTACAGTCCATGGGCATCCCATGCTTTCTGGGTGGTATGTCCCGTGGCCTGCTGGGCAGGAACTCGCCAATTCACATCAGACAAAGACGCCGTGATGCACTGAAGGAGGCTGACGTTGTTATTCTAGCTGGTAAGGCCGGGTGCATTCTAGCAGTGATTCTGTATGTATGTGATATAGAAGTTTACCATACCCTAACCTATCTCAAGCAGGCTCGATATTGGTACTCAATTATGCGTACTTTCGGAGTACAGTGAAATAAGTCTCATGCTGGCCATGGGAAGGTGCAGAATATATAGAACATGAAACAACAGCTCTCTCTCTCTCTCTCTCTCTCTCTCTCTCTCTCTCTCTCTCTCTCTCTCTCTATCTGTCTCTGTGTCTCTCTCTCTGTCTCTCTCTATCTCTCTCTCTCTGTGTCTCTCTCTCTGTCTCTCTCTCTTTCTCTTTCTCTCCTTTAATACGTCAGTGGTTTATTTGGTGTTGTTATCGCTGTTCTTATTACAGGTACTGTGTGTGACTTCCGTCTCTCTTACGGACGTGTGCTGAGTGGCAGATCCAAGATCATCTCCGTCAACAGGAGTAGAGAGCAGATGTTGAAGGTGTGTAAACTAGTATTGTGTGCGCATGTGCATATATGTACATGCCGGCTGGGTGTTGATTCTAGTGGTCGTTTTGTGCGAGCATAAGCCACTGTACCTGTGCTATGTGCAATAGAGATAGTGCGACTGCCATTATCGGGTATGCTTTTGTGTGATTTGGCAAACCAGTGCATGTGGTGTCATTCCAATGATTCCATACAACACACCTCTAATAACATTAGGGAGGTTTCGCTATACGGAATTACGTATGAAAATAACGTAGGAACTGCACGGAATTTTCATACGTAAAAATCAGAGCTGTTGGGTTTCGCTCTACGTGATTTCTCCACGACTGCTAAACATGCGTTGTTGCTTTGGAGACGCGTTGGCTGCATGCGCCCACCGCATGCACCATGTACCGAAACCGCGTTTTCCATTTTATTTTGCATGTGGTGTACGGTGTGTGTACCTTGTGTTTCGCGCGGCTTGAACGTTGCCATGGACAAATGCGGAAAATGCGAAAAAATATTTCAAAATGTCCTACGGAGGACCCAACGTAGGAAAGAGCTTTCCTACGGAAATCCGTAGAGAGATTTACGTATGAAAGTTGCCCTCGCTCCCCGGCGCGTACGACATACGGATTTTCATACGTAATTACGTAGAGCGAAACCTCCCTATTGTCTTTATTGTCTTTGTTTTAGCTCACCCCTCTTCCGGTACTTTTATTGTCTTCGTCTTAGCTTCGAGTTCTCTTCTCCTCCCTTTCCCTGCAGAACACCGACATGTTTTGGAAGCCTGCCCTGGCCGTGAATGGTATGTCCTTGCTGGCAATGCTGTCGTTTGTTCAATGGTGTGACCTTTTTGTCTGCTGTGCAAAGGAACTTGTTATATTACCGCACAAACCAGATCTGTTGACCTCCGGGTTTGACTCGAGGGTACTGAATAAGCAAGGGGTGGGGGGGGGGGGGAGGGGCACACCGGAGGTGCAGAGAGGAAAGGATGAAGTGACTGTGGACATGCGGATATTCTTTGTTTCGAATATGAATGTGTATCCACAACTTTTCACTTCAAGCAACAGTGTGCTGTAGTTACTAGTTACCCAGAATAACTGACATGCTGACCTATACACTACTTGTACAGTGCAGAGTTGTGTGATGCACTGCTAATTTAGACTGACAGCTGAGCATTGCCATTCTGGCACCAACCAGTCATCACTGCTTTAGACTGACAGCTGAGTGTTGCTGTTCTTGCACCAGCCATCACTTTGTTAGCATGCCCAATTTGTGCATGTGTGGCTGCTATTTTTTGCAGTCTGGAAATAACCTCTGCGTCATGTGCTAGATACTTCACAGTACATCTATGTTGACAGCCACGGGGTGCTAACATGTGACTTTTTAATTTGTTTTGCCTGCGGCAATGCAGTACATTCCACTCTCAATGAATAACTCTCTCATTCCTGGGTACCACATTGCATGACTTATCGTGCGATTGCATGACTACGGGTGCTGTCCGCATACATAGAAGTGCATGCTGTTCAGATTGCAAACTATGCTGCTTATCGCGAGCGTGTGAGTTGAGACAACTTGAAAGCGTGTGACTTATTGCGGGTAGACTTTGCAGTATGCTTGTTGCGTTCACGCCTCTGCTACTCCCGCAGTGCTGTATATATCCTAGTGTGTGCTTGCTTATGCCCTCTTTGCAACTTTGAGCTTAGTCCTTGTGCAGGTGTAGGTGTAGGTGTATGATTGTGCTGTGTATCTTAGACTTGCTAGTTACTGTAAAAGCCACTATTCTAACGAGGCGCATATATAACGATTTCCCAAAATTGACTAGTTTACGTGTACCAAAGGTAACGATTCTCACTCATTCTCAACGCTCAATACGACAGTAAATGTATCGATTTCTGTATAACGATTTCTATTTTAACGACAGATTTATCCTCGTTAACTCGTTAGAGTTAGCACTTCGTTATATATATGGCTTTTACAGTACTCAGTTCATAGTTTGAAAAAGCCAATAGTGCTGGCTCAGACTCACAGTATCTGCTTTTCCTGGCTCTCTCTCTCTCCTCCTCCTTCTGTCCTTCTGCCTCTCTTTCTTACTCACTCACTCACTCACTCTCTTTTTTTCTGTCTTTGTATTGGCTATTCACTAATAAGGAAAGAGTGGCAGATGGAACTATTGCATATGATTTTATGTCTGGGTCCGCAGTCCAGAGTCCAATCTCCCTCGAATGTGATGTGATTGTTATTGCATTGTTTCAACTATTGCAGCGGATCCTGCCAGTTTCCTCGTCAGCCTGTATGAGATGCTGGGGACATCTTATCATTGCGATCCGGAATGGCCAAGGGAGCTGAAGGCACGCGACCAAGAGAAAGAGGATCTAAATGTGTATGTACTCGTACATGCATATTGTGGTATCCGCTCCTCTTTTATCGGGTTCTGTCTCCGAGAGCTTGTTGTGTGGTCGGTCTACTTGTAGCTGACGGTCATTGTCTATGCTATGTACACTGGTTCATACACTTAGAGGTATGTGTAACGTCAATGTATGAAGTGAACCCAACAAGTGATCCCCACCACATGGGAGTAGGTACCAACACTACATGTGTGTGTGTGTGTGTGTGTGTGTGTGTGTGTGTGTGTGTGTGTGTGTGTGTGTGTGTGTGTGTGTGAGATTGTTTGTATGGGAGTGTGTGTGTTTTGTTTGTTTGTTTGTTTGTTTGTCCATCCTGGTCTACATTAATAGTTTCTCCTTTGTCTTGTTGTTGCAGCAAGAAAGCAGCGAAGATGACGGATAAGCACTTGAATCCACTGAAGGTGCTGATGGAGCTGGAGGAGGTGATGAGTGAAGATGCTATCATGGTCGCCGATGGTGGTGACTTTGTAGGCTCTGCAGCATACATTGTCAGGTGAGGGGGAACGTGATACTGGGGGGGGGGGGGGGGGGGGGGGTGTATAAATGTAATTTTACGTGTACTATAAGGGGCCGTCCGTAAATATTGATGTTTTTTTCAAGACGATATTTGTTCATTTCTCCCCAGACCCCCTCCCTCCCCCCTCAAAACGAACATACACATGTTTATGCAAGGGATCGATATGTTTTAATGAAGTTCAAATTCCTCATGAAACGTGACCAGCTGCCACTCTAATTTCACCATACACGGTAACACCTATAAAATATGTAGGTTTATATTGCCACGGTCGCACAGCCTTGCCATGGCTATGCTCACGAGGTTGACTTTCACTTTGTGTAGGCCATAAACTACATGACTGTTCGAACAGCGCCCGTCCATAGATAAAGTCGATTTTTTTCTGCAAAGACGAGACGAACAGGGCCCAAACCCCCTCCCCCCCCCCCCCCCCCAAACGAACGAATATCTTCTCTAAAAAAACATCGATATTTGTGGACGACCCCTAAGTCAACAAATATTCGGCGCATATTTATTTTCGGCTATTTTCGGCCTGGTCATGTTTGGCCGAAAATTTGTTTTGCAAGGTTCCGTGTGACTGTGTATACAGGCAGCAGCAGTACGGGCCGAAAAATTAAGGCGGCTGAAATGGGCTTTAGCCCTGGGAGACCGAAATTTAAAGAGGAAGTTAAGGCAAAAATTAAAATTTCACCAGTTGTAGTCTTCGGGGTGCTGAGTCGAATGGTCTTGGTCCGAGAAAGCTGAGCCGCTCCCTTCCTACTTGAATCCCAATCGAACTCGCGCACTTCCACCGAAACTGGGTGACTGCGCCCTACTAGATGGGGATTTGTATGCAAAATGTCACTAAAAGCGCCATTTCGTTCTTATAAAAGCACGGATGACCGCGATTGGCCCATATGTTGTAGTCTTTTGGACGCTGAGTCGACTGGTTTTGGTCCGAAAAGGCTGCGATGCAGCGTTCCTCCTTTATTCCCAATCGAACATGGTTGAACAAGCGGTCACGTGCTCCTGGGTGCCCAAATCACCTGGTCACCACGCCAGCAGGCGACAACTTTCACACCAAGGTTCAACTCGAGTTCAACTCGAGTGACAGGACTGCACCCAAAAAAGGTCAAACAGGCTAGTGAGTTGTACCCAGCAGGCACGGTGACCACCACGTACCAGGTGACTGGCGTACGCAGGAGCACGTGACCGCTTGTTCAACCATGTTCGATTGGGAATAAAGGAGGACCACGACCATTCGACTCAGCACCCCGAAGACTACAACTGGTGAGATTTTAATTTTTGCCTTAACTTCCCCTTTAAATGGGCCGAAAATTTGTCGACTTACAGTATTTAAATTTCGGTCCTAGGGACCTGCCAGGTTTCAGGTGTAGTGTAGAATTAGGTGACCAGCCTAACCTTCACATACAGTGCCTTTTAGGTGTTATGTAAAATTAGGTGCCTGAGTTCTCTACTTAAATTAACGAAATTAAAATTACACCGAAAATAACATGATACTGTAAATATACAAAATTTCGGCACTTCACGATTTTTGGCGTGGAGTAGAGGGCATGGTATAGTGCGACAGATGCTGTGAAAAATTTCATCGGCGTTTTAATTTAGGCGTTTTGGGTCGGTGCCGAATATAGCCGAAATTAAATAGCTGCCGAAAATTTGTATATTTACAGTCAGACCTCGTTTATTCGGTCCTCGTTTATCCGGATCCCTCGCCATCCGGAAGAAAATCGTTGGTTACTGATTTACAGCATATGTCATGTATACATACAGTGTGCGTGTCCGATTATCCGGTTCCCTCGCCTATCCGGATATTTTTGTGGAAAACAGATGTGTGCGGTTACGCGAGGTCTGACTGTATACAGTACTGAGTTTAAGGGATGTGTTCTGTATACATTCCACTGTTACAGTCTCTCCATCCATCTGCATATCAAGATAACAGCATGCAATGTTTGCTGTGCATGGCGTGCATGAACACCTCCATACTTCTTACATGTGCACTGTAACCGACTCACATTTCTTGTCTTTCCTTTGTGCCCCCTGCCAGACCACGTGGCCCACTGCGCTGGCTGGACCCCGGTGCATTCGGAACTCTCGGCGTCGGTGCCGGCTTTGCCCTGGGTGTGAAGCTGTGCAACCCGGATACGGATGTGTGGACCATCTTTGGTGATGGTGCACTGGGCTACAGCTTGATTGAGCTGGACACGTTTGTGCGTCACAAGGTTAGTCGGCAGCTGGCTGTGTAAACGTTAACAGCCTGTCAGTACTTGTACATGAATCACAGCAGGTCTGGCGGGCCCCAGCGTCTGCTCTAGGATTTCAAACCAACCGGGTACACGCGTACCTGGCACAACTCTAACGTTAGCAAGGTACTACTGCAGGTTTTGAAACAGAATGAAGCAAGATGATTGCCGGGCATGTGAGCATGTACCGGTATGTTGTCTGTGTTGCGCTCCTGTGATCTTCATGTTTGTTGTTCTGCTGCTGTGTTTGCTTGTAGGTGCCCATCGCAGCAGTGGTCGGTAATGACGGTGCCTGGACACAGATCATGAGGGAACAGGAGCCCATGTTCAAGAGCAATGTCGGCTGTCAGCTTACGGTGAGCTGCAGCAACTCATTTTCCTTGCTCAAGTCCAGTCTCATTGGATTTTCATGATTGTGTGATCGTGACTGTTTGAAACCAAAGGTGGCTATTGACAACTTCTTGTTTGGCGAGCAAAGGGACACATGCATACAGTTACTCTTAAAGGGGAAGTTAAGGCAAAAATTAAAATTTCACCAGTTGTAGTCTTCGAGGTGCTGAGTCTAATGGTCGTGGTCCGAGGAAGCTGAGACGCTCCCTTCCTACTTGAATCCCAATCGAACTCGCGGACTTCCACCGAAACTGGGTGACTGCGCCCTACTAGATGGGGATTTGTATGCAAAATGTCACTAAAAGCGCCATTTCGTTCTTATAAAAGCACGGATGACCGCGATTGGCCCATATGTTGTAGTCTTTTGGACGCTGAGTCGATTAGTTTTGGTCCGAAAAGGCTGCGATGCAGCGTTCCTCCTTTATTCCCAATCGAACATGGTTGAAGAAGCGGTCACGTGCTCCTGCGTACACCAGTCACCTGGTCACCGTGCCTGCAGGGTACAACTTACTAGCCTGTTTGACCTTTTTTGGGTGCAGTCCTGTCACTCGAGTTGAACCTTGGTGTGAAAGTTGTCGCCTGCTGGCGTGGTGACCAGGTGATTTGGACACCCAGGAGCACGTGACCGCTTCTTCAACCATGTTCGATTGGGAATAGGGGAGGAACGCTGCATCGCAGCCTTTTCGGACCAAAACCAGTCGACTCAGCGTCCGAAAGACTACAACATATGAGCCAATCGCGGTCATCCGTGCTTTTATAAGAACGAAATGGCGCTTTTAGTGACATTTTGCATACAAATCCCCATCTACTAACGCGCAGTCGCCCAGTTTCGGTGGAAGTGCGCGAGTTCGATTGGGATTCAAGTAGGAAGGGAGCGTCTCAGCTTCCTCGGACCACGACCATTCGACTCAGCACCCCGAAGACTACAACTGGTGAAATTTTAATTTTTGCCTTAACTTCCCCTTTAAATTGTATCCATATGTCCCTTTCCTTCCTTGTGTAGCGGGTTATTCATTTCCCATGCCGTTCTAATCGTATGGATAGTTGGGACTTGGCGTAGAATTGTAGCAGCAGCAGCGCGTGGTGACGCTCCCTGCAGAACAAAGTTGGTTAACGTTACTGGTGTGAGATGACATGTGTTTTGGTGTCTCATGACTTGTGTGCGTTGATTGTTCAGCACAACGCGTATGAGCAACTGGCTGATGGTTTCGGTGCACAAGGTCTGCTCCTGGATCGCTCCTGTAACGATACAATAACACTTGTACTGAAGTCGGCGCAGAAGGCAATGCGCTCCGGCAAGCCTGCCTTGGTCAATGTGCTCATCGGACGCACCGACTTCCGCGATGGCTCCATATCTGTGTAAGCGCTCGCAGAACCTGTGACAGTGATGAAACGACTCATGACGTTGCTGTGGATTGTTTGCACTCGTTCACACTCATACTGTGGTCTGGGACACTTTTTTTGTTTTTTTCTGTCCTTCCTGATTTCACCTCACTTCTATTACTTCAGTTGTTGTACTTGCTGTCAAATGTCTGATGTGAGGAGCTGCACATAAGCGGGCTTAGTGCTCGCTCTCACTAGAATTATTTTTGTTTTACTTTTTTTGCAGAGATGATATCACATTCCTTAGCTGAGCTCGGTCCCTTTTGTCTTCTTCCGTACTTTTTTTACTCGTTCATTTATATGACGTCGGTACCTCTAAGTACCCTGGCTTTCCACATTTGAATTTACAGGAAATTTATGCTAACAAATTCTGTGCTTGAAGCACACAAATTCACCGTATTTGCTGAAGAACATTTATGATGCAACCTGTTGACTGACATGCTACATAAATAGATACCCCTTTCCCCCTGCACACAGCGGAAAGGAAAGGCACTGGGAGTGAGAGCGACAAAACAACTCTTCAGGTACAATAAATATCCCAGAGGATATTATAATCTTGAACGTGGAAAAAGCTGCCAACTTAAACCGAACAATGAATGTGGCTCAAAACAAGCAGGTATATCATGATAAGTAACAAATATAAAACAAGAAGGGGGGGGGGGGTATGTTGATAATACAAGATCAGTAGTCAAAATGCAGTAGAAAATCCGATTTGGTTCACTCGAGGGGGGGGGGGTGACTAACACGACAAGAAGACGGCAACGAAGAGATAACAAAACGGAGCACAAGCGCTGAGAATTAGTAGCGCTTGCGATTATCTGCACAGGCAGCTGGCTAACCTACAAGAAGATATAGAACAATGCACTGTTGCTGCACTCGCAGTAATTGTTGCGCAGTATACGTCGTGGACTGCGAGAGTGGCGAGAATTCTAGGTACCTGTTTGCTACGTTTTTTGGGCACACTCGCATGTGCGGCTTTCAAGTGCCAGGTCTACGCGCTGCCGGCCCTAAACCTAGTTAATGCATAATTGCGCAGCTGCAGTAGCCAACTATCCTAGACTAGTGTATGTACATGCACACGCCACACCAGCGGGGGTTAGATCAAGGGTATGGGTATGGAGGCAGTTGCGGCGGCGGCGGCAGTATTTACAAGCGCTATCAAACAAATAACATTGTTAGTATTAGTCATTCAGTATGTACCACTACCATGGACTGCCGGCTTTTTTTCTTTAGAAATGTAGTCTCAATGCATTGTGCACAATCAAGGCTGCTATTCCTTGCGCGGCGTTCGTATTTTTGTTGGAGTAAAAAGAATATGAATTTTAGGATTTCCTGCAGCGTAGTCTGTCCACTTATCGTATCGGCGACCAGTTATTCACTACCGACGGTGCGGCCTGCAAGAGGACACACAGAGAGTGACACGATATAGGCAAGCTGAACAGACCAGTGAACAGAAAAGAAGTCCTCTGCAATGCACACACACATTCCAGTGTCTAGCCATTCTACACATGGCCACGAACAAGAAAAAGTCATTCAAGAACGAGCACGGCTCTTGACAATTGCTAAAGGCACACCCATGGTCGAGAACAGCCAAGGAGACACAGCGGCAGCCTGGGCTACAGTCACTGAGCGCCTGGCACATTTCAGCCTAGTTTATTGCGCTTGCCAGTTGCCCAAAACACTGCGCCGCTGAATGTGAGGGTGATTCTGTGCTTTATTGGTCAGTAGAATAGTCAGCGAAATGCCATGAGCTGTTGTGCGTCTTACCTTGATGGTCTTCCGAGGCTCAAAGACTTTCCAGAAGCGTAGCGTTTCATCTCCAGCACCCGTGACAATAGACTCGGCGTCCGGTGACAATGCCTATACGCACATACAGGCACAGGAACAGACACACACACACACACACACACACACACACACACACACACACACACACACACACACACACACACATACACACACATATGCAAATGCACACACACACACACACACACACACAAACACACACACATGCACAGAGACACACAGACAAACAATACACACATTGACCTTGACCTTAACCTTGCCCATTGCGTAGCAATGATAGTGTACTGTCGTTTCTCCAGTCCATGGTAGAATGACTGATGGCATTTCAGGTCGCCGCTTTGAGGGAACATGCGGCCACAGGTGCAACTGTAGCTGGCAGCAGAGGGTGCCCTGGGTGGTCGATGGGCAATGGTACGCCACTCCGGATGGTTCTGGGCCGCATCGTATCATCAACATAATGGTACCGACGGCTCAACTGACGCGAAGTCATCCACAACGATGTCCCTCCACCTCTTGCATGGACCATGCACGCACGCATGCACGCACGCACACACGCACGCACACACACACACACACACACACACACACACACACACACACACACACACACACAAACGCACGCATGCACGCACACACGCACACACACAGACCGGACTGACTGGTGCACTCACCATGTATAACACACGATACGTGTGTCCAGACAGGCGAGCCAGCTCTTGCATGTGTGGAAATGTCCACACACGAATGAAATTCTGCGAGTAGCCATGGCTGCTGACCTGAACAAGAAAACAAAACAAACAGCAGAAGTATGTTTTATTGAACAAAGTACTCCATACGAACATCACTACCAACTGCAAACGATTTACATTAAATCTTTAAAGAGCACACAGCACATAGGGGTAAATAGTTTTGAAGCTACACGCTGCATGACTAGGGCGTTAGCACTAATAGTTGAAGGAGGTGGCTGCTCCTAACGTTGTAGGTTGCGCTTCCTTGCTACACAAGTTACTACAATACAGTGTTGGGGCCCGGAACGTCTTCTTACCAGTTCATTGCTTGTTGTTGAGAACAAAATATTGCACACCTTTGGGTGGGGAGAGCACACCAGCATAGAGAAAAAGCAATGTTAATCATTAGTATGTTATAGTAGCAGCACATGTGAACAGATCCTTCTATGGCCAGAAAGAAAGCCAATTAGGGGTCGTCCGTAATTATCGAAAAATTAAAAAATCCGTCCTCGTGCAAAATTGTCTCTGAAACACCCACCCACCCCCCATTTTTTCCCATTAATTTTTTGATTTTTACCAGCTCGAAAATAAGAACTCCTGACCCCATGTTCACTGATTGCATCTTGTACATGTACATGTACATGTATGTCAAGTTCATGTACATTGTAGTAGCTAAAATGTCAAAAGTACTAGTAGCGTGAGTGAGTGAGTAGGAGGTCTACCGACGGCCATGCACGTCCTACAACTACATCTACATGTACATGAAGAGTCATGTACCGGAATATCATACTGGTGTTTGCGATCCTACACTACGTCTACAGACACTACATGTCAGTGCAACAAGTGTACCAAAATCACTGAAGAAAGAAAGAAAAAAAAAAAAAAGGTATGAAAAATCAAAAAATTAAATTCCGCCAGCGCTCTTGACCACCCACCCCCTTTCTGCCTGAGGACGGATTTTTTAATTTTTCGAAAAATACGGACGACCCCTTACTAAGCCATCCAAAAACCATGTTCAGCAACAAAGATAACATCCCAGCACAAGCCCAGAGCATCTCCCTACCAGGATCCCCAAGACCACCTCTCTCAAGAGTCAAGACCACTTCTCCCTAGACCCCCCCCCCCCAAACTGCTAACTGTTAGGTAATCCCATACATTGCTAATGACGGATAGACTACAACACCAATTGTGTAGGGCAAGACCAACAAGTGTAGATTCTACTTCAAATAAGTACATGGATGCAAGTAAAAAGGGAGAGCTGCTGCTAGCTAACCTGAGAACCCGTTTTCACACAGCTCAGCTCTGCGCCAGTCAGCGCGTTCCAGAAACGAATGCACTGGTCCGCTGTCCCGCCTCCGGTCGCAATGACTCCGTGCTAACAAAGTACACCAGCACATGCACACGCACACCATGGATACACACACAACATGTACACAATATAGAACGTCCGCAACATGCACACACACACACACACACACACACACACACACACACACACACACACACACACACACACACACACACACACACAACACGTAGACACACACAACACGTAGACACACATGTACAATGCAAAAGAGCAATAGGAGACGACATCAGGCCACAGTACCTACAGAATCAAGGAGAAAGTAGACTGCTAAAGGCATCCACACAGCGTATTCCAACAGCACATACATCACAATCAAGACTAATGACCAATATGCCAATATGCCAAACACTTTGATCCATGCTGCACAGCAGCTAAACAGGAACAGGCATAACCAGGAAAACTAGACTCCAGGAGTATTGACACACACCACACAGACAACAGACAAACGTACATGTACATACACACACCACACACACACGCCCACGCAAACCCCCAGCAATCACTCTCAAATAGGCCTAGGCAGGGACAAACCTGATAGGGTGACCATGCCACCGCCTTCACGGCTGCTACATGCGATTTGTACGTAAATGTGGGCTTCTCGGAGTGCAGCGTCCAGATATTGCACTGTACAGAGCAACGCAAACATACTACCAGTATTCAACAAGAAACTTTGTCAACAGCAGCACCAGCAGCACAGATGATACGAGAGACCATTCGATGACGGAACAAGCACAACTGCGGCTGAACATGCCCACCAAACGTGTTTGTGAAGCGGGTACTGGCAAGATTGATCATACTGCACTGTCGGAAATTCTATGCACTGGTATATTATACAGTGCATAGGACTTTCCGACAGTGCAGTATGATCAATCTTCACTTAAATACACGCAGCAGGCAGCACAATTGTGGCTACAGTATTTCCAAAACCTGTTCACCTACCGTATTGTCGTTGCCCCCTGATGCCAGGTAGTTGCCGTCTGGTGACCACTTCAGTCCGCACACCTCCTGGTTGTGCCCGTTATAGTAGCGCGTTGTACAGCACCCTGGTTGCCTGCAATAGTGAAGTGTGCACATGAACACCATCAACCATCACCAGTATGGTATTCAACAGGCAATGATGCCTTCTTGCCAGGCAAGAGCTGGCACAGTATGATCACAAAAAACATCGTCAAGTCGTTGAAGCTGTAGGTGCTGCTAACGCACACATGCACATGCAGTACTTGCTCAAGGGAAGTCCTTACCGAATGTCGTTAACTGTGAGCGTACCATCGCGGCTTCCTGATGCCAGGACGGACTTGTTCCACGCAAGTGAAGCTACGGATAGATATGACACGGAGCAGAAGATACAAGCGGCGAGTTACGGAGTAATTACTATGACAGTACATGTACATTACGAGGTGTCACACAGAAAATCAGGACTCACTACACAATACTGCATTCGGTGAAAGGAAAATAATTACGTGTCCGGGGAAGACAACCGGAGAAGATGTGTTTATCAGGAGAGAGAGAGAGAGAGAGAGAGAGAGAGAGAGAGAGAGAGAGAGAGAGAGAGAGAGAGAGAGAGAGAGAGAGAGAAGAGAGAGAGCATCACAGGCAACACAACAGCTCTGATGTTCAGACGTACGGACTCTTGATGAATGCTTCGAGATTTTCCTCAGCAGCTTAGTCTGGTTCACATCCCACAACTCTATTGCGCCACTCGAGTTACCCACAGCCAACGTATCACCCTAGAGCCAATGCAAACACATATACATAATGTATTCATTAGTTTGAGGGAGTTGCAAACGGGACATACAATGTATTATGTCTGAATATATATGTGTACACATACACTGTACACATATGGCCACGTATGCATATACACACACACGTGCACAGATGTGCACACACTCACACCCACCCACCCACATACACACCCACATACAGGGCCAGGATGGTTCAACGAAATATTCGCACGGAGTTTAAAAAAGAGAAAAAAATCAGTGAGTCCGCCGAAAGAAAGGCAGCAAATCCGGGAGCAAGACCAGTGCAGCAGATCACTCAGAAGTGCATCATACAGTACGGAACCCAATCATGTGTAGATAATTACCAATTACTTGTACATGATACATGTATTGTGAAATTTCCCAGCACGAACTTACCTCTTCATTGAAAGAAACAGCTGTTACCAGATTGTCTGCACGGTGTCGAGCCAACTCTAATAACTTCGATACCTGCCAGCACACAGAACACAGCCAGAAGAAGACCAATGAAAGGGAACCGTATCAAAACTAACTTTTGACTGGGCATGCATGCAGAGGATCAAACAGGCCAAGTACAGAAGGACAAAGGCACAACAAACTGCACGTGAGGTGTATGCAGACACGATAGGTCAGTACCTGACTCTATACACACACACACTCCAGTACCTGTCCGGTAAGGCCATTCCACAGATAGATAGATGGACCCAATGCCACCGATAGAAGGTTGGTCTTGGACCAGTCGAGAAGATTGAGGTAGAAGTCATCCTGCCACAAACAAAGCAGAGATAGGAAAGAGCTACATCGCCAGGCAGCTACCTAAATGCACAGGTTGAGCCAACACACTTCACACCCGAGATGCTAACTTCACACCATAGTGGATAGCTAGCAAACAACAGAACAATGTCAGGCAGTGGCAAGAATCTCGCCCTGACACAACACACATCCATCATACATGTACTAGTAGTGGATAGATTAATCTGCTACAGTGTTGCAGGTTTTGATCACACACAGGCACGCATGCACGCACATACAGGCACTGACAAGATTCTTTACATTATCCACAGGTGAGAATACATAGAGCGCTGCTCAATGAAATCCGATCGTGTGAGACATCTAGCGCCGAGCACTGCGCGGCCCCAGACCTGCAGGCACTGGGCTGAGACTGCTGCAAGGTGCTAAATGGTTCATTACCTGGATTTCATTAAGCATGACTGCACTGTACCATACCAAGGAAGTTCAGAACCACGCACGAGGTCAATGGTGATAGCATATGAGACTTGTAAAGAGAAAAGGATCTATAAGTTATTAGGTATAACTAACAGTTCACCAAGGTAACCAAGGTAACCAAGGTAACCAAGGTGACGAGATAATCTACAGTCAGATAGTGCGACAACAAGGCACAAAACCTGACAAAGATACTGAGACATTCGACGACCTGACACCTAGTTCCAACACATCTACGAAGCGCAAACCAACAACCTTCCAACTTGGAAGGCTCTGGTGCAGAAGGATCCAATGAGGGGAAGGGAATGTCTCAATATCCTTGTCAGCGTTGTGCCTTGTTGTCGCACTATCTGACCGTATATTATCTCGCTACTTTGGAGGACTGTTAGTCCTAACAGTAAGTTATAGGTCCTTTTCTCTTTACATATTACTATTGGCTCAACAACCGCACTGTACATATGAGACTACAGTGTACTTGCTAATCCATGTTGTAACAGGTGCATTGCCCAACACACCATCAACTACCCACCTGCAACTCGGGTGCATCCAGGACTTTGTGCGGCGCTTCGGGAATACAACGATGGGACTAAGAACAAAGCACACCAAAATAGCACATGCCCAAAACACGGGAGTCAACAACGAAAAGGTAGCACTTTTAACACTGCGTTTCTCAAGGCGAACAATACCATAGCGGCAAGAGTAGAAAAACAAGAGACAACATTAGCCAGGTGCAGGCTGTCGTAATAACATGACTCGACCGTCTTCCTTCCCCGTGCATGGTCTATGCATGGTGCGACGGCACAATGAGAGTCGTCGCAAATCACACTGTGTGTTAAACGTGTTTATTGGTGATTCCTGGTTAGTTGCTGGGTTTCCCTACTCAAAGATGTTGCCACCGCGAAGTCAGGGATTTCGTCTGCTCCCTGGCGAAAGCCGTGTTTTGATCCGTTGAGGGAGACTGGAGATACATTGCGAAGACGTACGATCTGTCTGGCAAGTGGCAAAGAAGAAAGCTTCGCAGACGACCCGCCGTGGAAGGGAACAGAATGGAACATATACCAGTCAATGTCTGTCATAGTAGGGATGGCTGCTACGAAGTTTTAGCCCCAATACTCCCCAGCGATTTTTAGCAAAAGGGACGATAATTACCAAATTTCATTGATTTTGCATATGGACCATATGTATAGCAAGCATAGTCTCCTGAGTCTTCTCCAGTCTAGCTGAGAGTCTGGCTGCCAAAACGTTTAGTCCCGAAAGGAGAACATGCAGGAGCATCGCATGCAGCTGTATTCTGCCTCGAGGAAGAGAACAAGAGCAAGATTCGCAACAAGTTGAACAACTCGCACCCATCACGCAAGGTGCCACACAAGAGCTTCACAATAAACCATGTCGGAGACAGCAAGCAATGGGACGACCTGCAGCAACGCATATTGCCAAGTTACAACAGAACGCGCAACATCACAAAGCGTTAATGTCGGCGGGAGCACGCATTGGAAGACGCAGCCCAACAAGTACGCATTCATCAAGAGCAGCAGGAAGACAGAAAGCAAGAAGCGCAAGCTTTGATAGCAAAGTTGGATGACACAAGTAAAGATTTAATGAGGTTGAAGGAGAAACAGACCGAGCTCGCTCAGCATCTGCGCAATGCCAAGAGAATGAGCAACTACTGGAAGAAAAAAGCAGCGGTACCAGTACAATCATCTGTAACAACCGAAAACGAGTTAGAGACGGCACAGCAAGAAGCAGCAAAGCTTTTGCAAGAGGTAACCCAGCTAGAGGAAGGACTGGCAGACAATGATGACAACAGTAGTATGTGTCGGGGGCGGGTTTCCGAGTAGACACATGCCCCAGCCCAAATGGGGTATGATACGGCACCCCAGAAGGTTCGACATGACGCCACTCGCTGCAGCCGAGTATATTTGTGAGAGTCACCGGACTGGTGTTGAAGGTGAAAGATGAGAAACAGCACCTTCCGAAGATCATCATCAGTGGTGTCGAGGACTTCGGCACTGTAAGCAACGCAGATGATGGTGTGATAGTCCGAAGATGGGTTGATGGAAGGCACTCTTTCTATAAGCTCAACGAATTGCGCGACGATGAATGTTCACAGGATATGGTTGATATCTTCACAGATGCCACATATTCGGATGCAAGTGATATCATGAAATTGATCGATGATGTGAATCGCAAAGAAGTGTACAGAGCCGATGACGCGAGTGTACGTCATAGCACCAAGGCTGTTAAACTCCGTGCCGTGGCCACAAGAGTCACGCGGATTCGTGTGCAAGTCGGCACCATTGACATCAGCGAAGATGGGTTCATATCAAAATTACCTGAATCAACCTGTGATATGATGGAGGTTTGAAGGAGGACATCGAATGACAACACGATGACTGACTGGGTTGAACCGTTGGTACATCTCAGAGCCTCTGATAACTCATCATCATACTGCGTATCGCGGAAGAGGTCACGAAAAAAGTGAGCCGAAAATTTGAATATAGAGTTCAAAATCACGCAAATCTATGAGTTTCATTCAGTGTTTTTCAATAATCCATCATACTCCAGAATCAATTAGGGCATACCCGTACCCCCTCCAATACCCAAAAAATCATTTTTTACGTAAAAACTGGGCGCCCGGTTTTTTACCCCAAAAATGGGCTGGGGCATGTGCCTACTCGGAAACCTGCCCGACACATACTACTGACAACATAAAAGACAACAATGAAGATGACCCGGCAGTGCTGAAGACGATGCACAACGGACGCTACACAGACGGAGTGAGAACAAGTTGTATCAACTTACTCACTCACAAGGACGGCATACGTCACGCCGGGCCAGTCATTGAGGAGGTCCCGTCTCTGGCCGGTAAAACGCCATCAAGTACACCTAGTGCGACATCGGTTAGGACAATGTTGCTAGAAGGCCGAGCAGTCGGTCTACTGCACATTGGCCATTTTGCAGGGTCAGACAACACGCTGCACTTTGACGCTGTGTCATCGCTTATGCGCTAACTGATGTAACAGCCAGCTATGTTGATGTCACCAGCCATGAATCGACTAGGCGCCATGCATGAACAGATGATGGTGGTAAGAGAAGGAGCACTCTCTGCCAGGAATTTGCAGCTTAGAGAGCGTTGTGTGACAGCTACACCATAGCTCAGTGGCTCGAGCATCACCCCCTCAAGCAAAGGTCCCCAGTTCGAGTCCTGGTGGTGACAGTCAAATTTTCTTCAGACTTTCCATTCCCTCAACGAGTGAATAATATTGAGAAAACGGTCGCTGCTTGCATGACGACTACACCATAGATCAGTGGTTAGAGCATCGCTGGCCATAAGCGAGGGTCCCTGGTTCGAGTTCTGGTGGTGGCAGTCAATTGTTTCTTCAGACTTTTCCCGTTTGCATCTTTCCCTCAAACCAATGAATATTGAGAAGATAACCTTCTCCAATCTTGGCTCTCTTTCCATCTCGTATTGTTTCACGCCTTGTACTGCATGCATTAACTTGATTACCGTATTTCCCAGAATATAAGTCGCACCTTTTTACACTAAAATTCAAGGGTAAAAAGGGGGGTGCGACTTACAATCGAGCGTGACTTACTACTTAAGTCAATATTATCGATTCAGTAATACTCAAACCTGAAAATGGGGGTGCGATTTACAATCGAGTGCGACTTATTAGAGACCTTTCGCTAACGATTTTCGTACACCATTTTCGTAGTTCGGAAACGAGGTTACGAAGATCTTACGGAAGTTCGTCTGATCTGGACGAAAAAGCCACTTTCAACGAATATTGCTTTCGTTCTTGTTTGGAGGGATTTGTTTCAGATTTTTCAGACTTTTCCCTCTACTCTTTCTTTTAGCCCTAACCGTAAACGTGTCAGTGTACTATGGCTTCAGATTTGCCTTGATGATCTCGGAAATCATGCTATCTAAAAATGTACCAAAAGTGAAAAAATAAAAAATAAACTTTTATCTGCGTTCACTTGTGTGCATGCGTGCGTGCGGGGAGCAAGGGGTCTGTGGAGGACTTCATTGTGCCACACGGGCTGTACCATTTGTGTGCCATCATGGCCTTTCTTCGTGACAAACCTGAGGTTTTTCGATCTTCAAATCGCCAAAGCGTCCTTGTCATGGCTCCAAATCAGCCGAAGCTTGGCAGGACGAATGAAAATGCCATGCTGATTCGATACCTTTTCGGAAGGGTTTCCTTGAAAAATAGAATTTAGCCTGCACCGGCTAACAACATGGCCGGTGAACAAGGGACCTCACCTTGCGAGGTGACAGCAGAAGATCTTGACTGTGCACGCAGATACAGAAAACAAACACAAGCAGTACAAACAGAAACATAATCAACAAGCCTGCTTTACTGGAGAACAGCCAATATCCAGCGAAATGAGTTATCCTGACTACATGTACACCAAGCAACGTACAAGTTTAAAACGCAATTATGCTGTCGGAACTTACCAAGCCTCGTCAGCTATTTTACCTGGAAATTTACTACCGTACTGGGCACACAGAAGTATTACAATTCCGTTGTATGCTACAGGTTGATGTTGCCGAGAGAAAAACGAACAGGATTTTGGCTCGCACCCCCCCCCCCCCCCCCCCCAAACGAATGATGTTGGTTTCAGGGACGACAAAAAAACTTTTGCGACGATCCCTTACCTTGCTTTAGAGAGAGGTGAGCGGCTGTGTGAGTACGATGCCTCCACGTGCCGCCTTCGGTGCGGAGATTTCCTTTTCGGAGTCACTGAACCGGAGAACTACGTTCACATAGGTAAACCAGGGAAAAAAAGAAGCAACAATGAAACACTCACACACACATTCGAAGGACCATGAATACACAATGCATGGGTATTACAATACATGAGTGTCTTGTATACGACATTTCAAGTAGAACTACGACAGGCATTTTCTCAAGGTGGTGGGGGGGGGGGAGGAGGAGGAATACTTATTGTTTAGGAGCGAGGAGAGCCAAGAGAAAAACCTCGTAGGTGATTCATCAGAGAATAGTGGGGCATGTACTGCAAGTCTACAAATGTTCAGCCCATTCAAATTTCGGCCTCCCAGGGCTAAACCCGATTTCGGCCGCATCAAATTTTCGGTCTGTACTGCTGCCGCCTGCATACACTGTCACACTGAACCTTGCAAAACAAAATTTCGGCCGCAACACACTTTCGGCCAGACATGACCAGGCCAAAAATAGCCGAAAAATAAATATGCGTTGACTTACAGTACTTGCTTTGAAAATTTTCTTCGGGACTTTGCTCGGACAAGTTTTGGATCCAGATGAGAGAGCAAGCAGAAAACCAAGACATGTACTTGTTTCGAAGATCAGCTTTCATCACGGCAAATGTTCAAACAGCGCCGCCATTCGGGGGGGGGGGGGGGGCACATAGGATTAGAATGGATTGGCATTGTGGCAAGTGATCGTGATACACTGCTTAGCAATTCAGTGCACACGTGCGAATTTGCCATCGTTACTTACCGTGTAGACGGGTGCTTGGGGTGCTGTGCGCGATGCAGAGGCGGCCTAATAGTACATGGTACACGGAATATCCGGATGTTTCGGTTAGGATCATGCATTGAAGTTTGAATACGCGCAAAACTGCAACACTGGTAGAGCACAGCACATTAGGACAGGCACTGCAGCTGTGTTGTTCAGAGTAATAAGAAGAATGCACGCTATAGTGGAGAAAAGTGCACATGTCACTCACCAATGGAGAGGATTTCACAGAGCTGGTGAGGAGCTCGTTGCGAAGAATCTGACAATACAGCTTGGCGTTGTCTGTGAACACAAGACAAAAACCCAGAAAAATGAAGGAAGCCGAGAGAGAGAGAGAGAGAGAGAGAGAGAGAGAGAGAGAGAGAGAGAGAGAGAGAGAGAGAGAGAGAGAGAGAGAGAGAGAGAGACCAGAAAAGCCACATACGGGTAGACATGACATCGAAAGTGCAACAATTATCAAGATCTAACACCAAAACATGGCCGAAACGAAACTTCAAAGCAGATCCGTGCCACGCAAATCAGCCAGAGCAGCACAGACACTGTAACCAGGAGACTCAAAAAACCTGCTGACGTACCATTATTGACGTCCCTGAATCCATAAAACATAAAGAAAGGACACAAGACACAAGGGGTTAATGCACGTTGGAAGAGACACACAGGTACAGTCAAGACACATTGTACACACCAAATACAGTCAGACTTCACTGAGCCGTACACATCTGTTTCCCACAAAAATATTCGGATAGGCGAGGGAACGGGATAATCGAACACCGGTTCTGTTGGATGCATCACGTATGTTGTACATCAGTAACCAGCTACTTCGAAGTATTTTCTTCTGGATGGCGAGGGATCCGGACAAAGGAGGACCGGATAAGCGAGGTCTGGCTGTACCCAGAGAAGGACCAAGCAGTCCATCCACGTCGAAAGAACTAGAAAATAGAATGTGAATGTACACAGCACTGATGCCAGCATAGGAACCAGAGTATAGCGAATAGTAAAAAGACCCATATTTTACAATTCCTAATACATGTACCAGTCCAGTACACTACTACTGCTCTCTGACAAAACAGTGGCATACAGAAAGTACACGCTATCACTGCAAACTCACTTCTCCGATTCGTGCTTTGATGGGGTCATGCTGAACCGGGTCTCCCAGTTCTCGGCCGATGTCCTGTCGGGAATGAACCTGTTTGGCGTTCGTTGACACATAGCACAAAAAAACAAGAAGCAAACTTGAAATTCACGAGCACATTCATCATCATTGTCATGGCCATCATCATCATCTGCGTTGCCAATAAAAAATCATAAGAAAAATCGTTAAAAAGAGAGAGAGAGAGAGAGAGAGAGAGAGAGAGAGAGAGAGAGAGAGAGAGAGAGAGAGAGAGAGAGAGAGAGAGAGAGAGAGAGAGAGAGAGATGAGAAAGAGAGAGAGAGAGAGAGAGAGAGAGAGAGAGAGAGAAATAATATGAAAAGAAACGGCATTGCACAGCTGTGTAAGCAATAGATGCACAAAGTGACTGCCAGTGCCAGGCCACTCTGTCACATGCCAATTGACAATGCTCATGCAGAGACATACCAGCACATTAAAAAGAGCAACATGAAAGCAGGACATTTCTCTCCTGTAGAAAGACTTGCATGAAAGTAGCGATCTGGAGAAAGAAGTTCACAATGCTACTCGCCATGTCGGCTTTCCAAGTCCTCGCCTCACAGATCACTTACCGATCACCAGCAGTGCGTTGCACGACACGGCTGTGAGGTGATGGACGGCGTGGCGTCGCGCCTCCCGATGCCTGTGGTGTTTGCGGTGCCTGCACGCAGTCATACGAATGAAGGCAGAATTGACCATTAGCATCATTGATTAGAAGGCTCATGACCATGCACTAATGTAAGAGCCAACAACACTCTTGGCCCGTGCTGCACAGTCATCGCGAGGGACATTCCGGGTCGACTGCGTTCAAACAACCCGTATGCAGCACATAAGTCATCTACATGTACGTGTACATTCAGTGCGCTCTACACACTCACCAACAGTCCAAACTCCAAGGCGCTCCGGACATGCATCCAGCAAATAGAAACAGCACTCGTCAGTCGTTCGGATGACACATCTCTTCTTCAAACATACTCTACTACGGACAATCCACCCCAAACTTGGGTGGAGGTTAATCAATGGCCAACATCTCTCCGAGCCATAATGCAAAAAGGATTTTGGTCTCCGTCGAGTGGAGCCTGTATATCAGGGCATGTTTGTCTGCTACAATGCCCTTTTGATGACTTCCATAGGGCAGTGCATATACACTGGCTGTGTGCAATGAAGAACCCAGTTCCTGGCACCCCAATCCTTTATTGTTCACCATTGCTCGCAAACATCACCCTGCTTATTTTGATGCGTCCATATTTTCCTTCTTTCTTATACCGTATGGTTCTGTGCATAGGCACTGCCCAAACGATCAGCGCGGTATTAGCAGGATACACACTCTAGCACGCAGGCTCCACTCAATGGGGAGCAAAGTCCTTTTGCCAAAGTTTTGGATTCTGGGCCTTTCTGGCTCAAGGTGATGGCGGGTGAAGCATCATGAGGGCTCAGAATCGATCCACAAATTTTGTTCATATGAAACAAATTCTTCTGTGTTCGGACCTGATGTCCGCATCTACACCCAAATTAGGAGCAAAAGCGGCCAACAAGCAGAGTCTGCCTCCCTAATATGGCACCCGCCTGCCACCAAAAAGGCTATTATTGACCCGGTCAAACTATGTGACAAGTTATAGGCCTTTCACACGACGGGACAAAGTCACGTCTGTTCGGGCTCGCGGGCGGATCACCAAGGCGATCATCAAATGGCGGGAAATCTGAATCCGTAGACCCGACGGTCTGCCCGCGACACCCTGACCCCCTGGCTGTGCGTTTTCGTTTTCGATTTCGTGTTTCCTGTACTGGTTTGGCTTGTGTTCGCGATCGCGTCTTCTCACTGAGCGTTTCCTGAACAGCAGCACAGGTCTGACTTTCTGAACAATGGCCACCCGGACATTCAGCCCAGAATCCGAAAGGATGCTTATCGAAATCTACTGCTCCCTACTTGAATCGACTGATAAAATGATGATGACGCGAGCAGCGAAACAAGACAAAGCAACAAAACGGCTGAACAGCCAAAAGGATTTGGGAAATCGAACGAGGCACTCCAAACCCTGTAGGTTGTGAGCCGATTGCCCTGTCCGGACCCAGTTGCCCAAGGCCACGGAAAACAACCAGCAAAAATAGAGCAAAGCTACGCGGATTTGTCAAATCCTTGGTCCCAGAAATCCAGTCAAGAACGCAAAAGCAACAAAGTCGTCTTTTCAGTCTTGTTCTACTCCAACATCAGGCAAAGAGAGTTTGAATTTTCCCGGGAGGCATGAAAATAAAAAAATATTTTGATTTATTTCCATCAAAAACACGTGCCTCCATTACAATTACCTAGGCAACAGTCAAATTGTGACCGACTCGCGTGCGCCGTGTCGGCAGAGCTAGTCGTAGTGTGAAGTGTCTTGCCGTGGATCGTAGAACCATGGTATCGTGAAATCGTGAGCACGAACCGTCGTGTGACAAGTAATAGTTGGGGTAACTGATGTGCAAAGAAAGTCGTTCAGGGTTGAAATTGTTATCACACTGCACGCAACTTCAAATTTCGAAACGAGAGTCTAGTACTAGTTTTCCAACCATTGATTCCTACTTCCGCCGGAACAAACCTCACGACTTCGATCGACCCGTCAGCTCCGGGTGAATTGAGGTCTGAGAATGAGCACTTTGCTTTCGACATGACAAGCTACTAAGTGTCAGTGGCCCATCAAGCTTAGCTCCTGTATGGAGCTGAATGGCGAGGTCAATTCTTGATCTTCCGTAGCAACGTCCAATCTTGATATCACCGCTATGGCGTCAGGTTACATGATTGTATTATGGGGATTTGGGTGATAATCCCAGGTCGGCCAGGATGATTTCGTTTTTGCCCCCAGCCTGACTAGGCCATTATCCAAAGAGCCGCAGGAGGTAAAGATTAAAAAAGGTACATTGGGTCCTACTGCGACTCCTACACCATAACTGAATAATTGGTGCTCGTCCGAAACAAACGCTTGTACGCCTAGCTTCTTTCGCGACACATTTCCTAGTATTTTTCATTTAGGCCACACTGAAAAAAGTCTGTGGTTCGACTCACCCGACCGACCGTACATTTTTCAGCCCGACCGTAACTTTTTTTTCGGCGGGCTGTCGTGTGACTGACGTACGTGGACTGAACACGTCCACGTCTACGTGCTGTGCAGCGTGAGTCTGCGGACGCAGGCGGCTCCTTTTGGACTTGACTTGTAGTTGTACTGCAGTGCAGTGCAGTGAGTGGTACGACTGCTGCCTTGTGCTGGTAGTAGAGTCTACTCGATACGACCAGCGGCAGACTGGCGAGACTTATTTTGAAGTGACCGTCCGGTTGAGAGTGATTGCCTCGTTCCAGATTAAGGACGGCCTTCTGTTTCGGGATGAAGGACAGACGAGATTGCACTTTCAGGGCTAGTACTTGTACAGAAACACGTGGGCGCCATCTTGGTTCACGTGACATGTGTCACACCATGCTGTGTACAGGGAATCTTGCCGTACTTCGCGTCGACTCTGGCCTGTTGAAATCCACGCAAGTGAGCCACAGTTCTCTCTAGCAGGCTGAGATTTTGCAGGCACCGAGTTCAGATGTGGGCAAAGGGATTCACCGAAGGATTTTTTGATTTTCGCAATTTAGACCTCAAATAACACCCTCAAACTCCGTAAACGTGTCCCACCTCTAGGATCGTTTTGGCAAAATTCGCTTCGGTGAAAGTATGGAGCATCTCCTACTGAAAATTTTGAGCCATCGATTGTCAAAATCGGCTCATGTGGAGCTCACTTGTGTCGTTTTGAAGGACGCCGCGCCACGCGCGACTTGCGCTGGTTCTTTCACAAACGCAAGACACCTTCCAGTCAGAACTGCAGACTGTGACAGTGCAGTGCGCACGGCAAGGAAAAGAAGGAGACGTGCATTTTCCATTTGTTGCACTGTGTCCTTTGCTTTTATTGTTCACTGATAACATGTTCACAAAATCTTGAGCTAGACGGAGAAGACTGACTTACAGATTCATCTAGGCTTCAGCGTGATGCACGTATCCCAGGCGCGTCGGAACGACTTTGGAAGTGGGGCGGCCATGGAAGGGGGGTCCGGGGGTCCTCCCTCGGAAAAAATTAAAGCCTATTGCAAGCATTTCCGGGCATTTGGTGCCATTTCAGTGTACGGTAACTACAATGAAAGACTTTTTGATTCTGCAAAAAACAAAAAGATGCTACGATCGGGGACAAACATTACCCTCCCCTGGGAAAAAAATTCAAAAATTGAAGCCAATTGCAAGCATTCCCAGGCATTTGGTGCCATTTCAGTGTACATGGATATGGACTTTTGATTCTGCAACAAACCACGATCGGGGACAAGGATTTGCCACGTTTGCGCTGAGATCATCGCGCTTTGTTGCAGTGTGCTAAAAAAAAAAAAAAACGGCCGAAAAAGTGGGGCGGCCATGGCCGCCCCGGCCGGTGCGGTTCCGACGCCCTTGTATCCAGACCATAGGAAATATTGGGAAAGGAACCGGGAACCACGAGAATAATTTTTCTGGAGCGAATCCAATTATTACCATGGTTCCTTGTTCTTGAACACCACGCTCCACATTGTCAATGTTCTGCTAGGTAAGGATTTCAGGACTACTGTCGGTTTTTTCGACCTCGGGGCGATCTGATCTACGTCCAGCTGGCCATGATACTGAGCCGAACTGGCCACTAGTTCGCTTCTTTCTGGACTCGGGAAAGCCGGTCAGAGTGCGATTTCCTACCCTGGATGCGATCCATGGTGCGGACTGAAAATAACTACTGAACACCTCCTTGTACAAGCACTGACATACAAGACCGGTGGTGGATACAAACTGACAACAGGAAACCCTAACAGCACCCGCTCTGTCAAAGAAAGTCGAAGGGAAGCAGTTCGAACTAGTTCAAGCACCACCAAAAAATAAAATAAAAACTAGCACTTGCTCTTGCAGCTAGGTCAAAGACTGTACTGGCAAGTACACTTTAGCGCAGTCGCGATCTCGCGGCCCCGCATCACGTGCGGGTATCTGATGACGTAGCGTGATTCAAGATGGCCTCTGACGTGTTTCCCGTTTTGTGATCCCAAATACCAGCCCTGACTTTCCTCGTGTATTGGGAACGATATTTCACCTGTACCGGTAAGTTGCTGCTCCATGTGTGCAAGCACAGGAAGCGTCGATGAAAAAAGCCCATGTATTCGTGCACGCCGACACAAAGTATTAGCCAGTGATCCCTTTATACAACATGTATGGCATAACACTGCGTAATAATGCCGATGTACTGGGTGTCTAAAGGCAGTACAATGTATTTACATGTACTAAAAAATATTTTTTTTTTTTTAATCTGCCCGCCCGCCCGTAAAAAAATGTCCATGTTAGTCGAACCACACACCTTTTTTTAGTTTGGCCTTATTAGTTTCACATACACTTAGGCTGCGTTTACACGACAACGCACGGCCAGTTTTCCGTTTTCAGTCCCGCATTTCTTCTTTCGTTTTCGTGCGTTTATATGATCAAAGCTGATCCGAGGTGGTCTCCGTTTGTATCGTTTTCGCGCGTCTACACGGGAGCAAAGGATCCGCAAAAGTGCGTCACATGCCAAGTGTTGTCGCGGAAGCACCAATCACACTCAAGCAATAGTTGAAAACAGGCCACAAAAAAACACTCGTCACATGACGAAAATTGTAAAAACAATTTTTTGGATTGCCGGATCCGTGTAAACGGCCGAAAACGAAACAAACGTGACGGAAAACGAGGCCAGCATACCGTTTCGACTGTTCACACACTCAAATTTATCCGGCGGAACATTTCCGTTTTCAAATTCTTCCACCTTGGCCAGCGTTTTGGTTTTCTTCCGTTTTGGTGTACAACTTTTACGTTTTGCTCTTCGTACCGTGTAAATGAACCATGCATCCAAAAGGATTTTGTTGCGTTTTCACCCCCAGCGTTGTCGTGTAAACGCAGCCTTAGTCAGTGAGAATGACTGTATAATAGCTAGCTAGAGGTTTGCACCGGCCGCCCCTTTTCATAATTACATACAATCGTGTGATAGGACTCCTCCGTACAATTTAACGTACAGTGCATAAGTACTGGGATTGGCACTCACATTTCCGAAGTCCAAGCGCTGAGCCACTGGTCTTCCGGAGAGAGAGCCCAAAGCCATCCTCTGTGATGGTTGCAGCGGCGATGCATGGGCCTCCGCTCGAACGTGACCTCTATGTTCATTCTCCATTTCAGATTCAGGGTGTCTCAGAGTCAATTGGTAACTGGGTTGTCTTGTCTAAGGCACTTTCACGACTTCATTTTGCCTGATGATATTTTTCCGAGCCCTGCCTGACTAAGCTCGAAAATTCACAACGAAACGAAGACAACATGAAGGAAAGACTAAAGACGAAAGGACTAAACTCCTTGCTTTACATTCAATCTCTTTCCTACTTTTGCACCTCTGACGCCTTCGTCTGATCTGGCGAATGAATCAAAACAACTTACTTTTGAATTTCCCATCACCTGGCAACAGGCGCTAGGCTGGGCGGTGTGTTGAATTTCCCATCACCTGGCAACAGGCGCTAGGCTGGGCGGTGTGAGGTGAGTCGTATAATAACGACTCCGCGAGACACTCGTCACGTACAAAAGACATAGCCTATGGCGTGCAGACTCCACATGGCGTAGTCTACTGTAGTTACGTGACGCCTGATGATCATTCCGTGAGTGTGTGTGTGTGTGTGCGCGCGCGCGTGTGTTTGTGTGTGTGTGTGTGAGTACAAGTGTGTGTGTGTGTGTGTGTGTGTGTGTGTGTGTGTGTGTGTGTGTGTGTGTGTGTGTGTGTGTGTGTGTGTGTGTGTGTGTGTGTGTGTGTGTGTGTGTGTGTGTGTGTGTGTGTGTGTGTGTGTGTGTGTGTGTGTGTGTGTGTGTGTGTGTGTGTGTGTGTGTGTGTGTGTGTGTGTGTGTGTGTGTGTGTGTGTGTGTGTGTGTGTGTGTGTGTGTGTGTGTGTGTGTGTGTGTGTGTGTGTGTGTGTGTGTGTGTGTGTGTGTGTGTGTGTGTGTGTGTGTGTGTGTGTGTGTGTGTGTGTGTGTGTGTGTGTGTGTGTGTGTGTGTGTGTGTGTGTGTGTGTGTGTGTGTGTGTGTGTGTGTGTGTGTGTGTGTGTGTGTGTGTGTGTGTGTGTGTGTGTGTGTGTGTGTGTGTGTGTGTGTGTGTGTGTGTGTGTGTGTGTGTGTGTGTGTGTGTGTGTGTGTGTGTGTGTGTGTGTGTGTGTGTGTGTGTGTGTGTGTGTGTGTGTGTGTGTGTGTGTGTGTGTGTGTGTGTGTGTGTGTGTGTGTGTGTGTGTGTGTGTGTGTGTGTGTGTGTGTGTGTGTGTGTGTGTGTGTGTGTGTGTGTGTGTGTGTGTGTGTGTGTGTGTGTGTGTGTGTGTGTGTGTGTGTGTGTGTGTGTGTGTGTGTGTGTGTGTGTGTGTGTGTGTGTGTGTGTGTGTGTGTGTGTGTGTGTGTGTGTGTGTGTGTGTGTGTGTGTGTGTGTGTGTGTGTGTGTGTGTGTGTGTGTGTGTGTGTGTGTGTGTGTGTGTGTGTGTGTGTGTGTGTGTGTGTGTGTGTGTGTGTGTGTGTGTGTGTGTGTGTGTGTGTGTGTGTGTGTGTGTGTGTGTGTGTGTGTGTGTGTGTGTGTGTGTGTGTGTGTGTGTGTGTGTGTGTGTGTGTGTGTGTGTGTGTGTGTGTGTGTGTGTGTGTGTGTGTGTGTGTGTGTGTGTGTGTGTGTGTGTGTGTGTGTGTGTGTGTGTGTGTGTGTGTGTGTGTGTGTGTGTGTGTGTGTGTGTGTGTGTGTGTGTGTGTGTGTGTGTGTGTGTGTGTGTGTGTGTGTGTGTGTGTGTGTGTGTGTGTGTGTGTGTGTGTGTGTGTGTGTGTGTGTGTGTGTGTGTGTGTGTGCGCGCGCGCGTGTGTTTGTGTGTGTGTGTGTGAGTACAAGTGTGTGTGTGTGTGTGTGTGTGTGTGTGTGTGTGTGTGTGTGTGTGTGTGTGTGTGTGTGTGTGTGTGTGTGTGTGTGTGTGTGTGTGTGTGTGTGTGTGTGTGTGTGTGTGTGTGTGTGTGTGTGTGTGTGTGTGTGTGTGTGTGTGTGTGTGTGTGTGTGTGTGTGTGTGTGTGTGTGTGTGTGTGTGTGTGTGTGTGTGTGTGTGTGTGTGTGTGTGTGTGTGTGTGTGTGTGTGTGTGTGTGTGTGTGTGTGTGTGTGTGTGTGTGTGTGTGTGTGTGTGTGTGTGTGTGTGTGTGTGTGTGTGTGTGTGTGTGTGTGTGTGTGTGTGTGTGTGTGTGTGTGTGTGTGTGTGTGTGTGTGTGTGTGTGTGTGTGTGTGTGTGTGTGTGTGTGTGTGTGTGTGTGTGTGTGTGTGTGTGTGTGTGTGTGTGTGTGTGTGTGTGTGTGTGTGTGTGTGTGTGTGTGTGTGTGTGTGTGTGTGTGTGTGTGTGTGTGTGTGTGTGTGTGTGTGTGTGTGTGTGTGTGTGTGTGTGTGTGTGTGTGTGTGTGTGTGTGTGTGTGTGTGTGTGTGTGTGTGTGTGTGTGTGTGTGTGTGTGTGTGTGTGTGTGTGTGTGTGTGTGTGTGTGTGTGTGTGTGTGTGTGTGTGTGTGTGTGTGTGTGTGTGTGTGTGTGTGTGTGTGTGTGTGTGTGTGTGTGTGTGTGTGTGTGTGTGTGTGTGTGTGTGTGTGTGTGTGTGTGTGTGTGTGTGTGTGTGTGTGTGTGTGTGTGTGTGTGTGTGTGTGTGTGTGTGTGTGTGTGTGTGTGTGTGTGTGTGTGTGTGTGTGTGTGTGTGTGTGTGTGTGTGTGTGTGTGTGTGTGTGTGTGTGTGTGTGTGTGTGTGTGTGTGTGTGTGTGTGTGTGTGTGTGTGTGTGTGTGTGTGTGTGTGTGTGTGTGTGTGTGTGTGTGTGTGTGTGTGTGTGTGTGTGTGTGTGTGTGTGTGTGTGTGTGTGTGTGTGTGTGTGTGTGTGTGTGTGTGTGTGTGTGTGTGTGTGTGTGTGTGTGTGTGTGTGTGTGTGTGTGTGTGTGTGTGTGTGTGTGTGTGTGTGTGTGTGTGTGTGTGTGTGTGTGTGTGTGTGTGTGTGTGTGTGTGTGTGTGTGTGTGTGTGTGTGTGTGTGTGTGTGTGTGTGTGTGTGTGTGTGTGTGTGTGTGTGTGTGTGTGTGTGTGTGTGTGTGTGTGTGTGTGTGTGTGTGTGTGTGTGTGTGTGTGTGTGTGTGTGTGTGTGTGTGTGTGTGTGTGTGTGTGTGTGTGTGTGTGTGTGTGTGTGTGTGTGTGTGTGTGTGTGTGTGTGTGTGTGTGTGTGTGTGTGTGTGTGTGTGTGTGTGTGTGTGTGTGTGTGTGTGTGTGTGTGTGTGTGTGTGTGTGTGTGTGTGTGTGTGTGTGTGTGTGTGTGTGTGTGTGTGTGTGTGTGTGTGTGTGTGTGTGTGTGTGTGTGTGTGTGTGTGTGTGTGTGTGTGTGTGTGTGTGTGTGTGTGTGTGTGTGTGTGTGTGTGTGTGTGTGTGTGTGTGTGTGTGTGTGTGTGTGTGTGTGTGTGTGTGTGTGTGTGTGTGTGTGTGTGTGTGTGTGTGTGTGTGTGTGTGTGTGTGTGTGTGTGTGTGTGTGTGTGTGTGTGTGTGTGTGTGTGTGTGTGTGTGTGTGTGTGTGTGTGTGTGTGTGTGTGTGTGTGTGTGTGTGTGTGTGTGTGTGTGTGTGTGTGTGTGTGTGTGTGTGTGTGTGTGTGTGTGTGTGTGTGTGTGTGTGTGTGTGTGTGTGTGTGGTGTGTGTGTATGTGCGAGTGTGTGGGGGAGAGAGAATAGTTGAAATAGCAGTAGCAGCATGCTTTGTACTCTGCCAGTGCCAGCTCTGCATGCCGTGGCTGCTTTGCCAGCATCATACCACTGCTCCTCCTTCGACAAATTAATATCAGTTATAATTATGTCCTTCCATGAACATGTACATGTGCTTGTAAATAATATTTCACCAAGATTCTACAATAAATGCACTGCGGTGCAACCAAGAGAGTTTAAAGAGTTGGTGGACAAAAGAGAGTTTAACCTATACAAATTGTAGGGTGGAATATGGATCCAAATTATTGGTTGTATGGTGCACAAGTTCATTTCCACACTGCATCGGCCGGGTTATGGCCTAAACTAATAATTATCTCTTAATTTGCTAAATCCTATATATAGGATTTTGGTCATATTTTTCAACTCAAAATGGGTGTGGCATGAGAATAGCAAAAAGTATGTGACCAATTCTTCCTTGCTAGGTCTTAGTAGATATCGAGAGTTGAATAAGATAATTTTTTCAAACACTACCATCTCAGGCTCATCTCCTTGCCCAATATTACTAAGGCCTGTGCCCTATTTTTCGAATCCTATATATAGGATTTGAGATTTTATTGGACCTTGTTTTATCCTTAAAACTGGTAGTTTCATGACGGCATGTGCGATATGTCGTCATGAAACCACCCCGTGCCACACCTGCAATGTTCTTCTGTACATTCACTGCTTCAGTCCTTTCCATGACAGCAGCTGAACAATTATGCTCAAATTTCCAATTATTGCTGAAAATGGATATTCATCAGAAATATTATCGCCCTATGAATCTAAAATGTAAACATTCATGCCTCAAACATATTAACAACTTCCATGAAAACCATTATGTCGTTATTATTGGTCGTGATGACCAATAACAACGGCATAAAAGGCACACATTTTCAAATCCTATATATAGGATTTTCGGTCAGCAAATTAAGAGATAGTAAATGGTGCACCTTGAAAATAGCGAAGTGATCTGTCAGATGTACATGCCATACATAACTAAACATAACCAGTACTAGCTGCACTGTGCACATCAAAGCCCAGCACCAAGAATAGAGCTCATCGCATTCGTTCTCCCGGACTCCCATTTGCCCTCGACAATTACCATGATACATACATTGTAAAAACGTACATGGATTGCATTCAGTATTGATTTCCACTATTATAATTACGGTATGACATTGGAAACGGAGGTTATGCTAGCCACAGTGAGAACTACACAATGTGCAGCGCAAGAAGGCAAAGAGCCATGCTCGAAATCAGGGAGCAGTTTCCTAAGTTTTCTTCTTCTCAAAAACCAAAACGTCCCAGAGATGATTATAGATGTACACAAATACTTAAAAGTGAAGGTAGCACAACTAGGGGCAGTGGTGGGAAGATCTGACCAGCTCGTCCGGCCATAGCCATAGGTCTCGGGGTCATTGCTAGCTGGGTAAACCAGGCTGAGTAAAAGAAAAGGAGATATATAACTCTGAAAAGGGGGCAGAAACCCCGACAGGGTGGATAAGATAGTCAAGTAGGTTACGATGAATGAAGGACAAACGACATTGAGAAAGACTTTCGGTGACACAGAAGACCACATGCAAGTACATTATATACGTATTTTACGACTCCCTGCTTTAAACTGTTGGACACCAGTCAATAGGGCTTCTAAGCAAGTGTCGTCTACATGATTGTGCTGAAAAAAAGGCAAGATCCTAATAAAACTGTAGTCTTCTATGATAAATCAACGTTGAGCAGTGTGTATTTCATGAGTTCAAGACAGAATGAGACTTTGTGGTACCAAAACTTAGCAAACAAATTCTTCTCTAAGCAATGTTTGTTAATTTGTAATGAGGAATGTTTCATGGTGATGGCTACTACTTAAAAAAAAGGAAACAAGACTTCAAAAAGAGAAGAAAAGAAAACGGTCAGTCTTCAGCAACGAATCAGGCTTGCCGACATCTAATCACAAGGCACAGATACAAGGGTGAAAATGCCTTTGTGCTATGAAAATAGTACATGAAGTATTCTACCGGCCTGAGCGGGCATCCACTCTCGCTCTCACGGCATTCGGACAGCGTTGTCCTTTGATATGTGAAGCAACTTCAGGGCGGCAAGGCTCTGTGCACATGGAAGCAGTGAAACAGCCGGGAAACAGATTCGTGAGACGGAAGAAGAGTAACATTGCCCTATGCAGCAGAGGATGTGCCAGGGCATGAGCTAATGAGCTAGCTGCATGTACACGACAAGTACAAGCTAAATGCACGTCCAGTGATGTTCTCACTTCTGCCATGCATCGGGCTGTTTACTAAGCCTAGGCAAGATTATGCCACATAAAAGTACAGCGGGCAATGATCAATGAAAAGCATAGTTGCATTGTACATGCATCAGTGATTCACACATGTATGAGTGATCCATACATGTATCAGTGAACTATACTACTCCATAGAGCACAATCTCGACCACACACCGTTTTGCACACGCAGTCCCAGTTCACTGGGCAGCAAACACACACACACCACTCATATAGAGAGTACATCAACTCCAAACTGCAAGATCATGATTTCACGCAAAGTTATAATCAGACTTTTGCTGAATAGCAGCACGTGACAAAGCAAGGATATAGAAATTGCATTCAACTAACACGATTTCCCACTAACCTTGAGCTTAGCTTGCCCTGTTGAACCAGTGATTGCTAGCCCCATTGCAGTCAGTTTCTGCGTGCTCAGCGGACCTTTGTTGTTCTCGACCTTGAAATGCTTGAAGAGGATTTCATAAACCTGGTCAGGAAGACAGCGACACCACACAGTGAGTTGCTGTCTTGATTTCAAATGTACTACCAGGGCCGTGGTTGCTCTTAGCCTACGCCCAACACTGCAGCAGAATGCTTCTAAAAGATAATTTTAGCTAAAAGCAATATCTTCAACTCTACCAAACCGTGCGAAGAGAACAAGAACGACAGGGAGGGAGAGAGGGAGGGAGAAAGAGAGAGAGAGAGAGAGAGAGAGAGAGAGAGAGAGAGAGAGAGAGAGAGAGAGAGAGAGAGAGAGAGAGAGAGAGAGAGAGAGAGAGAGAGAGAGAGAGAGAGAGAGGGAGAGAGAGAGAAAGAGAGAGAGAGAGGAGAGAAAGGAGAGAAGGGAGAGAGAGAGAGGAGAGAGAGAGAGAGAGAGAGAGAGAGAGGAGAGAGAGAGAGAGAGAGAGAGAGAGAGAGAGAGAGAGAGAGAGAGAGAGAGAGAGAGAGAGAGAGAGAGAGAGAGAGAGAAAAGAATAAGCCAGATCGCAAACCTTGTCGTCGTCTGTTTCCAAAAGCACATGTATGAGAGAATAATTCTAATTTGTACACTGAAAATTCACATAATATGATCAATCTTTTGAATGGCATGCCACAACGAAGCAAGCTAGTTTATGCTACTCACATGATTCACATCATTCAGCTTCGCTCTCCGTCTCACTAGAGTGCTGACGGTCATGAATTCTTCCTCGGTTAACGGCATGAACGTGCTCGGCTGGCCCTTCCGACGGGATGCTGGGGTAGATGCTTTAGAGTAGCGCTGGTTGTGTGACGCTATTGGATCTACAGGATCGGCAACGAGAGAAAATAGTTCAGATATACTCGAGGTAAAGTTGACCATTCCAAAATGGTTTCTTCCTGTGTTCAGCTTTGATCAAGTTGAAGAAAGCCCAGTGTTAAGGCAGAACGAAGTAACTGATTTATAGAATAGCACAATGTGATGTAGCAGGATAGCAAGCCCTCCATAGCTCACCCGATGCGAAATGAACCTGATTACCACCCGTTTCCGTAGTCACCTGCAAATTGAAGACGAAGAAATTCAAACATAATACTAGTATGCAACGCATTAATGATTTAAGGGAAACATGCATTGGTGCAGTGTGCTTCAACCAGTGTATCACATCTACCTTGAGTAGGACAACGACTGTTGAAAAGGAGTGTGTCTCAGGTGTATAAGGCTCATTTGACACACTATCCCTGACACCTACCCATGATGCAAGATACTAGTAACCAGAACACAATCACAATTCACAATACACGCGTAAAGCACTTCAAAGTGCACATGGCTACACCACAGTCATAGCAACAGCAGGGAGTGTGTGTGTGTGTGTGTGTGTGTGTGTGTGTGTGTGTGTGTGTGTGCGTGCGTGCGAGCGCGTGAGAGAGATATTGATAGAAATATTGATAGAATAGAGAGCAAGAGAGAGAGAACACTGCACGTTTTCGTAAAATGAACCGGCCCAATTGGGGTAAGTGCAATGTCCAATACCTGAGAGTGGTGACCTGACACCTCACTGCCACTGGTCATGTGACTTGAGACCTCACTACCACTGGTCATGTCTGTCAAGTCATGGAAACGGTACACGAGAAACACAAACAAAACAAACAGAATGATATGTTAAGATAAACAGATTCGAGCCTACACTCAACACATACAGGACTATACAGAGCCACCACCCTCTGGTGGAAGTCACACAAACACACAGCGTGCATGCCTACAAGAATCACAGTCCTAACTACTGATGGACTCATCGCGGGGGGGGGGGGGGGGGGGTACCTAGTCTCAACACACACAGGACTATACAGCACCGCCACCCTCCGGTGGAAGCCACACAAACCATGCATGCCCAAGACTCACCATCATAGCTGCTGACGGACTCATCGCGGGACAAGCTGGTAACGGATTCCGACGGAGATGCAAAATCGCTACTGGCGACTGGTGATCGAGGGGAAAGGGTCACCCCAGCCATTCCACATACCAGCGACATGTCTCCGTCAACGGTCATGGGCTGCATTACGAAAGCACACGACAAGTGCAGACGACTTTATCACGTTGAACGTGCCACTATATGCACACATACAACTGACTTGTCAGTTTGAGCACTCTAGCATGGTGCTGTGCTGATGAGTCCACAAAGGACGAAACAGTTCAGTTCGCAGATTGCGTGCGCACACACACACACACACATCTATAAATAAGCAAGTAAACCACATTTTCTCTCCTACGAGCACGGGCCTGTTGTTGCTTCAACCTCTTCCAATCAGTGGTCTTACATAATTTCAAGCCCATTTTCCCGAATCACAGTGCTCTTTTTTGAATGTTTTGTACACGTCTGCTACAATATCCTACTGGGGAAAAAAAGGGAAGTCATTTTGAAACAAAGAGACAGGTGTGCCTTTATTCGAGATTGTTTGCTCTCTCTCTCTCTCTCTCTCTCTCTCTCTCTCTCTCTCTCTCTCTCTCTCTCTCTCTCTCTCTCTCTCTCTCTCTCTCTCTCTCTCTCTCTCTCTCTCTCTCTCTCTCTCTCTCTCTCTCTCTCTCTCTCTCTCTCTCTCTCTCTCTCTCTCTCTCTCTCCTAACTCTCTCTCTCTCTCTCTCTCTCTCTCTCTCTCTCTCCACGTTTGCATGTATTGTGCTTTCATCGGATACATGTATATTCTTTTACCAGAGACTGTTGAATGCAACAAACGGGATTTTTGGTCGTTGACCACTCCATGTGAACCTGACACCTAGCAATGCAGTCGGATCTGCATCTGACATCATCAACTCCGGGAGCTGGGGTGTTTTTACGGATGCGGGGAAAATCGGTGCAACTGGCTATGAGGTGAGCCATGAAACCTGTTATTTTCGTATCTTTCTCATGTAGCTCCAGAATTTCAAGGAGGCGATCGACTGGAATTAATTTGAGGAAGGTACTAGTCATATTACTAGTCCAATCAAAGATACCTTTTCATGCCAAGTGCAGTTTTAACAAGGTTACAATCATTGCCAACTCAAAGATTTACCTCGTGCCCAACAGTGGCCTGAAGCGCATGCACTAGCTGACAGTTCTGTGACACCAGGCTTGCCAGAGCTGACGACGAAGCCTGAACTCCATTCAACAGAACAAAACACACATGGCAAAGCATATAATTATAGGACTCGCCCATCCGCCCCTCGGCCCTCCCCACCTGAACCTACTCCAATCGCATTCAAGGTGTGAATCGGCACCTGTTACATTTTCTCGACAAGGTAAAGCTAACATTTCCACATGCACAGCAGCACCCTGTTCAAGAGTCATTACAAGCAATGAAGAAGACCAGCAAGTACAAAAGTATGAATTATGCCATAGTCTTGTCATGTATACTTCATGATAACTTGGATGCAGTTTGCTTGCTACGTCCGTATTTACCGTGCAGTACCGTGTCGCGGTTGTGGAGCAGTCGCATTATGCGGCAAGCTCTCCCATCATGCTTCCCACTTTTGTTCGTCTTACATCTCATGGAAGGCATCAAAGATGCTCCGCTCACTCCTATGCAGCTGAACACTCTTCAAACCAATCTACCATTGCTATTATCTACTGACATGCACACGATGCATCTTCTGGTAGATGCTTATTGTTGGCATGACTACAGTCTGGAGTATTTGATAGGACATGTGTCATCTCTACCCACAGATCTTGCTCATATACTCTATGAATTTACCAAGGCTGCTCTACGTCATCCACATTAGCATCTATTCATTGTGTATCCAGCCACTGGCGACGTGTCCAGACAAGTTCAGACATGCCCGGTGACCTTTGAATCCCAACTCGTTCTGTGATTGGTCAAATCTCCTCATTTTCTCATTCTCTGTACTGATTGGTTGAATCTTTAACAAATTCACCGTGTTCTCCAAGGTCGTCACCTACAATGAATTTGTTTTCAACTCATCCTGTCAGAGGGTATAAATACCTACGATCATTCACCTCACAATCGACTCGAGTGTTTCAGTATCAATCAACTCTCTCTCTCTCTCTCTCTCTCTCTCTCTCTCTCTCTCTCTCTCTCTCTCTCTCTCTCTCTCTCTCTCTCTCTCTCTCTCTCTCAGCGAATGGTGAGTGATTATCGCTATATCAAGATGGACGGTGATGCTACAGTTACTGCTACTGGTGGTGGTGGTGAAGATGTTGTTGACTGCTTAGGTATTGACCCTTTTAAGACACCCAGGATGAAGTCTGGACTATCCAAACGACGTGCTTCTCGTAACCCAGACCTGTAACCTCTTTCCAAGCTCAAGCTACCATCTCCCGCGCCTACAACGATGTTCAAAACCACCATTATTGCGGGTGGAGAAGAACAGGGTGTTCACGCCCAGTACTGCCAGACTGGGCACGACTATCGTGTTGTTCCGGGGACACGCTTCTACTATACTCGTGGTGATTTGTCAGGCAAGTGTGTTACTGGTGCTGCAAGTGATGGACTATTCAACCAAGTTAAGCTCTCTATCCAAGCTCCAGTGGACGACATCATTCGTTTCCTCCTGAAGACCTCTGCTGCGCTCAGGCGTGCTGTGAAGTCGCCGCACGTTGACAAGATCCGAACTAACATCTTCCCCACTGTACACCAGGGAAAGACTGTAGCTGCGGTCTACATCAAGCCATCCCTATCTCAGTCGGATATGGGCGGAATCCCCTTGAAGCCGCATGCTATTTCCGCAGACTCTCCCAGGGTCGATTTATGTTGGACATTTGCCCCACAATTGACGTGGCGGGGCAGCCATGTACCGACTTCGAGGAGCTGACCGCAGTAGACAGCGGTATGGTCATACACATAGTTGAAGGCCAAACGGAACTGTTCTCATTCCTCAAGAGAGATGTATCCAAGGAGCTCACCGAAGTGTTTGTTAACAACGGTTGAAAAATGTCAGCCAGGGACTACCTGCAACTGGTGCGACTGATTAACAACCAAGACGTCGTAAGGCGCGGCGAGACTAAGCATATATCAAGCCCACCAGTTCGGCTCAGAATACGAGCGACGCGGAGTGTTGCCGTGACAGTCAAAATCGAGACGCTGGATGTCAACGACGATGGCACAAATACGGTTTCCTATTTCAACAATCGCGCCGCATCCCTAAAACGGGCAAGAGAGGATGATGACGATGATGAGTATCAGCGCTTTGTGCGAGGACAACTGCTGCAACACTCGGAGACGGTTGACCTGAGTTGAACAAGTAAGGCATTTTGGATACAGATGTAGAGTCAATCGTCTCCGAGTGTTGTACCGTCATGCGATTGCGCCAGGTGCTGTTTAACACAAGGTATGTTTTTAAACATCTAGCAAACGGGACATGCACGACGCCCATGGGCAGTATTGCCAACTGACCTGCAGCTCCTGATCCAGAGCAAGACGTTCAGCAGCAATATCCGTCATCCGATTGCGCACCGCATCAAGTCTGGTCAACAGTGAGAGTGGATTGAGCTACAGCAGGGGCGAAAAAGGAATGATGACAATGGCAACGGCAGGAGAACACGCACACAGCAAAGCGGGACGTGGCCACTTACATTTGAATGCCGACACAGGTCAAGGGAGAAGCACAGATGCAAGTAAGTACTAGTATAGTACAAGTGACGGGATCACCTGCTGACCAGCGCCAGGTGGACTTGATGGATCATGAGCAAGAAGAAGCCAGCTACCTACCAGTACATGTCGCCACAACCCTACAAGTTCACTCGAAATGCAAAGACTTGAAGGCTTATGATATCTCAACCGGCATACCTCTTCTCTGCTGACAGCACGCAAGCTCTCTGAGAAGGACAGCTCCAGTCTCCTGGACACATGACCTAGGTCAGCGCTGGCTTTACAGAACTAAAATTGAAGGAAGTCAACAAAGAGAAAAGATGTAAATAACCAAACAAAGCATTAATGTAAGCAATGTAAGTAGCGTTGTACAGTAAATCAGTCATGTACATGTACGCGAGGGGAACCCTAAACTTTCCTTCAAGGTAAAGGTGACCGTGTCAGAAGACATTGGGTCAACTAATTGGCGAATGCTCCCACTGGAGATCAAGGTGAATGGTAGCCTATCTTCCTGCACTAAGTTCTACTGCTGCGGCGAGTAAGACTGACAATTCTAAGGAATCATGTGCAACAGTGTGATCAACAAATTGGAGAAGCTATATCTGCATTTCTGATATGCCCATTGATTTTGGCACGCGTCTGATGCCACTCGTCTGAGCTTCTCACATATCACATTTACAAAATAGTGAGCCACCCACTCAGGTGATCATCTCATGGGTATACTCCAGAAAAATTAGAATTCATCAAGGAACGCACATGTACCGTACGTGTAGTACTCGTACCTTGTCACGCAGGTGTATATACATGTACAGTGCATGTAGTGGCCCAGGGTGAAAGCATGTGTGAGCATTTGTCATCCGCTAGTACTACACGTACAGTACTTGTGTAGCCGTTGTTGCTGTTTAGTTACCGGTATTATTCGTGACGACTGCACTCCACAGCCATATTAATTTATAAACAAAGCATTCACTTTAAAAGGTGCCCTGTTTCCTTGTCCACTTCGTCACAGTCACAATAACTGAAGCGTTGAGAACATGAGACCTATTTATGTTGTTAGACTGTAGTGTAGTTGGGCGTTGGCCAGTGTTTGCCTTCAAACCATTTCTCTTACAATGAAGCTGCGTGAAGTGCTGTTCAGAATTTTGGACTAACTTTGTACATGATTGTATTGATGTTCACCCATATACTGTAATTTCACAAATTTTTGGTGTACTTTTATTTTCGGTACTTTCGGTGCGTCTATTTCACACCTAAAATTTCGATACACCGAACAAACACTAACACGCATAATACAACAGGGAACTGCTTCTCTGTACCGAAAACTTCTGTTCACCTAACCTAGCCTGTTGCCCTCATACCGAAAATATTGAGCACCGAAAATTTCTGAAATTAGAGTAATTGAACTCAACAAAAACGGATTTCGGTCAAATCTATGGCGCTCTAATCGAGTTTATGGTGGGGAATGGAGGCTGTGACAAGCCCCGTAGGCTGTCCCTGTGGGAATTTGCGGAAAAATTCTCGAAAATGGATAGTCCATACCTGCCCACCATACCGATTTGGCCGGGACCGTCCCGATATCGAGGGTGGTAATAGGCACCCAAAAGTGCATTTGTCGCACGCCTCACAGCTACATTTGTATACATTTTCAATGTGTCATACCTAGGTACATGTACGCCATTGTTCCGATATCAGGTTTGCACAGGTTGGCAGGTATGATAGTGGTACCCTCGAGGTCGGGTCATGACAGTCATGACTCCTAGTGTGATGATAATTGCTGATGATAGTCACATGAAAATGTTAAAAGCCGTACATATTGTTCCTCGGGTGTTATGGTATGAGTGTGTTCATTTTATGAAGTTTATTTTCATTTCCTTTTTTTAACCCTTTATGTACGGTGTGTATTCATGATCGATCTGTAAAACCTTCGTAACTCATTTCTTGTCCGAATTCAACAATCGAAGGGTCTATTCGGTAGCGGAAACTCTAAGCTTTCCAATGCAACAATCGCCGAAGAGCTACGATGTACGAATCCAGAGATATCGCACGCCGTATTCTTGTCTCGGCAAATTCAAAATTTTATCGATCACTTCGCCATTTTGGGGGAAAATCCCTTTTCGTGTGCTCTTTGACCAACTCAGCACATGATAATGACGTAGTTGGCTGAAGTTTGAATCACCTCGAAAAGATTTGAGCGTTCTGCGATAGAGAAGAGTGGAATGGCGTTGATGGGGAAATTTGCTCGCATATTGGGCTTGGAGACGACTTTGTTGTGTTCCTGCGCCTGATTTGTGGCAGCTAGTTGATGGAGCCTGGTATCCTGGCGTTGCTCTCGCCAGGAGCTTTTATTTCCAAAGAGCCCAAGATTGTGGAAATGGAGCGAAGGAGGCCAAAGTTATAGCCTGCTGAAGGTGAAAATTGTGCTGAAAATTCAAATTCTGCTTCATTCTGTGCTGGAAATCAGTACATAAAGGGTTAACTTATAGAAAAGAAAAAGGACCAAGGAACTACAAGTTACGCTATACTATCCACTAACACCACCAGTTACTAAACAATCAGCTCATGCGATAACATTGCATGACACTGACCGACGGTACTGACGTTCTACAAATAAGTGTCGTGCAATGTTATCGCATGAGCTGATTGCTTAGTAACTGGTGGTGTTAGTGGACATTATAGCATAACTTGTAGTTCCTTGGTCCTTTTTCTTTTCTATAAATTTATCCTTGGCTCTCCATCCGATCCCCGAGTCCATTCTTGCACACCCGATGAGCCGTCTTAAAAAGTCTTTTCAATTGATAATAATACAGTGTGGTACTTGGCAAGGGCCCATGGACTCTTGATACATACCATTACATATACATAGTAAATGATGCTGGTCTGTGGGAAATGTGAGCTGAAAACAAGTCAATTTCTCACCTGAGCCTCCAGGGTATCCACTGCAGCCTCCATGTCCACGATCGAACACCGAACTACAAATCGTAAGTGCTTCTATTGCGCTAAATAACCTAAACCGTTTGCACAACCAGTTACTATAACACAATGTTCTACAAAAAAAATAGTACTAGACTGGTGCTAGCATGCTAGCAGTGTCTTGTGTTTGGAATATCTTGAATCCCGGCACGGTGTGGAGGGTGGAGCTGGACAGAGGACCACAAATGCAAACGATGTCTTCAAGTCATCAAGAGTACATACAATTTTGTTCTCTTGCTTCAATGTTACATGTCGATCTATAATAATTGTAACTTTTTTGGAAGTGAAAGCTTTTTCAAATCTCCCGGGCAACTCCCTGCTAGCTGCTGGCAACTCAAGATCCCGGGCCCGGGACCGACCGTACAACTGACAACTCGAGTCGATCGAGCGAGTGTACGTCCATGCATGCATGTGCAGCTATGCCACGGCACGCGTCTTAGCTTCGCTCGCTGCTATGCTTGTTGGCAAAATGTTGCGCTTGTACGAGTAGTTGTGACGTAAAAGTCATTGTGTGTTGTTCTGCCTTCTCTCGTTCTCTGGCGTTCATGGAATTCATGGCACCAACGACGTGACCATGTACCAGCTGAGCGGTAGGCCTTTCCGGATTATGTGTTTGCATATTTTTGCATTTTGGGGGTCAAAATGCATTTTGTCCATTTTGACCCACTGCACTAGCACTTTGGGCCAGGGAGTCGTAAAATACCGGTATTTTACGACTCCCTGCAAGCGATAGGTACTTCACGATCACCATGAATGATCACCATGGTGCCAAATGTCACGCGACTAGCTGTCGCCATTTTGTTACCATAGCAACGGTGACATTTTTTGTGCTTTTTGGGTAAATATTTGCATTTTCTTTAGAAAAAAATTTGATTTATAGGGGTTTTTCAAAACACTTTCCATTTCCATTTTAAACCAAGAAAAAACGCATAATCCGGAAAAGCTTACTGAGCGGTCGGCGATCCATGATCCAGCACGCGGACGCGTGCATGCAGCGGGACGAGGGCGGCCCAGAGGATCTAGGAACAGGGAACATTCGAACATGCACGGCGTGCATGTCGCCCGTACTCGAACTAAAGAAGTAGTTCAACTCTGTCTCATCGTCTCTAGTACGGTAGTAGATCTACTCATGTACTCATGTCATCATGAGCTCAGCTTGCACCGTATACATGATGTACCCGTAGTCGTAGAGCTACCGTATCTCGCAAAACACACACACACACACACACACCCATATATGCGCCATGGCACCTGGCCTGGTCATGGCCGATCAGCGTCCACGTCCACAGCACAAACCATGGCATGGGCATGCATGCAAACAAGGCACGCAAAAAGCAAGGACGGTCGCGTCGTTGGTTGGCCTGGCTTTTGTACTTTTTGTAGGCTTTTGTGCGTGCGGAGCGGCTTTACTTCATCGCCACTTGTCCGTTTGTGGCTGTACTGACTGTAGTATGCTTGTGCGATGAGATCCTGTCGAGCTGGGCAAGTGTGTGTAGGCTGGGTGGCCTCGTGGAACAAAGGAAGGAGAGCAAGATAGATACTGGCGACTGCTGGTGTTGTTGTCGGGGTTACGTGGGCTCGAGGTCATCATTGAAGGATGGCTGAAGCCTGTGTGCTCCCCTGCTAATGCTATGCCAAACCGAGGTCCTTGTAATGACTGGTGCTAGCTTCTGATGCCAGTGATGGTCAAACAGTGCCGGGTTTCTTGGCGTGTAGTTTTTCTTCGTTGATGCGTGCTTTTCCCTTGCTATCTTGACCGTGTGAGTTTGTGCGAATATGAGCGGAGAAGAGATTCCCCAGTCGCAGAATGGCCGGCGGGATATGTACGTTGGCTCGAATGTTCACTTCTCTCCCATCGATGGCAAGCCATTATGCAGCTACTCGCAGAAGCTGTGCAAGCAAAGAAGGCTGAATGGCTTTGCATTTTGTATTCGCCATGTTTTGGAGGATCCTCACTGTGACTTCAAGCAATGTGCATACGTCGCGAAATACAATGGAAATCGATGCACCAATCCTATTCCGACCAAGGAAGACCGGGTGTAAGGAAAATAATCTTTCTTCTTTAGTTTCATCGTACTCTTCATAATGAGGCTTGTTTTGGTTTGTAGAATTGATAGAATCAGATCTTCGTCGTTGTGTACTAGTATGTATGTGTGTATTAGTATATTCTGTGGTGTCGAAGTCATAATTTGTATTTGTTTTTACTTGATGTTTATAGGTATTGTAATAGTCACCTTCAAGTTCTGGGAATACTGCCCAAGACACGCAAAAGAAAGCATGGAGAACCAGAGATGTCACCGTCTACTCCTGGGTCGTTCAAAATGAAGAAGCTGTTAGTACCAGCTATAAACCATCAAGCAGAATCTTCATTCCAGGCAGCACTTGCTCCGAAATCTGTGGGAACGAAGAGAAGCAAATTGTTGTCAGCCGAGATTGTCAACAATGACCTCAATCAGCTATTGTCGCACGCATGTATGAATGATTTGCAAACCAGGCTGCACGAGGAGCGTGAGGCAACTGGTGAAAAAGATCTTCTCCCTCTTGGTAAGTCCCCATTTTATAATTTGCATGTTAAAATTCTCTCCTTTCTAGTTAATGTTTGGTGGACAGTAATTTCAAATCCTTTATTCACTGCTACCGACCGATTGCTATTGCCGAGACTATGTAGACAAACGTGTGCAGCAGGGGCAGGTGGCAGCACAGGCGGGTTGGATGCAAAACAATGCCGGTCTTGTTCCCCCGAGCTTGTCATTCCGGTCGCTCTTGTGACAATACCGATATACGGGTGCATGCAGGCATTGTACTATAGAAGTACAATTTTTTGTTGTTGATAACTTTCGAAACTGCGATAATTTTATTCCGAACGAAAGTTTATGCCAAGAGGGCACTGCTCCCAAGAGTGTGCAAAATCCACTCTGTTGATCTCACATCCCATGTGCATATTTTCAGCGTCTATGTATGCACATGGGATGTGAGATCAACAATGTGTGATGCGGTTTGTGTGCAGTCATGCGGATTACAGCATGAAAAGACGTAATTCTGTGACAGAGATCTTTGTGGAGTAGCACACTCTTGGGGGCTATTTACTCTTGTTGGTACTTATCCCGTATGGTCCTTCTTGGTCTAGGCCGCGTTGGGAGTAGGCAGGTCGAACCTTTGATCAGATTGTGCCCTACATAGACCATGGATATCGTAGGAGTTTCATGTCCTGAATCCAGATCCGCACACTGGTACTAGTAGTACTGCACTCGTATGACCTGTGGTATGAGCTTTTGCTGCACCCAGTGTGATGCAACGCCAGATGACTGCCTTCGGGACTATTATACGAAACCATACTATTATTTTAGTACCCTGTTGCACCAGAGTAATGACCATACCGGTAGCGTGTGGATTCTATGACTCATTGAAGTCGACGTAATTAACAACATATGCCGCTTGCCCATCTCAGAGAGGAGTTTTACACTGCGGTGTACGGGCTCTTTCTATTGTCTATTGTCTGTGTTTCTGCATTGGCGGTGTATAACTTATGTATCTGGGCTGTAAATGCGGATTGAATTGTTTATTCTACCGTCTGCCATGCCTGTGCCCTTCTGCAGTCTCTTGCTTGAGTGATGACGAGGAAGAGGCCGCTGGTTGTGGATATCGGCGGACGGCTGATCTGGTCATGCGGTCAGATCTTCCGAGGACATCTCAGCCGCCTTCTTTGACCATTGCCACTGAAGGGTAAGTGTGTTAGCATGATCTGTGCCTTTTACAGTGTTAGCTAATTGTAAGTACGGAATCAGTCTGGATCACATGCTCCGGTACACTGTCAACCCATACTGTTCGGGGTAGTACGAACCGTACCCCGAATACGTCATGTTATGTACCATCAACATCTAATTTTAGTAGCTGAGAGCTGGCTGTGGATTGTATTCATTGTGTGTGCAGGTGCAGCAGTGAGGGCAATGTCACCAGCGATACGTTTGCTGCAGGGCATGTTGAAGATGTGGCCACACTACATCAGGACTATGCCGAGAGATGCCAAGAGCGCCTGAGGCAGCTGCGCCAGGATGGAGTCCAGTCTTCCCGGGTGTATCGCCATTGCCATCGGAACGAAGCCATCGATAAGTCAGTCACTCGTGGTTTGATTGCAGCTTCGCGTAAGAATACTTATGCGGCGAGTATTTTGCTTCTCAGGCATCGGCTGCAGACCTGTCGCAAGCTTTCACGGTAAGTTATGTGTCTCGTCAAGGGTACGTGAAACTCAGAGTGCGCAGCTCTGATGGGTTGCTGTCACGGCGAATTTCCGGGATTACATCGTTTTATTGATGTAGTGCGTCTCTTTCTGCGCTGTTGCAGCTCAGTTGTACGCGCTCCGCCACTTCCCGCCGCAGATCTGCACCAAATCTGATGTAACCCCGGAATTATTATTTCGCTGTGGCAGACACCCATGCAGAAAGTCAGAAGCTGCGCACTCTTGGTTTCATATACATGTACTCTTGGTCTCATAGGTCATGAACATAGTGCGTTTCCCTTATTGCGCTGTGTCAATGTGGATACTAACAAGAGTAGCTTGCTACTGATGGTCATAGAAATACATAATATTCTTTCAACTTGAACGTGTTTCTTGTCCAGATGATCATGGTGCCGGGGTAATCTGCATCTTGATGTTTGGTGATATTTGTGGTTTGTTTCCTTTTGAAACTGCAGAAAATCCAACCGTACCAAACCGTTGAAACACTGCGCCTACATCCAACCGAACAATATCTACTGCGGCTTCGACCGTCTGCCATTCTCACGTTTCTGTTCGTCCCGTACGTTGTCCAATGGCTGTCTCCAGGCCATCTTTACCTGCAATTCTGTACTTTGTTGCTGGCCCGTTTACATAGGTTTTATTTTGTGGCTTCTAATGTTTTTATACACATGAACTTAGAAGTGTTTGGTACTTATCAGTCTCGGGTGGTAAACTTGCCCATGTAAATGCATACAATTCGCATACAGTTTCGTATACTTCAAGATGTGATAGCCAAGTCGGGGTTTTCCTGTATTCTTGGCTTCTCTTGCTGGATTGACTTTTCTTGTCATAGTTCCTTGTGCGTAACATGTACAGATTTTTGTTGTTGTTTTTTTGTGTATTCGTAGATGCATCACATGATGCTCGACAAGTCCTCTTCAACAACCACGTGGACTGGAATAGCGTGTCGTGGAGTGAAACTCTGCCTTTGGCCAATCCGCCTGAGCCGCTTGGCAGGAGCCCTTCAACCAAGGCTGCTGCTAAGACCCCTGCCAGGGCAGTGACTAAGATGCCAGCAAGGCTGTCAGCTGTGAAGCAGGTTAGTGCATCCCGTCTCTTACTGTGACTACTAGTACAGTGGAGATCGGATATAACGACAGATTGAGTTTAGCGACACAATTCTGTTGCCCAAGTCGTTTAGTTAAGCCCTTTGTGAAGATCGGGTTTAGTGACAGATCGAATATAGTGACATTTTGTTCTCTCCCGAAGGAGCAGGCCCGGCGGAACCGGTCCGGTTGGTCAGGCCGTGGCCGGACCAACTTTTTAGCTACCAACGTGTGTTTGCTGCTGAGGAGGTCATGTGTACACCATAGTGTACCCTCTATATCATACACAAACTGTATGAAAGGCTAGGGTATGGCCGGACCAATCCAAGACTGCTTCCGCCGGTCCTGATGGAGTGTCGTTATATCCAATCTCCACTGTACTACGCACTGTGTCTTCCATGAGTAGCCAGTCATCTGAGCAACAACAGCTCTGGGGTTCACAATTACAAGTCCATGCTTCATTCCTCATGTTGGACATTAAGCTAGCAGACACCGCATGTCTGCCTTTGGAACGAAGTTTCAGCTCTGCATTTTCTCTGTGGGTTTATTTTACTTGTATGCGTTGTTTTGCATAGGAGCGAAGTCGAACACCAACTGAAGCTGATGAGCATCAGCGTCTAGCCGAGGAACCTCGTCGACCCGGCCGTGGCAGAGGAGGTGGAAGAGGAAGAGGCCGTGGCGCTGGCAGAGGGAGTGCGGCAGCGTCACGATTGACAGCTTCTGGCCAGCCATCTGGAAGGGGCAAAGGACCCGTCGGTCGTCCTCCCGGCAGTGGAACGAAGGGGGCTGGGCCAGGCGGCAGGAAAAAGGCAGTGGCCGCAGCTGCTCAAGTTTCTGCTCCTATTCCTGCACCACCTCCACTGATGCCCAGTACTGGTGGTAAGCAGAAGATCGTTCTCACTCTGAAAGCACCTGCTGCTGGTGCCGCTGCTCCTACTTCTGCAACTTCTCGTCCGATGCCTGCTTCTGCATCTCGGAGCTCGGTTCCTGTCCACCAGATGGCTCCAGAAGAGACCATGTCTGAATCTTCATCAGGCAGCTACTCTGATAGCTCTGGTTCGAATTCCGATTCTGGCTCAGATTCAGACTCTGGCTCTGAGTCAGATTCCAGCTATGCATCTAATGAGGAATCGCTAGATCCCGCATCAAGAATGGTACCTCCGCCGAACGGTATCATTTCATCCTCACGAAGTTCTAGTAGTATTCATTCCTCTGATCGACGCGATCTCACTTCATCCGGCCAGCTCTTACCTAGTGGAATCTATCAAGAAGAAGGTGGACTAATGTGGTCCCCTACCAAGATGCATTCTCCTGGTGTCACTGACCAACCAGTGCTGAAGTCGCCGTTCACCTCACCCTCCTATCCGCCTGGATATTCATCTCCCTCGTCAGCATTCACTCAGACTTATCAACCATCACTCTCTATGTCGTCACCTGCGAGTGGCTCTGCTGAAATGGATGCGTACCCGTAGCCGCGTTCAACATGTGCCTGCTTCTGGTCTGCTGTAGTGTTTTGTTGTCTGTGTCCGATTCTATATTTCAACTACTTTGCTGCTTCCCATTGCCTTTGGGTCCCTGATGCTATTCCCGTCCTCCTTCGTTTGTACTCCATTTACAGAGGTATTGTGCTCCATTGTCTATCTCTCTTGCCCCCCCCCCCCCCACACACACACATTCACCTTCATTAGCCTTTATTATAATTTGGCTTCCCTTTTTTTCTTTTTGACAGGCAGCTGGCTGTGTGTGTCCTTTTAGAATAATAATAGTAGTTCGAATTGTTAGGATTGTGTTGCCTTTTTTTTTTACACCTGCTTTGTCTGGTTCTTTATCTTCTGCTCATTTCTTATCATCGAAGGACATTATGTGCAGCGTCTGTGGTTTTGAGCTCTCCTTGAGATATTGTTTTATTGTCGTAGTGCAAGTGGCTTCTCCACTTTTTTTGGTGTTTCGGTCGCCTTTGTCGCAAATGGATCTTTTCTGTGATCACGAACTAACTGATTACTGACTGACCACTGCTGCTAGTATACCGAGTGACATTTAACCAGTGGTGACGCCTTGTGAGCAAGCGAGTGTGTGTCGTTGTGTGTGCATTGCAATCCAATATCCGAACATGTGAGTCGAATCAACACCGGAGCACAGCCCAGTGTTCGCTGATCTGCATGTGCCAGCGCCCAGTGCGTACTTTGACTCTTGTGAGCAGCACCCGGCCGGCACATAGTATGAACCAGGGAGTAGTAAAATACATTTTACTACTCCCTGGTATGAACTATGATACCAAGAGTCAATTAAAAAAAATGTACTCTTGATGATACTTCCCAACTCCCTGACCAGGCCAGTGTGAGTAGATCTACTTCTTGAGAGCCTTTTTATGTTAAAAAAATTGTTCAGGGAGTTCAAAGTACACAAAATCGATTTTGTATTTTGGCTATGGCCGGCCCAATCAAGGCATTTGCCATGTGGCTCATTTTCGGTACGGTGCAAAGCTGTACGGTGTACTGCCAATTATACACATTTCACTTGTGTGTGTAGGTACGGTATTTCGGTGGGTCATTCAACTCCCTGGCGCAGTTTGGAAACACCCCTGGGTGTGAACCAGGGAGTTGGGGCAACTCCCGGGTCTGAACTATCCCGTGCCCGTGGGAAGGACCAATCAAATGCACCTGAATGCCAGGGAGTCGTACCCAAACTAGTCCCTGGTGATGTCGTAATGATTATGTTATTTTTTGAACAATCGACATCACACAGTCACTGTCCACGCACTCGAGCTTCACTATTTTTTTTTACAAAGCAGTTGTTGCTCCATGCTGTATTCAAAGCGCACAACATAGTCTGTGGATCTTGCCACCCAATTGGAGCATTTCAACAGTATTGTCGGATAGATGTAATAAGGTTTCCAGAAATGTCTACAGCGGACAACAGGCGGTAAGTACAAGTGCACCTAAATTGATAATTTTTGTTTTCAATTTCCTCCTATGAGTAATGATGCATGTAATCAACAACTGAAATTTCTCACTCATTGAATGTACCGGTAATGTGTTTTTCCGCATTGAAATTGTAGGAAAGAAGCCAGGGAACGGGCAGAGCGTCTTGTTCAGGCTTATCATCATCGTTTGGCAGTAGGTTGTGGCTCGGTAGATTGCGAGAATGAGAATTGTCGGTCATCACCACACTTTCGTTCAGTTTCCAGTTCTGAACTACCGAAATTAGCAGTGGAATTAGCCAGGAGAAAAGCTCATTTGTGTTCCCAGCTCAGCGGTGCTAGTAGTAGTAGTAGTACCAGTACTTACTGTAGCACTACGAGCGACTCTGTGTCTGAAACATGTGATCAACCTGTCGCCAGTGCTGCCTCGAAGGATGATGTGCCCGAACCTATGGACGTGGGCTTTCCCGATGATGACGAAAGTTCAGATCATGCCTGTGTAGTCGTAGATGGAAGTCTCGCTCGGCAGGGGGAACAGCAGGAGGATGAATCTCCCGGTAAGTCAGATTTTCTCCAAACAGTGGCTGTGCTCAGACAGTGCTCAGACAGTCTAAATAATTATGGTGCTCATGTTGTTCTCCAAGTCTAAAACCAAATGCATGTATTGTAAAATTAACTGTGTCTTGTCAATTTGGTATATTCATGATCTGATAATACATTACGAGATAGTGGTAGCGACTTCAGCGATGATTTTATAGGAAAGTTGGTTGCTCCCCATACCGCAGCTTGCACTTTTCCGCCGACTTGACTTGACAGTTGACTGACTCACGACTGCTATCCACAGCATACGAGAAGTTCACCGAAACTTCAGCTCTGCAAACCTGCAAAAAAAAGCACCACTCCCTGCTCAATACACAATGTTTCGGGGAGTTCATCCCTCATCAGCTGAGCTTGAGTAGGCTGAGGAAGAGTGTGTGAAGAGCACCACTTATATAGTGCTCTCCAGGCTAGACCATCACCAGGGATGCAAACTTACAGAGACACTCCGTTTCCAGCACGACGCACACACACTTCGTGTACACCAGATAGCAGTATGAGCCAGTGTTGCTCCTGGACAGTGAGAACCAGGGAGTGGTATTTTACGACTCCCTGGTGAGAACAGACATGTTCGTGCAACCCATAACCAAGCACTACAGTAAACCTGTCTAGGACGACCGCTCAAGGGACCTTCAAAACGTGGTCTCTGTTGCCAGGTGGTCTCCTTATCCAGGGTCATGTGACTGGAAATAGCATCCCTTGGTCCTGATTGAAGTGGTCTTCCAACACGGGTGGTCGGCGACTGGTCGCCTTATCCGAGTGGTCGACTTGAGAGATTTTACTGTACTTACCAGATGCCACTTTACGAACCTGCTGCCCCGTCTTCTTCCTCTGGCGTATCCAAAATTCCACTTTATGATTGTAAATGAGGAGCTACCTCAGGGTTCTAGCCAGGTACAAATAGTAGGGGGGGGGGGGGGGGGGCCGGGAAAACAGTTACCGGTAACCCATTTTTTTCCATTTTCCAAAATTGCCTTGCCACGCCAAATGTAAGCAACAAGCAGCACAGTGTGCACCCGTATCAGGAACTCGGAACCATCGATCAGTGACTGCATGCATTTGCGTAATATGGCCTTAAAAACAAAAATCGGAAAATGAGCAGTGCCCCCCCCCCCCCCCTTGGCTAGAACCCTGTACGGGTACGTGCTTTGTGGTGGCTTACTGTATGCATTCTTGATTTTCTATGTATCAAATCAAAGCATTCACTACCAACTTTGTATCAGAATGATGCCTACATGTGTGGAGTGTGTACTGTCTTATACACGGTCACTCAGTTTTACAATGAAGGACGATGATGTATTGCTGGTATGCCTGGAATGGTGCACGTGACACTCAGTTCCATGGCCTGGCTGCATTACACGTTTGATCCTTGTCTTCTATCTATTGCTTGTGTATGGTTTGTTTACCACACACAGCCGCTGCAGATGCGGAGTCTTCATCAGAACAACCGCAAGCTTCGCGGATTTCACCCCGAGCTCTGGAGACTGATGAAGTGCAGAGCCTGGCAGCTGCTTATCGCGAGTCCGGCGATGCTAAGCATCTGCATGGCCGGCTGTTTGAGGCCTTCTCGTCCTGGCAAATCCTATGTACTAGCTTCCGCAAGCCAGCCACGGGGCAACATCTGGTACAGCCAGAGCAGTCACCTATGACCCAGGGTGAGAGCAGTGATCAACCTATGGAGATGGATGAGCGTCGGCCACAAGGTGAGTGTGCTCATGATCACTGTTGCCTTGCATGCTTGGATTGGGTTCATCATCGCTGTTGCCTTGCTTGGATCGATGCATGGCTTCTATGCTCTACAAGTCGGGTCTGAAGGAGGATGCATCATTTCCAGTCGCTTCCGACCCAGCTGTTTTCTGATCTGGAAAAAAACTTGGAGAAGGTGCATGATTTGTTCATGTTTCTTGACCAGACCCGCACTACACGCGTTGCTATTAGCTGTTTACGGGCCTCTAGCCATGCTGTTGTCCATGATGCTATGCCCATCACTCAGGCAGTGGCTCAACCTCATCCTCTGCATGACCGCAGTGGTTACTAGTTTGTAGTACAGCGCTGCTCAGTGAAATGCCGATCGTGTCAGTCTAGTTTGCACCCTGCACCAGTTTGCAGCCGAGTGTTCGCAGGTCTAGGGTTGCGCAGCGGCCGGAGGCGCACACTTGACTCACGCAATTGGATTTCATTGAGCAGCTCTGTGCAAGTACGAGTAGGTAGTTTGACACAGTTAGTTGTCACAGACTCTTGTCTGAGCACAGGCTACCCTGGGTGAGTAGTCTTCATCATGTTATTGTACACTGGACCTCGGTACATTTGTTGTATGATGATCCCTGCCCTTTCTCTCATACTTTCCCTTGTCTCTTCCTGTTGTTTCTGTCTGCAGATCACCTTGTGGCAGGCTCATCCAAGGTGTCAGTGTCGATGAGTTCCGTCCGCTCAGCGTTCAGCATACTGAATGGTCTGGATGAACACTCGGACGTCAGTGGTGTTATTGCCACCTCTCTCGATAACTTGTTTGCAGATTTCCGGGTGAAGTGCCAGTACGACTTCTTAGAGCGTCTAGTTGATGTAGACCCAACATCGCTTCTTGATCTCACAGTCATCTTGTTAGAACTGCCATGGCTAATGGAGCCCTGTTTCCTAGAGGAAACCTTGCCGAAGATTGTCCAGTTTTGCTCCGACCTGCCAACTGTGTTCAGGATGGAACTAGCCCGGCACATGTCTTGTTACAGCGAGGAGCAACTTGAGACCATCGTGTCAGCCATTCAGCAGTTTGTGGCCTTCCACATTGCCATGCTTGACGTCACCGAGGATGAGTTTGTGCCCGACCATCCGATAAAACACGCAATCATCACCCTGGAGGTGTTGTATGCTGCAGCTGTCCTTGGCGGGGAACAGCGACAGCGTGGTGCGGAAAGGGCTGAAGCAGCAGCGGCGGCGACGGCGGATGCAGCGCCATCCAGTCTCGGGCATGATTGGCCAGCGAACCTCGGTAGTTACCTGACATTCGTATCGGCCGAGGAGAAAGCACAGAGTGGCAATGCAAGGGAAAGGAGCCTCATGGCGAGACTGGTCACAGAGCAGCATGACTGTAAGAAGCCGTTAGTGCCATTTTCCTCCTTTGTGAGTGAGCCACTGAACAGTGTCTTGGACCAGCATATGGACTACATCCACTTCAGGCACCACACCTTTCGCTTCTCTGTCATGCGCTACCCATTCCTGCTGTCACTCGAGTACAAGGCCTCCATCCTGAAGGTGGACTGCCGGCTACGCCAGCGCCTGGAGCGTGGCATCTTTCAGCTAGGCAACATGCTGTACATCACGCCGTACCTAAAGCTTCAAGTACGACGTGAGCACATCATGCAAGATGCTCTTGTGCAGGTGAGCTCATCTACTGTCTCCCACCACTATTTCGGTTTGGTGTTTGTGCTCCCTGCTAATGCTGATGTGTGTTTGGCAGTGCTCTTGGCCAGCCTTGCGCTGTTTGATCTAGCAGACTGTACTGTTTGTCATTGAGGGCCGTTTGATTATGCACTGCTCGCCTGGCTATGAAGTACTGTATGATCTATGAAGCACATAGCCCTTGCCATGTACATGTACATGTAGTTGTTCTGACTTTTGCATGTGCATACCTTATGCATATTTGCATGTGTGCCCACGAGCTTGTCCATGCATTCGATTGCGTGCTCGTGCACACGTGTAGTGCTGTACTTCCTGTCAGTATGGGTATGTCTTCACATGTTTGTATGGGTTCACGCGGGTGCCTTTTTTCTGGCCAATGTGTGTTTGTATATTTCATCGTTTCCACCGTGCTGTACGCATGTATGTCGTTTACAGCTTGAGATTGCGGCCAGTGATGATGCAGAGAGTCTCAAGAAGCAGCTGTACGTGGAGTTTGAAGGTGAACAGGGTGTTGATGAAGGTGGCGTGCAGAAAGAGTTCTTCCAGATCCTAATAGAGCAGCTCTTCAATGCAGACTTCGGTGAGGACTTGATGCTGCATTCACTGTGCTTGTGTACGTGTGTTTGTGTGTGTGTTTGTGTGTGTGTGTGTTTATGTGTGTGCACGTGTTTATGTGCCTGCACGTGTTGCCTGGGGGTTTGACATGCCAGCACAGTAGGAAATACATTTAAAAAATGAACCTACCCCTGCTGAAGTACTCCGACCCTGGGCATCTCAATAAAACACGGCTCTGCTGTATTCGTTAGGTTGAATATTACTGGTCACCACATGCACTCTACATGTACATCCATGCTGTGGCGGTTTTTGCTCAGCAAAACCTGGTCTCTATCATATATTCCGTAAACCAAGACGTAATCTTTCGCGATGGGTGTGAAATCGCAAAAGTAAGCCCGTGCGAAATATAGAACTGTAGTAAAGAAACTGAGGAAATTGACTCCAATCGCGAACATCTCCAGGTGCAAACTTGTCTGTGCTCACAAATCGCGAACTAAAACGGGCGCACACGTTTCCGGGTTTGTTTTTGAACAGTTGTCACTTCGTGCCGCCAGCAGCAGCTGAAATGCACCTGAGCTGTACAGTTGAATACAAATACCTTTACCACAAATGGTGTTTTCTAAGCAACGTGTTAGATTGCACAGTCCTGCTCAATGAAATCCCATCTCAGGAGTCAACTTACTGCAGCTGGATGCTATGCAGCACCAGATCTTTGAGCCGAAACGTGGCATAGTGTGCAGCTCTCGGTTTGTCTAATTCCACTGTGCGGGCACACTCCATCCGACTGTGTGTGCGTGCAGGAATGTTCACCTACGAGGAGACAACGCGCCTGTTCTGGTTCAACCCGGTGTCTTTTGAGAACAAGTCTCACTTCACCCTGATCGGCATGCTGCTCGGCCTGGCCCTGTACAACAATGTCATTCTGGATATCCACCTACCGTCAGTTGTCTACCGCAAGCTGATGGGAATTTCGGGCAGCTTCGACGATCTCAAAGATTCTCACCCGGTAAGCACAACATGTACAAGTACTGAACTTGGACAAGATGTGCATGCGTCGTTATGGATGTTACTCGTTTGGGTTTTTTCCAACTCCAGGCACTTTATTCACCGACACTGATGGCGTGTGTGTGCGTGCGTGCGTGTGTGTGTGTGTGTGCCATATGGTGCAGTGGTATGTGCAGTAGATTTCCAATCGAGAGGTTGCGGGTTCAATTCCCGACGATTATGGTCACACACGTCTTTCTTCTCTTTCTCATTCTCCTAGCTCTTCTTACATTCTCCTGGGTGGTTACCAACAGCCAGTGTACACCGGAGTATGTGGTGTGTGTGTGTAAAACAAATGAAAAAATGAAAAACAGGGATTCACTGACCAGAAAAAAACCACTTCAATCAGCTGTGTGATGGATACCAGGCTAAAATTAGTGGCGGTCAATTCATCAGCCTTGCAGGCTGTTGAATGGTGTAATCCCAGCCCAAGTTAGTTGCTATGTCTAACATGGCTGTTCGCTATCATCGCTTCCGCGATGGGCAGGTCTGAGGTGTGTGTGCGTGTGCGTATTTGTTTATGTTGTTCTTTACTGTACAGGGAATTGCCTCTGGTCTCCAGCAGATGCTTGACTACAGGGGTGAGGACTTTGTGGAGATATTCGACTGCACTTTCAACATTGGCTATCAAGATGTGTTTGGTGAATCCCTAGCGCACGACCTTGTACCAAATGGCAGCGAGGTGATGGTCACTGCGAGCAATGTCAAGGTATGTAGTATGTACTCACTGCTGCTGCTGCTGCTGCTGCTGCTGCTGCTGCTGCTGCTGCTGCTGCTGCTGCTGCTGCTGCTGCTGCACAATCTAAAGCGATGCATTGTTATCAGTATGCATGTGGGTGTGCGAGGGCTGGGGGAGGGGGGGGGGGGGGCTGCAAGTGTCTAGTTAATAGCAGAAAAGACAGCTGTTATTTGTCTGGTGCATGATAGGATTGCTTACTTTATGGGCACACCAAGGTTTTTGTTTTCCTCTCCTCTGATCTCTTTATCTTGCTCTCTTTCGCTCCCTCAGGAATATGTCACTCTTTATACTGACTTCCTGCTCAACAAGATGGTAGCTGAACAGGTGTGTAGAGTGCTTATTGACTGTGTGATCACGTGACTACTCATACTACTGTCAATAGCTAGTTTTCACTAAGAAAGTGGTGGACATCACGCAACTGCATCATACAGAAAAGGGGGTTGTCAACTGACAGCCGCTCTATTCAGTTGCTATTCACAGTCATTTGCGCTGGATGAAAAATTTCTTTATTGTGATGTCAAATTATGACGTTTCGGGCCAGTCACCCATCGTCAGAATCTATTTTCGTAGGCGATTTAATTTCATTATTCTCACAAGGGAGGCCGGCATACAGCTGCCGTGCATGAGGTCGAGTCGAGTTGCAGTTTGCCAAAGTAAAAAAGAGTATCAGATAAACTGAACCCACAACTAACGGGGACAGCAGCAGCATCTTTATGTGCTAATAACTAGTAATAAGCAACAGGAATGTGTGATAGCTAAGATACTGTACCAATTAATATTTGGGCAACTTTCCACTTGGCAAGAAGAAAAAATACAATGACCAACATTCTGCGCCAGCACAAGATTCCAGCAGCAGCTGTGCCCTTGCACCCAGCAACCGTTGCAAAACTCTACAAAAGAACAAAAATTCACTGTGTTCAGCCAACGAGAAATGAACCTTTACGTTGCCGATGTTTGTTGCTTGCCCAATTGAGTCGATTTATGTTATTCACAATGATGCGGTGCTGGTTTTCCAGCGTAGCTGCGGTTTGTTGGTGCTCGTGCAGATTTCTTGTCAGCACTAAGTCTTGTTGGCTGGTACTCGTGCAGATTTCTTGGCAGCACTAAGTCTTGTTGACTTACAGTACCTGCGGTGGGTCTAGGCTATCTCAGTATCTGGCTATCACAACAGCACTCTTTTCTTCTTTTTTCCTCCCTTATGACCTCTGTGCACTCAGTTTGACGCGTTCAAGAAGGGCTTCACCGTGGTAACACACAAGTCCAATATCATTGAGTGGTTCTTGCCGGATGAGCTGGAACTGCTCATCTGTGGCCGAAAGGTGAGTGAGTAGTTAGCAACTGAACAGGCCAACCTGTTGCCGAGTGTGTGCAATACTTTAACCCTTACCCGACCGTCAAAGTGGACACGCTCCCAGTGCCCGATGCACACCTTGTCCCCTTTTGAGGATGACTTTCCTTTCCCTTGTTTTAAAAGGTTTAGGAGGGCCACATACTGAATTCTAATTACCAAATTTACACCATCTGTAAATTTGTTTTGGAAGCAGTGCAAACACAGGCTTCTTTCAAACGCTTTTTTACTTTCCTTTGTAGCATGTTATGACGCTCCTGTTGTCCATTTCTTGGGAAAACAGTAGTGTACAAACAATTGGCGTCATCTTTGTACCCCATCTCAAATTGTATTTCTTTTAAACTCTTCTGTCCTCTGCAGACTTTGGATTTTGATGGCTTTGAGGCAAACGCGGCGTATGATGGTTACGACAAAGACACGGAAATTATCAGGTGAGTATCAATATGCCTGTACTGCATGTGTTCCCGTGGGTGGGTGGGTGTCCGTGCGTGTACATGCATGTATGTACAGTAAAACCTGTCAAGGCGACCACTCGGATAAGGCGACCACCTGTCCTAGAAGACCACTCAAACCAGGACCAATGGATGCTATTTCCAGTCAAATGACCCTGGATAAGGAGACCACCTGGTAACAGGGACCACCTTTTAAAGGTCCCGTGAGCGGTCGTCTTAGACAAGTTTCACTGTACGTGCATGTGTGAACATGTGTGTGTGTGTATGTGCATGCACGTATGTGTGTACTTCAAAGTAAGTGCGTGCCTGCACTGTAAATGCTGGAGGGAGTGCAAGTCCTCCACCGTGTACACACATGTCATGCATGCTCTTGCATCGTAACAGCTGTTTCTGGTGTGCAGTGGAATTGTTTAGCTTTTCGGATAATTCCTTTTTTTCTTTTCTTGTTGCTTGCCCTCTGACAGGCATTTCTGGGAGATAGTAAACTCATTCAACGAGGAGAACAAGCGCAGGCTCCTATCCTTTTGTACAGGCAGTGATCGAGTGCCGATTGGCGGTCTCAAGGCACTCAACTTCACCATTGTGCGGAGTGGCCCTGACTCAGACAGGTGAGTACATACTCTCTATGTTTATGTTTTGACACGACTGACTGCTCCCAAGCTGAAGTGTGAGGTTGATCGTGCAGTCATCTGTTCCAAATTCTTGACAAGCTATTCCTTTGGGCCTGTCACCTTTCCCTGGCTTTTGCTCCGTGACACCGAGCGCAGACTGAGAGCTCGTTGCTTTTGTTGCATGCTCTTCAGTTATTGACGTATTGGTGTTTCTTACTGTGAAGAGTTTTTATGGTTCTATGTTGACTTTCCACATGATTATCCAGTGCCATCCTTCTAAAATGGTGCCCGCCTGAACCATGTTTCGTCTTGTGTTGTGCTTGCAGACTGCCCTCGGCACATACTTGCTTCAATACCCTTCTCCTGCCCCATTACAAGGACCGGGACACGCTGAGGACACGCCTGCTTATTGCCATCTCGCACGCCAAGGGATTCGGTATGGTCTAATGCGTGTGAATACACATGAACGCTTGTACGTCTGTAGCTCCTTCATGCGAGCTGTGCATGTGATAGTGCCTGTGCGTGTGCAGGGTAAACACATCGCCCTGTCGTCACCAGTACTGCACTAGTGCCTGGTAGGTGAAGCTGAACACTGCCAGCTACTGCACTACGACTATATGCATTGGTGTACACAGTGCTACGATGAGCAGCGTAGCGACACCAGTGCAAGGCTGTAAGTGTCTGTACACAATTGCAAGGCTGCGAGTGTCTGGTGTACTTTAGTACGTTGGGTGGTGGTGATGGTGAGACGGTCTAAGCTTCCCGCGTGATGTCACTCGGTTTATTCCCAGTACAACTTATTTATGTGCACATTCATTCCGGTCACTCGGTGTGATTGAGCCACCGCCAAAGTATCTGTGTCTAGTTATCGTAGCTGTAGTTTTTTCATCACCTCGCATCCTGCCCACCAGTTTAGTGTCATCCGTGTGATTTCAGATGTTGTGCCATCGGCGTCTTGTGGCTGATGCTGGTGTTGTACTGTTACATACTTAACGCGAGCGGTCTTTTCATCATCCACGTGTGCAGCGATAGTCTAGTTTCGGGGTCTAGTCTGTCATCAAGGTCACCCTTCGGTTATTCTAATCTTATATAAGTTCAGAATTTGCGTGCTGTTTTGTTTGTTTGTTTTTGCTATTTTTAACTCGCCCAATGTTATGACGTATGATAGTCTGAACATAAACGGCAGATTGCATCATTTTTAATACTTTCGTAATTGTCACCCAACCCGCTGGTTGTAATTGCGTGCCGTTTCGCTGCTTGCTTGCTGTCTTGTTTTGCACATGCCCGCGATCCCATCTAAGTACCTCCACCACCCTTGGCCTTGCTGTCTCTCTCCCCAGATTGGCCTTGCTGTCTCTCTCCCCAGATTGGACTGATCATGGTGGTGTGTGTGTGGCTGGTAGTTGGGTTCTGCTGTATATATGTATATGTGTTGTTGTTGTTTTTTGATTTGAATTCTCGTTGTTGTTCTTGTTGTTGTTCTTGTTGCTGTTGTTCTTGTTCTTGCTCTTGTTCTTGTGTTGTGTTGGCGTGCGTGCGTGGGTCATCCAGACCGATCAAAATACTATATTTCCATTTTTTACTCGTCTAACTTAGTACCTTTCACTCACCATGTGCCTCCTAATGTTCGGGCATTCTTTCTATATACGTTATATTTTCCCGAAAGCTGGCATGGTTCGAGTGCCGGCCTATTCGAAATGGTAGTGCGCTGCTCTCTGGTCTGAACTGATACTCTCACCCATGACTGTTGCATAGAACACTACACGTATATCCGTTTGCGGTGACTCCTGTCAGTCCTGACTGCTGGCTGGTGATCAGCTGGTGCTGTACATGTCCCGACGTGCAATGCCCATGCTTTGTGCCTGTGCAAACGCTGTGTATCCGTGTAAACGGCATTTCTACCTCCCACCTGTTTCATTTCTGGTCTCTGACTCTCGGAAACTTGACACATGAACATTCCTGCTGAGCAATGCTGCTGTCATGACATACTGAAATGAAGAATAACCAGGTGCCCAACTGTAATATGTCCCCAGAATTCTCTGAACTGATGAATATTGTGTTGATGCGTTGGGGCTCCCTGTATGCCATGTACGAGTTTGTGCGTGAAGTGTGTGGGTACAGTGAGGGCTGCGTCCCGCCAGCCTGTGTAGTGTCGCAGGAAGCATGAGTTTCAAAGTCTAAAGAAAATGTTGAACGACCGCTGCTGGCATAACACCATACTGCATTGGCTAGAGCATCACTGGCACTGGCCCCTGGTTTGAGTCCGTGACAGTCAGCTTTTTCTTCAGACTTTGTCCCTTTTCAACTCCCTCAACATGGATATGACATCAAGCTGTAGGTAATTTTTTGTAGTCAGCAAAAGCTTTGTTCACCCTAATGTTTGTTTGTTTTTTTGTCAGAATCAATCAAGTCTTGCTCCCAGATCGTGTTACTAGTACACTCATACCTCGTTTATCCGGGCAGTCCGGGACCGGGCACTGCCCATAACTCCCGATCACGTACGTTTTGATGGGGAAGGGACATAGATATGGTGTTATAGCACCACTATTTTCACTAAAATTGGTAAAGGAGTAGTGATATTTCCACTGAAACTCGCCCGAAGGGTGCTTGACTGCTTGGTCAGCGTAGACCGAAGTCAAAGTGCCCGCTGTGTCCGGATAACCAAGGGATGGGTGTCACATGGTATCAACTTGGGACAGTTGAGCCAAACTGAAGAAAATGATGACATATCCGTTGTGGCTGTAGTGCATTTCTGAGTTACGGACGCTTCTGAGATTTAGATGCGGTCACTCCTCAGTCCCTCGGCTCCCGGATAAGAGAGGTTCTACCATGCTGTACTGCTTTGTCCACCCTTGTGGAATTTCAACTTCGTGTCTTGTCTGCTGCACCTATTCTCTGGAACTTGTCAGTGCACAACCAGGCATGACAGCTCGGGTGCACGATAACTGTGGGATCCATTATGTGGCCAAATTAGGACATTCTCTTAGCCGATGAGGCGAGAAAAACAAACAGAAAACGGCCCCATTTGGGAAATGCCTAGCACCAAAGCCACCATATGGCCACGGCAAGTTCGTAACACTTGCCGCTCTGCATCTCCACACACATACAGTTTAACACCTATGAGTTTTGGACAATCGTTAAATTTGCAACTCGTTTTAATAATATGTCCCACAGTAGTCACCGGGGAGTCACGGAAGCAGGTGCAGTCTTTCCTCAGATCGAAAAGCACCACTGTAACTGGCAAAGGAAAAGAAAGACGGGCTACACAGACAACTAAATAAATAAATCAAAATAAATAAATAAATACCAAGAGAAAGACAGTAATTACTTGTAGTTCAGTTGTGTATGTCCACGAACATCTTACATAAATCTCACACTGAAAATGGTTGTGTATGTCCACGAACATCTTACATAAATCTTGCACTGAAAATGGATATCAAACGCCTGCCATAGGACTTTGTACAAAAAGTCAAAAATAAATAGCACTGAGCTGAATAGAAAGGAACATGATCGACATCCGGTTAGTTTTCATCCCAAACACTAGGGTAGCTTCGTTTGACTCAAACATTTGTTACATGACTGGCATCTGCAAGTTTACAGTAATAATCTAGGGACTGTTTCAATAGTACAAAAAAACTCGATCACAGAATAAATTATTACAATGCCATGAAAAAGGGTTTGGTTTCTTGAGTGATGGCCTATTTTTCATGTGGCAGAAACTGATTACTGACGAGTCTTGTCTGAACCTTGTCCATTCTTAGGTAATGAGTATTGAAAATCCATAGTATAAATACAGGCGGTGATTCCGAAAGAAATGGCCGATGGTTCGTATTGGAATATGAATTTTAAAGTATAATCCTACAAAAAATATTTCAAAGTTTTCGTCATGGGTGCGTCGAGGAGGGGGGGGGGGGGGAGAGAGAGAGAAAGAGCTGTCTGCGTAAACTTACCAGGCTGTTGGATTGACGACGCTGACGATCGGAATGCTGGGGCCAAGCAGTGGACATGTAGAGTGCATTGCACAGTACCATGTGTATCATGCGTACCACGCGGTTCTCAGTCACGGGCAAAGAATGGGCATTAACATTGCTGGCATGCACAGGCTATATCCCATGGGCATGCAGACTGAGAGCTTGCAACGGTCCTCTTGCCAAACGCAAGGAGCTGCAAGGCAGCAAAGAGAAGCCCCTTCAGCATTTACCGTGATGGCAGCCTAGGCGGTTTTTCGGCCAAAGAAGAGGCCCCAGCATTGATCAGCGGCGTTGACTCTCTCGACCTTGGCCTTCCAACCAGCGACAAGGTCATCATAGTCTTTCTCAGAAAACTCCTGCCACACAGCAAAGAGAAGACGGCAGTATGCTTTCTCAGTAACCGTCAGGACAACAAAAAGACCAGCTTATGTACTACATGATGTAGTACTCTTGCTACTAGTGAAAGCTTCCTAAGGGTGTGCAGACTCCACTGTAGCCACTTCATGTTTCACACAGTTATACACCAGTACTCGAAAACGGTCTCTCGGCTACAAATTCTTACAAAAATAATAAATATCCAAATTTTCGGGCCAGGCCCATCTTCAGGAATAAATTTCGAGTACTGGTGTATAACTGTGTGAAACTAGTGAAAGCTGTGTTGGTTTTTAAAGGGGAAGTTAAGGCAAAAATTAAAATTTCACCACTTGTAGTCTTCGGGGTGCTGAGTCGAATGGTCGTGGTCCGAGGAAGCTGAGACGCCCCCTTCCTACTTGAATCCCAATCGAACTCGCGAACTTCCACCGAAACTGGGTGACTGCGCCCTACTAGATGGGGATTTGTATGCAAAATGTCACTAAAAGCGCCATTTCATTCTTATAAAAGCACGGATGACCGCGATTGGCCCATATGTTGTAGTCGTTTGGACGCTGAGTCGACTGGTTTTGGTCCGAAAAGGCTGCGATGCAGCGTTCCTCCTTTATTCCCAATCGAACATGGTTGAACAAGCGGTCACGTGCTGCTGCGTACGCCAGTCACCTGGTCACCGTGCCTGCAGGGTACAACTTACTAGCCTGTTTGACCTTTTTTGGGTGCAGTCCTGTCACTCGAGTTGAACCTTGGTGTGAAAGTTGTCGCCTGCTGGCGTGGTGACCAGGTGATTTGGGCACCCAGGAGCACGTGACCGCTTCTTCAACCATGTTCGATTGGGAATAAAGGAGGAACGCTGCATCGCAGCCTTTTCGGACCAAAACCAGTCGACTCAGCGTCCAAAAGAGTACAACATATGGGCCAATCGCGGTCATCCGTGCTTTTATAAGAACGAAATGGCGCTTTTAGTGACATTTTGCATACAAATCCCCATCTAGTAGGGCGCAGTCACCCAGTTTCGGTGGAAGTTCGCGAGTTCGATTGGGATTCAAGTAGGAAGGGAGCGTCTCAGCTTTCTCGGACCAAGACCATTCGACTCAGCACCCCGAAGACTACAACTGGTGAAATTTTAATTTTTGCCTTAACTTCCCCTTTAAGGTGGCGATACATAGAGCTGTTCCCGGTATGACGGGAACACTGAATACTAGTACCTGGCAAAGTGCAGACCGATCAACCCATATAGCAGACGAGCGACTCTTTAGTTTAACAACCAGCAAGCAAGCTAGAACAGCATACTTCAGGAATGTTGAACTACATTGCAATCTGGTTGCAATGAACTCTTTCATACCTACTAGTATGCTGTGAAATTCGATACGAAACATTGTACATGCCTCGTTTTCTCTGTGCTCCGCTGATGAGTTCACAAGGGACGAAACAGCACGCTGTTCACAGATTGAGTACAACTATACATGGTAGAAACAGGAGACTAAGAGACAAAGCATGGGGTCCCTACCTTGACCAGTTCTGTCCGCTCGTCCGACGCTCTGCTGATTTCACGCTGCAAGATGTCACAGAACTGACGACTGCGATCCTCTGCCTGAACGTCCACGAATCCAGCATCACGCAAGAGCTGCAGACGTGCACATGTCAACCGTACAGATGGTGTTCAGAGTTATTTTCAACCCTTCTAAAGTGTTGTCCGTGCGTTGTTATGGAATAGTCTGCCAATCAATGATCACAAAGTTATGGAACATCATCATGCTGAAACGTATGAATGCAGCATGAATTCAGCCCTGATTTCAAGACCTATTGCCACTGAAAGGAAGAGCGAAGGCATAAGTTCTAGAACATCTGCAGCTTCAGTCGAGGAAAAACTACTGGTTATACATGTACTCAAAGTACCAGTTTACTGTGGGTGCTGTCAGACCTACCTGTCCATAGTGCTTGACACTGTGCAGTGTGTAGTGCCGCTGGGCTACGTACGCCTTGAAGCTCTCGCTCCACTCTGCCTCACCGCAGCAGTAATCGGAGATCAGGATGCGGCCACCAGGCTTCAGCCAGCGCTAAAACACACACAAACACACGGGCAGGACGCGGAGCACACTCAGCTGCAACAAAAGAGCTTTCAAACACAATGCCACTGCGATAATTCCATGTTGAAGCATAAGGAGCTATAACCGAAGAGAAGATGATTTGCTTCTCAAGTATATCCATGTCCCAGTATAGTAACTAGTTATGCCTTCAGCTACTGTACATGTACATCAAACTATACTTTAATACCGTATTCCGGAGTACAAGCCGCACTGGAATAAGCCGAATCCCCATTTTTTGCCACAAAATACAGACATCTATCCTATTATCACTGTTAATTTGATCATTGGAGTATAAGCCGCACACCCCTTTTGTTGCGTGAATTTTGAGTGTTCAAAGTGCGGCTTATACGCCGGAAAATACAGCACTTGGCATGTACTGTAAGAGTTTCAGAAGGGCATAGTTCATGAAGTAAGTAACTTAGTTCAAGTAACAGATGACGATTCTAGTGACGATGAAACTTATCATAGAAAACTTACAAAGAATGTCTTGAACACTTCTCCCTTGTTCGGAATGTGGAGCAATGTGTCCCTGCTGTAGATGACATCGAATGACTCATCAGGAAACTGGCGCTTGGTGCAGTCCGACACTTCGTACAGCACCTGCATAAAGACAAGCAAGCCCGGTTCTACATCAGGGGACTTGCAACCAATGCAGGTGATGTTACGTAAGTGACTTTATCATGATCTGCACAATCAGGAGAATCCAAGTTAGTTTATCTCGGGGTAGGCACGCAAATGCACCACCATGGCTCAGAGACAGCAACCTACCGATCCTGCTGAGCAGCTGACTGCCCGAGCCAGAGCAATGTGTACCATGTTGGTAGAGAGATCCAGACCCAGCACATCCACACCATGGTTCTCCGCCATGTACAGCGCACCGCCACCCAGACCTGATCCGACATCCAGGATCTTCTCGCTCTTCTGCAGCTTCAGCATGGGGACAAACTCCTGAAAAGAAGAAAATAGCAGACACCACTTGATTGCAATCAAACCCGTATTGTATAGTTCTCTTGATTACTACTAAAATGTAGCTTTTTCCTGTTGAGCTGCAGCTTTCTCCATACAAGAGAGTCCACCATAAGCAACCAGCTATCTTTAGAGGATGCTTACCGCAGGGACCAGACCAGGTTTCAACAAACATTCGAATTTCTGTAAATGTATGAAGACTATACCTGTCTATAGATAGGACAGGTTTCTGTGCACCATGGAGCGGTTGCCAAACACAGACTAGCCTGCACTTGAAGTAGAGTCATGGAGTTTAACATGTGAAGTTCATGATTGAGTCATGGAGTTTATGTCAGACGCCTACACTGGCCTGGGGAGTAGATGGACATGTACATCCACTCCACATCGACTGCGATTTCATGGAATGTGACCTAACGGCTTGATTGTTGCAGTGCTAGAATCCTGGAGCTTCGGTAGAGTTACAGTCCATTTCAAAACTATAGACGCGTAGTGTTTTGCAAAATTCGATGGGATTTATTTAAATATTTTTAGTTTTTTCTCCAGATTCCGTCTCTGCATCGCTTCACAATTCTGGCTATATACTTTGTTTTCGCTACAATTGAAGTTTATTTTTAGGCCAGGCTCTCTCGTTTTACATGTAATTTCTGTTTTGAAGGGTTTGACCAGTTTGTTTCGGATTTTTGCTCCTGCTGAGACAGTGCTGCGCCCAGACCATCGCGGGTGCATTTTTGTACGGGTCCTGGTAGCCTCGTGGTTTCGATCCGTGATTTCCAGTACAAGTGTGGGCCGGGGCATTCGAATCCCATCATACCTCCTGCCTTTTTTCTCTTCTTTTCTGCATGTTTTGGATCTTGTTGGGTGAAATGCTGTAGAGATGATAATTATATTTTCTCTTTTTGATTTGATTTGAGCCTCCCTGTTCCCTTTGCCTGATACAACGAGTGACAGTGGTTTCACTCACGCCAGTTGCAAGGTGAGTTCGACGACGAGGATTTCGGATACTCCAGCGTCAATCAAAATCCAGCTCTTGTTCAAAGAAACAATGAACACGACTAATCATATCTTTCTCGGCATCACTGAGATTCTTACGGACCTTGGAAGCCATTACAGTCACGCACTCAGAAAATGCAAGCAAGAAGATTCATTTGAGGCTTTCATTTCTTTTGAGACTTTCCTCACACCTTTTCATTTGCGACTTTGCGTGTTTTGCATCTTTTGTATTTCCCGCGGCGACGAAGAAAAACCTGAAAAACACATCTGAAAACCAGAAAACACTCATGCAAAACTCACGGCTATCGTGCGCTACAGTACGTACGGCTCGTACGTATGAGTTGACGCGTCTATAGTTTTGAAATGGACTGCAGTAGTCCGATTGCACTATAAAATCTGTGTCGACGGCTATCGCAATGACCATATGGTCCATTACAGTACTGTTGGGTACCGAAGAACGAGCAGGCTAGGATTTCACCAAGCAGAGCATACCAATGTATACACGGCGACCCAACGGTGCATTGACAGTAATACATGAAAATAAGAATGGTCTTGGCCAGGAGGCTGCCCCCCCCCCCCCCCCCCAGTTCTTCGGCGACTGACAATACTGTACAGAGCACACATCCAGACCCATGTGTCTACCTTCACTGTGTTCACCGGCACTGCATACATTATGATAAGACTATCTGTGACTCCCAAGTCTGACTCATTGCCTGCCTCGCTCCTCATCTCAAAGTGAGTACTTACTGCTGTTGTTTCTGGACCTCCGGTGCTGACGTAGTTCTTGCCAAACATCTTCTCGTAGCGCAGAATGCCAGTCTCAGAGTACTGCTGCTGATCGAGGAATTCTCGCATCGACTGGTAGCCAAAATAGTCAGCACTGTCTGCAACGGGGACCGTTGTCACCTGGAAAACAACGTGAAGACATCCAGAACATGATTGATCGTATGTGAGCGTATAATTAAAGGATGCAGTGGTCATGAATATCATTTAATAGGGGAGCAACAAATCCCACGTAAATGTACATTTATATCTCGCTTATCTGGGTGGTCCGGGACCGGGCACTGCCGATAACTTCGCGAATAGCACATTATGTTTTATCGTCTGATGAGAGTTTTCGAACACGAAACTCGGAGTAACGAGAAAGCTTTTGGTCTCTGTTGTTCTGCCTTGTGTAACTCTGAGTCACGTACATTTCAATGGGGAAGGGCCAGAGATCCAGAATATGACATCATGACTATATCCACTAAAACGGACAAAGGTAGTAATATTTCCACTAAAACCCATCCACAGGGTGCCGGGAAGTACCCGTAACTTTCGAGGTCCGGATAAGAGTGATGAGCGGTGTACAGTGTACAGTGTACTTCTATCTTCAACAAAAAGAAAAAGAAAGGAACAGTCCTAACACGTAACGTACCTTTGTCCAGCTCCAACACATTTGATGCGGGTTGTTCTTCAACTGCAGATAGGAGCGTACGCAGCGCGAGAAGTTCAGGTCCAGGCAGTAGGCTGTCTTGTCGTCCTGTTTGTACTGTACCGTCTCAAACACACGGTGGTAGTGCTATGGAGAGAAGGAGCAAGTGACAGCAAACCACGTGCAAAGAGTATTGTACACAATTGGAGTGTCAAAATGTGGAACTGATGTACAAGCACTGGAGCATGCTGACATGCAAATAACAGATGCCAGAAACAAGTACAAACTGCACAATACAATCATACACATCTTTTGTTGTACTGCCACATGTACATTCAATCTGTATACATGCACAACAACAAGCAATCCCATTGGATTTGTGTGCAGGCGTACATTCAGACATTGTGAGAAGGCCTCCTGACTGTTCTGAGGCTAGTTAAACGGTGTTTCAAAGTTTAGAGAACTCGACTATCACCCGAGCAGCATAGAAGCTCAATAGGAAGGGTGGCAAGTAGAGGTAGCATCGTATCGAACGAAGACATTTGCACAAATACAGTTGTCATGTTGCGTGAAGTATATGGAAGACATTTTCTTGGCATACATGTGCATCTGATTGTCTGTGGGTACCCCACTATGGCAAGGTGACGGCGTTGGACAGCCTGTAAAATTACTAGTCCACACGTTTGGTACACAGCAGGGAGTAGTAAAATTACCAATCAACATGCCTGGTACACAGTGATGGACACTGCCTACCTTGGGATCTCTGTACTTGGTTGGATTAGATGCATCTCGTGGCCGATCACCGGACTGACGGAAACAGGACTCACGGAAGAAGACGTGGCCTCCAACCTTCACCCATCTAGCGTGGAGAAAGCAAAAATTCAGAAAAGAAGCCGTCAACCCCAAGCAGGCACCGTGAACTACAAGGAAATCTGTGCCAGTTTCGGATTGCACAGGCCTGTGCCCAGCTATGTGGGTTTGCGTTTGGAAAGGTTTTCTTTCTGTGAAGCCTGTCCGAAATGGTGGTCACATGGCCATTTCCAGGTAATTTTATAAGCTCAAAATTAGTGCATCGTTATAGGATGGGAGTCGTAAAGAAAAAGGTATTTCATGACTCCCTCGTGACAGCCTCTGGGGATGACTCGCTTACTATTTACGCACCCTAGTTGTCGTATATGGTGATCATCCTGTATGTCTGATGTCTGATGTCATAATTATAATTATTATGGTCTAGTGTAAGCGCGAGTATGCTGTGATCTGTGGCGAGTATGGTATTTAGTGCATGAAAGACTACGAGTTGTCAGAGAGTGAGATGCATCTGGCTTTGTATTGTCAACACTACACTACATGCAGTGCACCGCCATACTCAGTTTCATGCGCATACTAGTATTCTGCACATCAAGTGCTCATTGTTTTGTGCAGGCTTTCCCCAACTGTGCGAGCCGAGAGAGAGAGAGAGAGAGAGAGAGAGAGAGAGAGAGAGAGAGAGAGAGAGAGAGAGAGAGAGAGAGAGAGAGCGAGAGAGATAGAGAGAGAGAGAGCGAGCGAGAGAGAGATGGATGGATAGATAAAGAGAGAGAGAGAGAGAGAGTTGGTATGGCAGACATGGATTTTGATTTGGTTTCCAACTATCACTCACTGAAACTCCGTTATGCTCAGCAATTGCCTTTCCGCAAGGGTTGCAAACCTAGCATAAGTAAAGGCCACATGCTAACTACAAATCTAACTCGAACTAACAAGCAGTACATGCACATGCATAACAAAGCTCAGTTGTCACCTGTCACAAGTCCCGCATTACCTGAGCATCCTCTCGGCTAATTGATCCAGCTCAGCGTCGCTCAGGTACATTAACAACCAGTTAGAGAAGACGACGTCGAACGAGTTCTCCTCATAGTCCAGCTTCATCGCATCGCCGCTCACAAACGCGATGTTGGAATGTCGCTCGCCATTGATCTGGCGGTTCTTCTCCACAAACTGCTCCACAAAGTCTACTGAGGTGACATGTTGGGCCGTTTCAGCAAGATTCCCCGTGTAGCGCCTGGAAAGCACAGGAGTTTGCGTAGCATCGGAAAAGTAGGATCTCAGTACATGTACACAGTTACACAGTTGCGGACAGAGTGCTCACCATTACAGGCATCAGGGACACTGCAACGGCACTACTTGTCACCAAGCAGCGACAAACACTAGAGAACCTAATAGGACCTGTACTGGTATTCTGGGGTCCTATACACAGTATACAGGTCACCATCGACACTGTTCATTTGGCAACAGACAAGTCTCCAGCAAGTGGAAGTACAGTGGGTTTGAAATAACAAAACATTTATACGGTGACCGGCTTTAAATAGAATACAGTCACTGACTACTGTAAAAGTCATTATTCCAACGAGCCGCAAATATAACGATTTCCTAAAATTGACCGGTTTGAGTGTACCAAAGGTAATGATTCTCACTCATTCTCAACGCTTACTGCCAACAGTACCGTAAAGTACCGCGAGAGCGCCCCGTCTCGCGAGAGCGCCCCATAAGTTTGTACAGTGTGAGAACCTTAGTGTACTAAGGTCACAACAGGCATGTTTTTATGTGGAGCTCGTATCCACTCGAAGGTAAACTGGGTACGGATTGACTGCACAACGTGCAATGTGTGTACAAGGTCCCTGTCGTATGACCTACAGACAGGAAACCACCTCCAGAAGACGACCACGAAATGACGAGACGGTGGGGCGCTCTGGCGGTACTTTACGCTACAAGTATCGATTCCTGTATAACGTAGATTTCTCCTCGTTAACTCGTTAGATTTAGCACTTCAGCCTTTACAGTATGTGCAGAACTTCATTGGCAGACAGTAGACATGACTGACTGGCCACAATCTTCCTCACTCTCAGGGCTGAGGCGCCATATCTTCCGGTGCAAGGGGTTTGCGCGAACGGGCCTCTCGCACCTCTGCCACTGACTAGGGAGGTTCTCAAAAACGAAAGTTCACACTACGCAATTTTCACAGCTCTGAACGTGAAATAATGGCTTGGCACACGAATTGAGCTTTCGCATGCTGCTCGTGTACTCACCTCCAGAGATGGCTATAATATTATGGTAATTAAATCAACTGCTCCGCATTTTCGTGAATGTCTGCAAAACAACTTCATCCGGAGAAGTTACTGCTTCAGAAGCAGTACAAGTAGTTACTTTGCAGCTGTTTAGTTGTCATGTTTGTGAGAACTTTCGTTTTCAGAATCTCTCTATTGTTGCCGATACCGGGTACAGTCGTCCCTCTCTAATCCGGCACTTTATAATCCAGCACCCTCGATAAACCGGCACAATTTTCAGTAGCCAAATGTCCTCTTCATGCACATTGCAGCAGTAGATCAGATTTGTTAATCCAGCACCCTCCCTAATCCAGCAGATTTTCGTGGCACAAATGGTGCCGGATTATAGAGGGACCACTGTACATGTATTTGCATTGTACCCACTGTTTGGAGTATGATCGTACATACAATTTAAATTTTGTAGTGTTACCCCGTCACCACTGGTCACACACAACCATAGACTGTATACAGGTAACTTACCCTATGCCAGCACCCAGCTCCAGTACTCGCAGTCCTTTCAGACTGGGCAACATGTCCATGATCTCCGGCTTCTCGGATTCGTCCAGCGTCTCGGCTTTCGAATCGAGCATGACGTCTTGCAGAGATGCCGTCGTACAGTGCCCGTCCCAGAATTCCTTCATCGTGTTTCGAGTGCTGCTGTCACTGCTACCATTGCCGTCGGTGGCATGATTTGCTGAGCCAATGCTCACTGATGATTCCGACATATTGATGAATATTTCAGTAGGAAAACCTTTGACGAAATTCGAATCGTGATGCTTAGTTATTGGTAACCTTTTCAGAGTTTCGCGCAGACGTTCACCACAATGCAAGAACTCCTACGATGACTCCCACGCACACGACCACTTACACCAATCAACTACTCCGTCGAAGTCGTGCAGGTTTTACTTTCGGTTACCACTGATCCGACTGTATGGACCAATACAAGACGTCAAGACTGCAAGAGTTCATAACTGTACTGACTGCACTTCTTCATTTCCCGTCTTCACGTGGTACTGGTACGCGAAAAATGTAGAAAATGCACAGAAAATTATTTCACTCGTGACGTCTTCCACTGAAAAAAAGAAGAAGAAAATAACAGCTTTCTGCTTGAATTCTGCTGTTTCTTTTTTTTGGGAGTGTTGGTTGACTTTTCCTTATCAAGTAACCACTGCCGTTATCCATTCAATAGAAGGCAACAGTGGATGTCTCTTCATACCCTCCTTGCAATGCATTAGTGTGTTGACACGCAAACACACACTCTTGCTCGTCCGGGCTTCTTCGCCCCCTTATTCTATCTCTCTCTCTTTTCATAAATGTATCGGAATTTGGCTATTGGAAATTCTGTGAGCAGGCTGTGCGAGCCCAATTCGTACTGCACGCAGTGAAAAGGTTTCCGACACACTCACCTAAGACCAGGGAATCCTAGGTATAGTATTTATGTCAATATCGAGATGGCTGACTCCATTCTTCCCGAGGTAAAGTCCACATTTTGCTCTGAAATATTTTTGTAATTTTTTGTTTGGAGTGATAATTATATCCACAGTAAAGTGTACATGTACATCCGAGCATATGCGCCGTATGTTGAATACAGCGTGGTGCTGAGAACAAATTCGCTTGTGCGACTAGTTTTCACTGAACTCTACACTATCCCACCACTGAATAGTCCAGGCCAGCACTCGTGTCGAGAATAGGGCATCATACACACACACACACACAGTATTGCATGTACCGTATTCTTACCGTGTCTTCTCCTATAAGAGCCAGGGGCTCTTATCACCGGTATGTGAGTGAGAGCTCTACCCACGCTACTATGGAGGCAGTGCTTTATTCTTGTGATGATGCAATATCAAGCCAATTCCAGCATCGAAATCATAGACATAGATACCAGAAAATAAGTACTACATGTAGATAAGCCTCCATACAAACGCATGCTTAACATACTGCACTGTTTTTTTAACCTGCAATGTACTGTTCCATGGTCCAAATGCAACCGGCCTTAATATTAGAGACTATTATTATTATTATTATTATTATTATTATTATTATTTTTTTTTTTTTTTTTTTTTTTTTTTTTTTTTGTTTTTTGGGGGGGGACAAACTGGTTTATTATGTACTATTATGTGAGATGAAATAAAACAGGAAAGGGCACAGGCCCTGATACGTGCAAGGGATAGCAATCAACCTTGCACATGTGTTCTAAATACATGTAAATGTAAATGCAAAACAATTAAAAACAAAAACACAAACAATGAGCAATAACTTCAGGACTGGGCACAAGTCCTAAACCAGTAAAAGGTGCAAGAGATAATAATCAACCTTGCGAGTTCGAGTCAAAGCATGCGGACTCACAACAAAATGGCATCAACGTGAGCAAAGAGGAAGAAGAGAAAGGAAACAGCAAAACAAAAAGCAAAGACGGAGGATAAACGGCAACAGAACCAAAACTGGCAAACAAACCTGTGACATCATCATGCACAGACACAAAAGACAAATCGAGCCGAGTCAAACTGGCATGAGCGACTCATGCTGCAGGACATCGCTGGGGTGATGGCTGAAATTCACCTTCCTCCGACTACCACGCAACATCATGACGGAGTCACGGACTAGAGTGAAGCCAAGCTCACAGCGGATCCGTCCCATGAGGATGCTGTACGAGTCTCCGGTTGCCGCTGCCAGGCGAATGGCGAGACGTTTCAACATATTCCGGGCCTCACCGCCAGCTCCCCCGACAGAGGAGAACACCAATGGAGAGAAGCTGCCCCTCTCCACCCGCCGGATCCGCTCACCATAAGCCGCTTTCTTCTGCTCCTCATGCCATCTGTAGGTCGCAGAGAGGGACTTAGTCATGTAAGAGGACGCGCAGGGATAGAAAACCCTTATGTCAAAAAATGCATCCTCTTGCATGGACCAGAGGCCCCTCCCCTTGACGTCCAGTCTGGCCTGAGGGTCAGTGTTGGCGGCCCTTGGAAGAGCTTCACCAGCAAGGGGTTGAAGAACAGGCTCCGTCTCCACGGCATTGCACACTCTGCCAAGAAGGCCGGCAATGTAGTCCCGGACATGGTTGTGGCGGATGATGGGGAAGCCGCCACGTCTGCATATCATGGCATGGTCGGTGGTGAAAGGCACACCACATAAGCAGGTGTCAGGGATACCAAGAACAGGCCACCCGTAGCGTGCAGCAAGAGCATCCTGGAATGACCTCCTGTCGAGGCTGAAGCCGTGTGCAGCGATGGGCAGGCACGATAGCCACGAGCTGGCACCGCGGTCGCAACTAGCCTCCAAGGAGCGCTGCTCATGGTCGCTGAGGTCTGCACTGATGGTGGCAGTAGTGTCGGACCACAGGGTACGGAGTTTGGCACGGCCCTGGAGCTTAGCATTGCGCACGGTGTCCTCATCAGTGGCCAGCAGTAGGGACTGGCGCATGATGTTGGCCTGGAGCTCACTGGTGACTGCTACTGATGTGGCGTGCTGGAGTGGAGCGATAGACAGGGGGGACAGCAAACCAAGACCTCCAAGGCGAGGGGGCAGCGACAGCAGCTGGCGCAGTGGGGGAGATGGAGGAGCAACGCCTGTAACAGCTGGGATGAACTCCTGGGCGATGACACACTCCAGAGCTTCAAAGTCAGCAATGTCATCAGGTGTGGTTCGCATAGCATACGTCCACCTATGACGCAGACCGTGTGCAAACGCGGCGAGGGCAGACTGGGGATCAGTCTTTGCGAACTCTGTGAGCACTGTAAGCTGGCTGCACCATTCCTCCAGTCTAGCTGAGAAATGCCGTCGCTGGAACTCCTCTGTGCCGATGGCAGCGCCGAGGTATGGCCGACCCTCTGCAGTGATCTTAATGCCTGTGCCGGAAAAGATCTCCTGGGCCTCTGGCAAGCTGGATGGCTTCACCACTAGCCATGTCTTGGCAGCATTCGGGTGATACCCAAAGTGGGGGCCAAGATCTGTGAGTAAGTCCCACCAGTGGCGCACAGCACGCAATTTACCACCTGCTGCAGAATCGTCAGCATACCATATCTGGTGAACACGACTGGTAGAGGCATCCAGAGCAGCCAACAGCGGAACGAGAGCGACGGCATAGATTGGCATAGCCAGAGGATCCCCCTGTGTAGTGCCCTCCAGAGACAAGACCACCTCACCATGCACAAACAACTTAGCTGCTCTGCGGTAGAAGTTGGTAACAGCGACTGAGGCAGCAGGGCATATGATGCGGATGTTGTGGAGCATCACTTGCCGGTTGAGTGCATTAAATGCGTTAGACGCATCGACGAGGAGAATTCCTTGGCAGTCTTATTATTATTATTATTATTATTATTATTATTATTATGCTCTATTCGCGTTAGCATCAGTGAGCTTATAAAGCTCACATATAGCCTTCGCTTAAGCCGCAAGAAGGAGCAAGTGAGCGCGAGGAAGCGCAATGCACACAGAGCGTCAAAAGTTGAGTCAAAACAGAACAAAAAAAAAACAGAAAAAAGAGACAAGCTGCAAGAAGGAGCAAGTGAATGCGAGGAAGCACAGTGCACATCAAGCATCACAATCGCAAAAAAGACAAGATGGAAACGCAAAGTTATGTCCATTGTTGCATTAGCGGCTACATACAACCTTCACCAGGTCCTGCCACTGAGGGCGATCCTGGGCGAGCTGCTGCAGCCTGTTGCAGTCATCTCCATTATCTATATATAAAGGTATAAATTATGTCCATTGTTTCATTAGCAGCTACATACAGCCTTCACCAGTTCCCGCCACTGTCGACAGTCTTGGGCAAGCTGCTGCAGCATGTTCAAGTCATCGCCAGTCTCTAGGGCGGTATTATTTTTCAGCTTTTTGAGATCATTATTGAGCGTTCGCGGGAGCGTTGTTCTTGGGCGTCCCCTAAAGCTGGGGCCGTTACCCCCTAAGAAGTAAGCTCCCATGGCACGTCTGGCTGGGGCTGCCTCTTCCAAACGCAGCACATGACCAAACAGCCTCCATCTAGCATCTCTGATGATTTGGCTCACGGGGCGAGATTCTGCGTCAAGAGAGGTACGAAACCGTCTACCGCCGCGACCAGACCGAGACGTCCAGCTGCTTCTGCCCGGAGAGTCGGAATATGCAGATGATGTGGACTTCATCAGTACCGACCAAAAGTATCTAAAAAATTGCCTTCCTACAATATCCTCTTCGTTAGCAGAGTGGAACTTGAAGATGAATGAGGGGAAGACGGAACACACCATGATAAGCAGACAAAAGGATCGAATAGAGGAACAGTGGCGACACACAATAAAGCTGGGCTCGATGCTTGGAGTGGATGAGGACATAGGCAGACGAAAGCGGTTGGCTACAAGCGCACTTCACCGGATGTGGGTGATATGGCTGAGAGGGCAACACATCAGAGAGTCTCTACGAGTGCGCCTCTATAATAGCTTCATTCTACCAATCCTGCTTTATAACTGTGGCACATGGAGTCTCACGGGGACACAGGAGCGGAAATTGGACTCGTTCCACAGGCAGCAGCTGCGAACAGTGATAGGCATTAAATACCCGCTCATAATAAAGTTTTAGAGACTATGCTCCTTTTATTTGAAACGGTCCTGTTGGAGACCCGTGCTTTACTTAGTATTTGCTGAAAATACGGTTCATGTGTTTGCAATACACTGCACTCTTCGCAAGCAATTCATGTCTACTAGATGGTGCAAACAACGTACAAGTAAAGTGATGCTTGTTGTCGCACTAGATGTTTGTGTTATCGGCAGCTGCTCATGCTCATGCTCATACTCATTCTCTTGTGATCGTGTGCTCCTTTCATTCACTTAGATGGATGCGGCAGACCCATTGGAGGCTATGGTGAATGCCTTGAACGACTCGTTATCTCAAGAGACGAATAGCGGCGTGCCAGATGTGCTCGGTGGTGGAGTCCTACCGCAGTCAGATCTCATCAGTTCACTGGCGGCTGAGTGAGTGCTGCAAGTGCCGTATTTTCCAGAGTATAAGGCCGCACTTTGTATGTATGTATGTATGTATGTATAACTCATAATCACAAGGTGATCGTAGAGGCATTAATCAGCGAGAGAATTGTGAAGGCCGCACTTTAAACACTAGTAATTGACACCCGAAAAGCCGGGCCAAAATATCTGGGTGTGGCTTGTACTCCAGTGCGGCTTATACTCCGGAAAATAGGGTATACACATTGTTGTGAATTTTTGTTGTTGTGCGCACACACACACACACCTTGAACCTTGAACTTGCCCATTGCCGTAGGCAATGATAGCGAAAGGACTAATTCGGCGGCGACCGGCAGAAAGGTTCGTGGCGCTTGAGGTCGCCGGGGCGGCGACACGTCTTCCCGCAAGCACAACGATACTCTGGCTCGGCGGAGACATCACGAGGCTGAGGACGACGGTGGATGACCTCCCTCCACTCCCAGCGGTTCTGGGCAGTGTCGAGCCATTCCTCCGGGACAGGTGAATGAATGCGGTTGAAATCGTCCACAACCACATCCCGCCAACGCTTGCGTGGGCCGTGCTGAGGTCGAGTTACAGAGAGCTCCCCAAACAGGGTACACTTGGGCAGACGGTCATCGTCCATGTGGCCAATATGGCCGAGCCATCGTAGCCGACGCTCGTGGATGATGTTGCCGATGTCCGAATCAATTCCGAGGGTCTTCGCCAATGTTGAAGAAGTGACTCGATCATCCCATTGCTGGTGTCTCGAGATGCCGACAATAGCCCGCACGCACTGATGGTGGAATGCGTTAAGACGGCGCAGATCAGGAGCGTTGGTCGTCCAGGTCTCTGCTCCATACAACAGGGTCGTAGGAACGAGAGCCACGTAGACACGACGTCGACATCGGAGAGACTAGTAGCTGTTCCCAAAGACAGATGCCTGCAAGCAACCAAACACTCGAGACGCCTTAGAAATGCGCGACTGCACATCATGCGCACAAAGACCATCCCGGTGAATCAGCAACTTCATGGAGACGAATCACGTACAAACACACACACATTAACATTCACACAACTGCTCCGTCGTGCAAAGATTTTTATATTGTGTGCTTTGTGTTTGGACCGGTGCTTCCAGCTTTTGGCTAGTTGCTGGGGAGTGGATATGGGTAACTTTGTTTGCTGTATCTGCTCAAGATTGGTTGTACCAATGTTGATTTTCATAAGAAATGTTACCTGAGTTGCAGGGTAATTTTGCTAAAACATTTACATTGAATTTGCTCCTTCGTGTAATCGGAAACTTGTTAAAACTTGTCTGGAAAAAGTTTTCAAAAGGCCTGGGAAATGTGTTTGATTTCACGGTGCAGTCTGCTGGCATGACTTAGTAACTCCGGCATGACTAAGTGGCCAAAAGAAGAAGAAGGTATTGTAGGACTTTGCAGATCTGAGATGACAACAGATAACACATGGTGTGAAGACAAGAATGCAGGTGTCAGCGTGTCTTTGGAGTGTGAGGTGCACTGTAAACTGGGAAACCTTTGCGAGCTGCAATCCTTCGCGGTTTTCGCGATGGGTGTGGCATCGCAAAAGTAAGCCGGCGCGAAACGTAGAACAGTAGTAAAGAAACCGAGGAAATTGACTCCAATCGCAAATATCTCCAGGTACAAATTTGTCGGTGCTCTCAAATCGCAACTAAAATCGGTGCAAACTTTTCCCTGTTTACAGTAGGTGATAGATGTAAGTAACAATCACTTGTTGTTATCACACACCGGGCCAGGTGCAAATATTACTACAGTCAAATCTGTCGTAAGCGACCGCCCCTTGGTGCAAGAAAAAGCGGTCGCTTACGGCAGATGGTCTCTTACGGCAGATGTATGGTAAATCCGGCATACCAGGTATATGCTTCCATGTACTCAAATCGACGAGAATAATGTGATTTTTAATATCATTTTATTGGATATTCAACGACGACCATACCCGTATTACGCGTATGCGACACGGCAGTAGATCGACACTGCCTAGCGCCTGGACTTGAGAGCTACAGAACAGCCTCAGTACAGCCTACAGCCAGTACAGGCCAGGCGCCAGTCGATCGCACTTGCAAGACAACGCACTTTCACACTTTGCAGTTGACAGCGCACTGGCAAGTACAGTTTCGCACCTGAACCTGGGTCGCGGTCGCTTGCAGCAGATTTGAATGCAGCCACCGTGCATGAAATCGCGGTCGCTGGTCGCGCACAGCAGATGGTCGCTCTGGACAGATCAGTTTGTATGTGAAACCGTCGGTGCACGGAAAATCGGTCGCTAACGGTAGATGGTCGCCTACAGCAGAGGTCGCTAACGGCAGATTTGACTGTAGTAGTCTGTGTCCACTCAGAATTTCTTGCTATGATGCAGTCATCAGAAGACTATGCGTATACTGTGGCCTATATCCGACAAAGAATGCGGTGTCCCTTGGCAGCTTGGCAGGAAAGTGGCGCCTGAATGATCAGCGCAGTGTTGTACTACTAATAGTGGGCACGACTGTTACAGAGATAGGTGTGATAAGCAGTACTGTGACATGTTGTAATACAAGCACTCAATTTGTGTTCCTTTGTCATATCTGTCCTGTCGGCCTTTAATTTGTTTGGTTTTGTAAGCGTCTACTTTGGAGTGACTCAGTCTACATATGTGTTTGGTTGTGTAAGCGTCTACTTTGGAGTGACTCCGTCTACATATGTGTTTGGTTGTGTAAGCGTCTCTACCTTGGAGTGACTCATATACGTATGTGTTTGGTTGTGTAAGCGTCTACCTTGGAGTGACTCAGTCTACATATGTGTTTGGTTGTGTAAGCGTCTCTACCTTGGAGTGACTCATATACATACGTGCATGTGGTAAGACTTTCTCAACGTGTTTTTTTCTAGTGCAATAAGTAGGTTGAGAGATGTGTGTCTGTGTGCACTTTGTGTATTGTGGCGTCTGACTTGGCATTTCAGGTTGTCCCAGTCAGCGGGTCAGGGCACGTCAGTACTTACATCACTCCTGGGCACGTCCGCTCTGCCAGCACATTCACCGGCCACGGCTATACAAACGTCCGCAAATTCGTCTCTTACAACAGCGCCGTCAGCCTTTCAGGGTCCTGCCATGTCGCAGTCTCAACCGGCAGGAGTGCAGGTACCTGCTACAAGTCAAGTATCGACAAGTAGTCAAACAACCGTGCCCCTTCATCAATCCGTAACTGCCACTGCATCATCTCATGTCACGAGTGCGCAGTCCTCATCACAAACAGCCGTTTCATCACCCCAGTTGTCACCTGCTACTTCCTCAGCAAATCCTCTGCTGCCCCAGCATATGCCGATCCAGGTAAGATTCGGTGCCTGTGAGCCTCTCTCTCTCTCTCTCTCTCTCTCTCTCTCTCTCTCTCTCTCTCTCTCTCTCTCTCTCTCTCTCTCTCTCTCTCTCTCTCTCTCCGATCTCTCCGATCTCTCTCCGATCTCTCTCTCTCTCTCTCTCTCTCTCTCTCTCTCTCTCTCTCTCTCTCTCTCTCTGTCTGTCTGTCTGTCTGGTCTCTCTGTTAGTACTGGCTGCTTGCTTTATTATTCCCCCCCAGTGTGCCACAAAGCAGTATCCTTGCCCATAACCTATGACACATCTCTACTGAGTTGTGTGGTGAAGTACGATCACCTGTAGTGTACTAGTAATTGATTGATAGCTTTCTTTCTCCCTATCCGGTTTCATGCAGTGCAGTATTCTGAAAAATACATACGACTTTCTCTGTGCACCTCTGTGCATGCACATGCGCGCGTGTGTGTGTGGTATGTGTGTGTTTGCATTTGTACGTGAAATCAGGTGATGAAAATCAACGGTCGTGATCAGCCTGCAATGCTGATGACAATTTCCCAGGCGCAGATTTGGCAACGCCAGCAGCTGGAGCGTGCTGTGGAGATATCCAGGGGCGGGAACTCAGCCCTAGCTGCACAGATGGAGCAGCAGCAGAAGCACATGCAAGAGCTGCTGGCGTCGGCCAAACCTGACACGGTATTTGCCATTCCCATGGCGGCTGCTCTCGCTGGTGCCCAGCAGCAGCCAGCGGTGTCCAGCACAGGCAGTAGTACTGCAGCGAGTAGTGTCACAACGACTATGACATCTGTGAACGCGGAGAGGCCGCCTGTTATCAGTACACCAGCGTCGTCGGCAGCGGCATTACCCCCGAGTTCTAATATCTTCACCCCTGCTGGTTCGACTGGAGTAAGTGCATCAGCAGGGTCTGTGTCTAATATAGGTATTTCATCGGCAGTCCTCGCGCCCCAGTCGACAGCAGCAGCAGCAACAGCAGGCACACTCACGGTCTCCACATCGCCTCTGCTTTCCAGCTCGTTACCCGATAACTTAGCTCTACCATCTCACACAGCAGTGGCCGCCGCAGCTCAGGCCACTGCAGCAGCAGCAGCAGTTGCACCGCAGGCTTCTATGGGAAGAAAACTGTCTATCGATAGCCTCTCGGAGCCTGCTCGAAAGAAAAAGAAGAAGGCGGCGATTGATGCTTTGCCGAAGTAAGGCCCCCTGTACATGTATACAGTTTTTGTCTGATCCTTGTTGTATGCAGATGTATTACGGAAATCCTATTTGACAGCATTCATTCACACATGCACCCAAGCAGCAGAACCACGCAGCAGGGGCGATCGTACTGTTTAAATCTACCGGACGCGTTCGTTCTTTTCTCCTGTTGCGCCAGTGTCTGCTTGAATGTGACAGTAAATAAATTAATGTGTGTCTCTGGCTTCTAGCGTCTTGTGGTAGGTCTAGAGTCACTGGCAACCGATACCAATGTAGGCCAGATGCCCAAGTTCAGCGCACTGCAATGCATTCAGAAATACTAGTAACGACTATTAACACCAACAGCGTCCTATGCCGCGCACCTTCTCTACCATTAATATCCAAAGTTTCGGCATAGCCAACTTCTGGCCACGTCCGTAACAATTCAACTTTTGTCTATATAAACGCTGTCTTTGCTCCCGTCGTGTATAGCATCTAGTAACAATGGTCCCATTGCGCGTCTCTCTTTTAAAATTATGTGGCTCAATTCTAGCATCATCATGACTGGAGTTCTCCGTGGTCGACTCTCACACACAGTTCATGGCTCCACTCTACACAGTCCAAAAAGCTGAGCACTATAGCCTCATGCATTCGTCTTAGCTCTGATAGACCGACTTGTGGTGTAGCCAAAGACTGGGATTAGAGAAGCTCACCCTATATATAAATTAGCAACCCTCTCCATAATTATATAGCTGTCAGGATTGTGTTGCGTTGTAGAATGATTATAGTAGTGATGGATTTTTCTTGTGACCAGACGAGAGCACACGATGTCTGCAGACATATCAGCACGAACAGTTCATCAGCCACACTCCACGACAGCTAGAGGCTGCTGCTGACAAGCCTTGTTTCGTGCCATATTATGATGACGGGAAGAACTAAAATTAATGATATTGTTTTTCAGAAGATACTGGCGCAGTGTGTGTACACTCAATTGACTCAACTAACACATGTGACAAATCAACACGAATGGAATAGTGTAGAACGGAGGTCTTATGAACCCTGCCTACACAACTATCACTAGTGCTAAGTCAATCACAAGGAGAAAGAGAGGCACATGGAATAGTTAGCGCTAAAACCTACACGTCAAAAAGTATACTGAAGTGGTGACAAAGATGGAAGCAAAGTAGAAGCCAGGTGACAGCCAACAAAATCGTTTTGGATGTCTTTGCGTTACATCTGAAAGTTGCAAACTGCACAAGACAAATACTTCACAAACCTCGAAAAATTAGCCGACGGTGGGTAGAATGGAGTGTGTGATACAATTGCGAACTGTGAGATGCTAAAGCGACGTGTCCGTCCGTCTTGATTGCAGGGTTGGCATCTCATAGTCCGCCATTGTATCCCACACTCCTTTCTACCCACCTTCAGCTAATTTTTTAAAGGTTCGTGAAGTATTTGTCTTGTGCAGTTGGCAACTTTCAGATGTAACGCAAAGACATCCAAAACGATTTTGTTGGCTGTTACTTGGCTTCTACTTTGTACCCATCTTTGTCACCACTTCAGTATACAGGTCGTCCCTCGTTAATACATAATCTCTGGGACTTGACAAATGTTATGTATTAACGGGGTTTATGTACTAAACGAAAGTGTACATAACTTGCTTGTATACCAGAATTTTTCACTTTTTTCAACTTTTCTGAGTGTTTCTTGCTACCATGACTAGGCAGCGAGATATTCTTGATTCCCTCGATATAACATAAAAATTATGTTATAACGGTCACATTTAGCGAAGATTCTACAGTTGACATGGTACATGCCCAGCCGCACCTGTACAGTCACTCAGCAAAAAAACAGAGCTTTGTCGGTTTGTGATGTGCGCTCTGATTTCTATGCCTATTGCGTCCACAAGTAGAAACTAGAACACGATGTGCCTCCACTGGAAGGCCAAAAGATCAGTAAATTATGTACTATTGAGGTAGGTGACATGCGGGTACGGAGAAATGTTATGTACTAACGGATTATGTACTAACCGACAAAATTTGTATGGAAGTGACCACGTTTCGTCCGGGACTTGAGATTTCTTATGTACTAACGGGGTTTATGTACTAACCGGACTCGTATTAACGGGGGACGACCTGTACTTTGTGACGTGTCAGTTTTAGCGCAACCTATTCTGTGTGCCTCTCTTCCTCCTTGTGATTGACTTAGCACAAGTGATAGTTGTGTAGGCAGGGTTCATAACACCTCCGCTCTACACCATTCTGTTCGTGTTGATTTGTCACATGTGTTAGTTGTGTCTCTTGAGTGTACGCACATTGCGCCAGTATCTTCTGTAAAACAGTATCATTTAGTTCAACCCCTTTCATTCAGTAAACCCTAGGGTTTGCCAAGTGTTAGCGGCTGCCGTGAGTTCCCTTCGGGAACGGACACGATAAATTACTTTTTACTTTTACTTTAATTCAGTACCTGCTTCTCCTCTGACGAATTCTCGTCATCATAATTATTATGGAACGAAACAAGGCTTGTCAGCAGCAACTTCTAGCTGTCGTGGAGTGCGGCTTGTGAACTGTTCGGGCTGGTGCCTGCAAGCATCGTCTGGTCACAAGAAAAACCTACCACTACTATGAATGATGGACCTAATGAAGATAGGATCAACAAAGTACAGTATATGTTGCGTTAGACCTCGCTTGTTCCTCATTTCTTTTGTCCATTTGGCTTATGTGAAGGCTAGCCAAGCTTGCTTGGTGATGCCAGCGCGAACAAGCTTATAATAATAAATAAATAATTGAAAACAAAAGGCGAAAAGTGCAACCTGTGCCTGGCAGAACAATTAGCAATCGCCCCAGCACCCAAGCACCTCTCTCTCTCTCTCTCTCTCTCTCTCTCTCTCTCTCTCTCTCTCTCTCTCTCTCTCTCTCTCTCTCTCAACAAGAGGAGTGAACTTGTGTCAAAGTGTCGCCACGAGAATAGGTACTGCCTTGGGAACTTCAAACCATCCACAGCCATCACCTAATCAAGTAGGAGACAACCAGCTCCGGTGCTTGTCACTTAAAGTGATACCTTTCTCCACTACTGTCTTTAGCACCTTTTAGATATGTGCCATAATGCAGTTATTTGCGCTTTGCACTGCTGTCATTCACACCTTTTAGATTTGCGCCATGGTGCAGTCATTTACACTTTGCACTGCTGTCAGTCGCACCTTTTAGATTTGCGCCATGATGCAGTCATTTGCGCTTTGCACTGCTGTCATTTACACCTTTTTTGATTTGCGCCATGCTGCAGTCATTTGCGCTTTGCACTGCGGTCATTCGCACCTTTTAGATTTGCGCCATGATGCAGTCATTTACACTTTGCTTTGTGGGTATATAAACCAGTACTGATCCAGATTTACTCATTGCTGTTTTCTGCTTAGTGCGTGAAACTCGGAGTAAAAACGCTTATTTCGTCCTCTTATAATTTTTTAAATAAATAATTAGGCGATGTGCATGGTTTGCAAAGTGGTTAGAGCATTTTTCTTCCAAAAACATGGTTCTGGTTTGATTTCCAGTTTGAGCGAAGGTTATTTCCGCCCCCAGGAGACCCGCACGGGAACGGGTACCTGGCTTCGGTTGGAAAGGCAAAGGAGATGTGGGAGGAGATGAGCACCGCTCTCACTATGTCAAGCTCATTGAAATAGGATGTCTCTAGAATCTCCCGCCCCTTTGGTCAGAATTGACTATTGGCTACATTTATACCCTAGATAGTGTTGCTTATTACAAAACCCTAATTACACAACCTTCATTGTATGGCTGTGTCTGTGTGTATTTGTGTGTGTGTGTGTGTGTGTGTGTGTGTGTGTGTGTGTGTGTGTGTGTGTGTGTGTGTGTGTGTGTGTCTGTGTGTGTGTGTGTCTCTCTCTCTCTCTCTCTCCCAGGCCTCTCTCGCCATATCAGTGTTTCTTTCGAGAGATTCAATCTGAAGTACGACGACAAAACCCCAAGGTAGGTTGTGTGCTGTGTGTACAGATTCGCAACTGCTAGACGCAGAATGCATGGCACTCAGAGGATGGCCAGCCGATGGCAAATGGGTGGTATTGGTCAGGATCAACTGACTGAACTGCTTTAACCATAACCTCTTCTTGATGTTGTCATCTCTTTGTTGACTCTTATGGGTTATGTATATCTGGCCTAGAGAGAGATGGTGAGACCAGTAACTGTATACCTGTCTGTCCCTGTCCATTGTGTGGGAAGGGTAACTTTGGTTGGCTTGCTAGAATGAGATTTTGACTTTAGTCCCTTCTTGGGTTTCAGAGGGGTTTGTGATAGCATTTAGATTACGCTGGTACTGAAGTGGAGAGTGTCCTGGGAGTGTGTGCCTGGCAGTGCCTTCGCAATCTCTCTCTCTCTCTCTCTCTCTCTCTCTCTCTCGTTTATTGCTGGGTTAAATTGGGGAATACTTATTCTATGTACTGTTGTAAGCCGGAAAAGTTTAGCAACAAATGTATTTAGCGATTTCATTCTGATGGCCGATGAGCAGTTTCTTATTGGCGATTAAAGAATTCTAGATACATGTACATGACACAGAACATTAGGAATTCATGAACCTTGGCGAATTTGGTCCATTCGCTAAAATCCCTAAGATTTCCCTGTTGCTAAAATGTCCAGATTCACTGTAAAGCGATTATTTGCAATTGACGATGGCACTCCATCATGAATGTGATATTGATTACCGCATTTTCTCTAATAAAAGCCCAGGCCTCCAATAATGATCCAGGGTGAGGGTGGTTTGAAATAATAAGAGCACAGTCTCTAATAGTAGCGCGGGTCACAATTGGAGTATGCAACAAGTATATTGACTGCATATAAAACAGCAGTACAACATGCCAAGAACATATTTGTAAGGAGGTTTTCGGTCTACTGCTTCCTTCCTGGCGTGAAACATCTGTTTAGACAATATTCCTGAGTTTAGGGTTGAAAAATCAGTTTGATATGGTCAGTTTATGCCTGTATAGACTGGAGTTGGCTTGGTAGGTGACAATTGAAAAAATAAGAGCCCAGTCTCCAATAATAGCCCAGTCTCTAATAGTAGCACGGGTAGAGCTGTCACTGAAAAAATAAGAATCCCGGGCTCTTATTGGAGAAAATACGGTATGTTCCTTTTGTCTGTTTGCCTGATTAGGCATCGTTCGCTGAACTGTCGATGATGGTGAATTCAATGTGGGAGAGTATGCCTGAGAGCAGTCAAGAGGTGAGTTTCTTTGAGGATACTGTGTGTGGGTGTAGGTGTGGGTGTAGGTGTGTGCGCGTGTGTGTTTGTGTGCGTGGGGGTGGGGTGCGCCTTTCCAAGGAGCTTGTATTGGTTTAGCAGTTGATTGCCAAACTGCCTGGCAGGAACTCCTGGCAAGTATACATTGTATTGTATTTGGCACCCTTTGACCATTCGTGTCAGTGTTGAGAATCAATTCCTATGGTGCAAACACAGTATTTACTTGCACCCCGTGTGAGTACGAAGTGACTGGATTTGCATGACGCAACACTGTGGACAGGCGTCTTATCCGCCCAACCTTACCATCACACAACCACAGGAGGGGTTGAAGTGGTGGGGCGCTCTGGAAGTTTAGCAAAACTGACGAAACTTTATTTCTCATCAAAGTTTCCCTCTTGACAATACCTGGAAACCACTGCATATCGTTTCACCGTAGCACGATGTGCACAATTTGTCACTGGGGTACTTCCTAACAGTCTTCACGTGCTGATAATGCTGGCTGCCTCTGTTGTCTTTGCTGTGACACCGTGTGTAGGTGTACAATGCACAGGCACGTCAATCAACGAATGAGTACGAGCAGGCAGTCAAGGCTATTCAAGTGAGTCACCGGCTGATATGAATGCAGGCTGTGCTCGGACTGCTCGGAGCACCAGTTGATAAACGTGGCTATGATCCTGTCTTGTCTTGACTATTAGTGTGCAGTACTAGTACCAGTTTTCAAAGCACAGTATGAATCTTTCATTGGTGATCCACCACCACCTAGAAGTGGTATTCCCTGCATCTAACACTGTCTACTACATTATGCCGTATTCACTACCGGTATACTCTAATTTCAGAACCTGTTGGAGTTTCTTTATTGAATGGTTTCACATCTTTGTCATGTGACTACGTTTGTGCAGAAAGTGATCATGGCATGTGGGCAGTGGAACCAACATGGCCGACATCATGTGACCTATAGATGCAGGGGTTGAGTGGAGTTGGAACCAACATGGCTGTGCCGTATGGTCATGTGAAACCCCTCTATTCATAGATAAGAGGAAGGGTCATGCAAGCAGCCATGCATACGGAACAGTCACAATATTACATACTGCGGCGACGGTGCTTACACTTGCCCGTCCCTACGGTGATAACAAAATTGATAAAAGCTGTGCTGCACTGCGCCCTGCACTGACACTGACAGACTTTAGTTCAGTGCACGCGGACATGGCAGCAACATTTCACACACGTATGCACCGGAAGTGCGCATTGATCTTTGCGTGTGTAAAGTGCTTTTCACGCCGGAACCGCCTACACCGAAAATGCATTTTTCACTGCATACCGAAATTTTCTGAAATTAGTTTTCCTAGCTTACACCACCCCCACTGCACCAACGGTAGCAGCAACAGCAATAGCCGGAATTTGTGTGTGGCTGTAGGAGCTCTTTAGGGATACTGTGACCATGACTGTGTAGCCTGGAGGAGTTGTGGAGTGCTCCGATGGTGATGGCGTGCGTCGCTTTGTGTAATGATGTTTTGTGTTTTTCAGGGCACGTCACCGACTAACACGAATGGTGCAAGTACCGCAGGCTTCTACGCAATAGCGGAACCGGAGGTATGCCACGGGGGTGGAGGGGGGAGGGGGGAGGGAGGGAGCTGTGCTGAAGCTGCACTACGTGTGCTGATTGTACTGTGACACTTCTTGTGTTTTCAGTTATATTGCATTCTTCCAAGCTCTTGTCGGCATGAATTAACCTTCCAGTTCGTTTAGCAGTATGTCAGGTGTCTGCCTAGAACGTGTGTGTGTGTTCGTGTTGATCGTGTTCGTTGTGCTTACCAATGCTTTCTTTGTGTGTGTGTGTGTGCGTGTGTGTGTGCGTGCTTGTGTGCGTGTGTGTGCGTGCGTGTGTGTGTGTGTGTATGTGTGTATGTGTGTACGTGTGTGTACTTGTGTGTGTACTTGTGTGTACTTGTGTGTGCGTGTGTGTACTTGTGTGTATGGCTCTTTATGTACATCGACTAACCATAGACAACTCCAGGTGGTAAGCCACGTGGTCGCAACAGGAAGATTGCACCAAATAAGGTGAGAGCCTATAGTGTTTTCCGAAATTGCACACAAAGAATTTCGTACGTGTAGATGCCAACCCCCTTCATGAAGATGCATGTCGACAGTTTGCTTTACCAAGCAAATATCAAGAGGGGGCATTGAATGAATGGAAAAGTTGCGTAGCATAGCCTGCTTTTGGGTACAAGTAAGCGTCAATAAGCTCCCAAGAGCGTCCAACTCTGCATATGGGGTCTCCGGCGGCGAACATTCACAAGCACGTTTTGTACTACGTACAAAGAAGGCCAGCCTGCGCAATTTGGATATCCGCCAGGGTCATGGTGATGGCGTGCAGAAGCTCAGTGGATTCCTGCCAGGGAGTGCTATCTTTTGCTACTCCGTTGCCTGCTAAAAGCAGGCTGAGAACGTACAACGTGCACCCCGCATCACATGATTTGAGTTTCACCGGCGGACTCCATAGAAAGGGTGTCCAGAGGTGCACACTCTTACGTGCTCTTGGTGCTAGTAAGTGAATCTGCTTTTAGACTTCTGTAACTTTTTCGTACCAAATGCATGCTCTCTTGTGTAGATCATTGTGTTCTTTCTGCAAACTACAGTTGCGCTCACTGAAATCCGACCCGAAGTGCAAAGCTGACGCCCTGGACCAGTTCCGATTACATCATTGTATGTGTACATGTGTACGCCCAGCCGCATTCATTCCATTTCGAGGGCGTCAAGGGCCGTGGAAGTTGAGGGCGCCAGCTTTGCACGTTGGGTCCCGATTTCAGTGAGCGCAACTGTAGTACTTCTTGGTGTATTGCTGTGATCACTATTGAATTTTTTTGCTATTTGGTATCATTTGGATCTTTTTCAATTTTTCATAATAATTATATACTGCTATTCTCTATTGTCGCTGCAGTGCCTGAATGAGGAGTGTATGAGCCTACCGCAAGCTGCAGGACATCGAGGCAATCTCTACTGTAGTGACAAGTGCTCCGTGACACACTGCCAGTAAGTGGCCATGCTAAGCCCAGGCATTTAATGCTAACGATGTCAGAACTTTCGGGGGGAAAGCCCTGGCGGCTAGGTATTAATTTTAAGAAATGTGGCATCTTCTATCCGTCTGTGAAGTTTGACCTCTTTGTGCGTAAAGAGTTTGTTGTGGCAGGCCATGAAGAACAGACTTACTCCAAGGGCGATAGTGTAGATGTATCACATGGTATATCTGTGGATAATTCAGCCTGTGCTGTGTGTGGCAGCTCCTAGATTCACACCGCCCGCATGATATGATCCGAGCTTGAGTCCTGGACCATCCCATTCAGAATTTACATGTTGACTCTGTCTTGTCTCTGTACAGAATTGCATTCAAAAACTGGGTGACAGAACGCCGCAAGGTTCCTTGAAAAAGGTGCTGTGTTTCACATGCTGATAGTGTGATACTTCCTGTTGCCATTACTTGGAATGATTGCTCTGTTGTGTCTCCATCCCGCCTGGACCAACTACCATTTGCCCACAGTAGCAGCATCGGCCACGTGTATATACGCTGTTGCACACATTGCTGAGCCGGTACATGCAACGCGCTGCTGAGACACTGTGTACGGAGCCCAGCCCAGCACAGGGCCTGCTGCTGTCCACCAGGTACCTGATGCCTTGCCAGCGACAGTTGCCTTGCTTGCTTGTTCCGCTGCCAGCTCTAGGTTTTCCAGACGTCCAACTCGTCGCGCGCACGCACGTGCGCGTGTGTGTGTCCTGAGCATGGCCTGGGTGCCGTTCCCACTCGCTTTTCACCAGTAAATTTAGTCCCGATATGTTCCCACCTACCATAAATTTTGTTGATTTCTGTGTTGCCCTGGCTTATGTCAAGCTCTCCTTGTCGAACATTCCCAGATTCTTGTACACAGTATTCTTTAATAAATAAAAACAGCGTTAGGTTCCGCATATTTGATTCTTGTTAGTGCTCAATAAAGAAAATTGGTTTTTGTTTCACAAGATACTGGTTACCATCTGCCTATAGCCGAGACTTCATAGCAACCGCTTCGTTCATCGGTACTTCCGTGCCGTGTTGCTCAAGTCAATCTCTGCAGAAAAAGCGCAAAACTTTTTTCCGTAAAAATTTACCGGGGTATGTGACACACTCTTTCATCAGTGCTGCACTGGACATGTATCGTATCAACCACTATCAACTTGGCACCAGCTTGGCACTACAGTAAAACCTGTGTGTTGCCGGACCCTGTACCAAGCGGAAACCTGTATTGACCGGACACATTTTCATGCAGCAAAGTGCTGTAGATCAAGGGAATCCTGTTATATTGGGACAGTTTCCAAATTCAGCACTTGCAGGCGAGTGAGAGACAGGCACTCTTATAGACACACGCATGCGCGCACGCACGTACACACACGCACACACACACAGCGCAAGTCACGCTAGGGAGGGAGGAAGAGAGGCTGAGACAGATATTGATGGGTGTACTTCCATTCGGTAAGTGTTCAATCCAGTTTACATGTACAAGTACTACCAAACACACGTGCATAGCCAGGGCAGTGGACAATAGATTTCTGAGGAGACATGAATCAAAGGGATCGAAGTTGGGGCGATGTGCTGGGAGCATCTCAAGATAAACTAACCAAATGTTGGCAATCACGGGTGCAGCTACAATAGCATCAGGAATAGAAAGAGAAAGGACAGTGGAGTGGAGAGAACTGGAGGTGGAATCGTTAGCTGCTATCGAGATTCGCCAACGGACTGAAGTTGATATTGATGCCTGTTCAAGGAATCTCCTAGATCGAACGGGAGTCTGCAAAAGCATGTGGTAAGCACATCTAACCGTTGAACAAGACTGGCTAAGCTGGTGCGGAATACAGGGGAGAATCTGTGAATCTGAAAGCACCGAATTTTACATGGTGTATTATGTATACTACTTGTTCTACACTACAGTAAACCCTGTCAAGGCAACCACTGAAACCAGGATCAAGCTAGGGATGCTAGTCAAATGACCCTGGATAAGGAGACCACCTGGTAACAGAGACCACATCTTGAAGGTCCCTTGAGCGGTCGCCTTATAATGACATGTTTCACTGTATATGACAAGAGAAAAGGTCCATGATCTGGTCTGGTATGAACTGTTCAACATGTCAAGTAAAGGCACAGGAAAAGGATGTTGATAACTACCTTGTTCCTTTGTGCAATTGGGAGCTGTGCGATAAAGACGAGAAGAGCTGGTTTTTAACCCTGAAAATTGAAAAATACTTTCACATCCGAAAACGCCAGCCAAATGATGAATGCTTTATGCAAGAAGCTTTGAGCATGCTGATTCTAGTGGTCTTTTTGTTTGGATTTGAAAACAACTTTTCACGCACATGTACTATTCAAAATGAATAAGCTCCAGCATTGATCTATTGTTAGACAGTTATGAATGACCAGACATCACCTGGAGAAATCGTTCCTCCAGGCATTAGCGTGTCAACTTTCCAGCAATACTTTGTCCTGGGTTTCAAACTTGTCGGTAGATAGTAGACATTCTCTGGTGATGGAATTGGACTGCTCGACCATAGATGATCTTCTGTAGGTCTGGGCTCATGACCAATGTTATTCCATTCTCGGCTGTGTTCCTTCGGGTGTGAGCGCAATGAAGCATTACAGGATGCTAAGAATGTCACCCGACTGGCCTGTGCATTTAGTGCAATCAGCCACATCACAGAGTCACGATCAGTTTTGACGGTAGTACTACCGTCTGGTGGTATTGGGGTGCTAGCTTTGTAGGACTGCCGACCTGGAATCCAGTATTGTGTCCAGCGGTGGGTTGACGGGGAAAGGTAAGGCCCAACGCCACCATACTGCAAGAAGGTTGAATTCTTGCGAGGTCGGAAGTCATGGTTGTCCACGTCTATCACCGCTTCTCGGATGTTTGTTTGGACGTTGTCCGATGCTACGCCAGGCAGAGGCTCTACTTTCTTCACTTTGCTGTGGCCTCCGTTACCTGTGCCACCGTTGATGCTGTCCGCGGCATTGTGATCAGTCTTCGTGTGTTTGTTAATTGCGACTGGGTTTTCTCGCACATACCCATACACGCACATGCTGCAGTTTTGGCCATCCTCCAACTTCTCTGTTTCCTTGTGCAAGTCGAACGCAAGATTGTGGCGTACCTGGTGGTAATCTCCCTTCACAAGGAGGCCTCCACTGTGCCATGCAACGTTAGAAAACAGCTTCCCGTGTGAACCAGTGCGCGGTGGCTGACCATCGAAACGCACTCCGTACTTGACAGAATCGTGCACCCAGTTGTACTCTACGGTTGTGTTCATCTGGCCCGGTGCCTGTACCTGTGTGTGTGTGTGTGTGTGTGTGTGTGTGTGTGTGTGTGTGCGTCCGTGTGTGTGTGTGTGCGCGTGCGTGCGTGTGTGTGTGTGTATGCATGTGTGTGTTCGTGTGAGTACAAAAAAGGAACAAGAACAGTGTAATGAAGTAAGTTACTCATTTGTGAATGGTGTCCACGAGCAGTAGCATGTGGGCTGTGTTGGTCTCTGCTGTGGTCTCTGCTGTAGCAGCCAAGTCTTACATGGGCCTGTTGGGCTGTTAGGTTATCTAAAGGTGTGGATGTTTTAACCGTGACCCGTTCAGCTAACCGTGATCAGGTATTCAACTTGGAACCGTGGATGCCAGACATATACAGTGTAGGTTGTTGTCTACAGCATGCAATGACTGAGTGGGTGATATGACTGAGTGGGTGATATGACTGATATCTGATGCAGTTAGAACACCTCACAGACTGGACCTCTTGTGGCCGCGTTTGGAGCGGCAGGGATGAATGAGTCTTGACTGTAGGCGATACGGTGTTTACATGTACATTGTACACAGACTACACCGGTCATGCAGTCTGTATTTTAATCTACTCATTTCAGTGGTTTCACTTCCGAGTGGCAACCATGAGCTCCACACAAGAACAGCGGCGCGCCGTGTAGAAGCACATGTAATGCTCCTGTCGTGGACATGGAAATCCGGTCCCACATCTAGCGGCCCCAGGGCGCTGGCTATGCAGCCGTGGGTAAGCAGTACACACAAGCATGACATTATGCGCTGCAGCGCGCTGGTCGCATCGGATCAACATGACTGTGCACTGTTCTGTACGCGCTGAGGGTGCCGGCCCCGGTCAATCGACTGGATTTCCATGTCCACTACAGTAGAACAGCTATTACTGCAGTGACATGCTGGCAGAAAGACACTTGTAACTTAGAGTCAGCCAATGCATTGGCCCAACCGGTTGCTTACCTGTATACCGGCGCCATCATGTTGAATATCTCCCCAGCACTGACCAACGATATGGTTGTACTGTACAGTGGAGTCTGCGGGCGGTTTGTAACCGGTGCTGGCCCCGTTATTGTAGAGGGTATTATGGGCAAACAGGTCACCAAACCCGCGGGAATCATCCACAGTACTGATCGCACCAACGGCCGCACTCATATCAGCTGCTGACCAGTCATTGTACGCGAAGTAGTTGTTAACAATGCGGCATGACCTGCCCTGTACACTTAGCGCAGGGCCATCCGTGTACATCCACGTACTGTTGTAAACTGTGTGGAAACCATGATCTCGATCATCTCCACCAGCGTACCATTTCTCGAGACCTGTGTCGACATTTTTCACCATCATATCAGAGGAGGCTGGCTGGTAAAAGCGACTGCTGATCAGAGTATTCTGCGGTGGACTAACATCCTGCAACATACGTTTGCTGTAGCTTGGATATGTGAATGTTACTGACGAGATGGTCAAATGGTCAATGAACGTCGGTAGTGGATGCTCTGCAACGCTTGATGCCCATATTGTGGTGGCAAAGAATGTCAAGTTGGCAAGCTGAACGTAGCTACAGTTGGTGAAGTTCAGAGCATACGTCGACACTTTGCCCGTGATCTTGTGCTCATAAGGACCTCGTCCGTCTCCAGGGATGAAGTACGCCATCCCTTCAGTCTTGTTATAGAGCCACTCTGTTGGCGTGTCGAGGAAATACAGCTTACCCTCAAGGTAGTATCGGTTGAGAAACGGTTCATCGTGATACTGCCCGGTGGCGTTGTACGTGAATGAGTTGTAACCGTTCTCATGGCTCAGCACTATTGCCGGGTAAGTGTCCCAGCTACCGGTGTTAAGGATTGCCACCGCTCCAGTTATGTCCGCTGTTGATGGAACTGTGCATGCACACATGCACAAATACACACATACACACACACATATATATACACGCACACACGCACACACACACACACACACACACACACACACACACACACACACACACACACACACACACACACACACACACACATTTTCATTTTCATATGGGCTTTGGTAAGGCCACAGCGTGCATGTTAAAGGGGAAGTTAAGGCACAAATTAAAATTTCACCAGTTGTAGTCTTCGGGGTGCTGAGTCGAATGGTCTTGGTCCGAGAAAGCTGAGACGCTCCCTTCCTACTTGAATCCCAATCGAACTCGCGCACTTCCACCGAAACTGGGTGACTGCGCCCTACTAGATGGGGATTTGTATGCAAAATGTCACTAAAAGCGCCATTTCATTCTTATAAAAGCACGGATGACCGCGATTGGCCCATATGTTGTAGTCTTTTGGACGCTGAGTCGACTGGTTTTGGTCCGAAAAGGCTGCGATGCAGCGTTCCTCCTTTATTCCCAATCGAACATGGTTGAACAAGCGGTCACGTGCTCCTGCGTACACCAGTCACCTGGTCACCGTGCCTGCAGGGTACAACTTACTAGCCTGTTTGACCTTTTTTGGGTGCAGTCCTGTCACTCGAGTTGAACTCGAGTTGAACCTTGGTGTGAAAGTTGTCGCCTGCTGACGTGGTGACCAGGTGATTTGGGCACCCAGGAGCACGTGACCACTTGTTCAACCATGTTCGATTGGGAATAAAGGAGGAACGCTGCATCGCAGCCTTTTCGGACCAAAACCAGTCGACTCAGCGTCCAAAAGACTACAACATGTGGGCCAATCGCGGTCATCCGTGCTTTTATAAGAACGAAATGGCGCTTTTAGTGACATTTTGCATACAAATCCCCATCTAGTAGGGCGCAGTCACCCAGTTTCGGTGGAAGTGTGCGAGTTCGATTGGGATTCAAGTAGGAAGGGAGCGTCTCAGCTTTCTCGGACCAAGACCATTCGACTCAGCACCCCGAAGACTACAACTGGTGAAATTAATATTTTAATTTTTGCCTTAACTTCCCCTTTAACATATCCAGCCGGGGCTATTGGGATCCACAAATCTGTCCCTGCAAGCATATAAACGCTTCTGTAGGTACAAGAATGAGGGCTTACAGTAAAACCGGCTGTCGTCATTCACCATAATACCCGCTGTTGAGTTACTGGTATTGGCTGAATGTGCCCAGTAGCTGGCGTTGAATACACTCAAGTCACTCCACAGTGCATTGGGCCATCTGGCATTCGTCTGCATCACATCATCCACAAACATTTGCCAGAAATCCGTCTGAGCTTTAGCCGCGTAGATCATACTGTGCAGTGCATAAACATTCCAGTCATCAATGCTGGCTGTCACTGGGACCGTCCCATCTAGCAGAACTTTAGATTCGTCTCCAGGGGCCGCTGCAATCACGAATGGTTTCTCCTCCGTTCCATGCAGACCTCTAACAGGCAGCGGTTCTCCTCGGAATGGATAGCGACCAGCATGAAGTCTGCATTCATCACCTGCAACTTTCAATGAAGAAATACACTCAGAAAAACTCTTCCCTCCCACAGTGCAGAGGTTTCCCTGATCAGCTATCGCTGGCTCTTGACACGAAGGGTCCGGGAAAGCATGATAAACTGTTGCCGTCGCTGAACCAGGCAAGGACACGATAACGCATAGGAGGGAGGGAAGGAGGAGGAAGGTGGCTGTTCCCAGCGGAGAGTGAGACCACATCATGTCGTCGTTGATCTTCAGTGAAATACAAACTACTAACGAATTAATGAACAGCCTGATAATGACTGGTATCGGGTGAAAGATTTCTCGCTCGCAGATCTACTCCGAGGCTTTCCGCCACCTTGACTGTCTGTAGGCAGCCAGTCAATCCCAGCACCAAATTGGGTCCAAAAGCTGTAGAGCCAGTTTACATGGTTTATGCCAGGCTCCGCGTGCTATTTTGCTTCCGAAAAAAGTTAGACGCCCCGCTAGAAATCGTGTCTTTATTCCACACCAAGGATTTGTTTCCCATACGTGTAGATGGTCTCGGGCCGTCAGGACAGTTTGCCTCCAAACTACTTCATTGAAACAAAATTAATAGTATCCAGACTAGTATAGAGTACGCAAAGCACAATGACATGACATGCATGTTGTAGACTATGGTTGACACGACACTGCATGGTGTTGTTGGCACTGTTCACGTCATCTTTCCGCCGGCAATACGCCGCATCCAGTGTTTCACATCCATTGAAACACTTCGCGGCCTTCAACACCATGTCCGTGGCGATGGCAGAAATGTGGTCTTACTCTTGGCTTCAAACACCCACCTTCCTCCTCATTCCCTCCCTCCTCTGCGTTATTGTGTCCTTGACTGGTTCAGCGACGGCAACAGTTTATCACGCTTACCCGGACCCTTCGTGTCAAGAGCCAGCTTTAGCTGACCAGGGAAACCTCTGCACTGTGGGAGGAAAGAGTTTTTCTGAATGTATTTCTTCATTGAAAGTTGCAGGTGATGAATGTAGACTTCATGCTGGTCGCTATCCATTCCGAGGAGACCCGCTGCCCGTTAGAGGTCTGCATGGAACGGAGGAGAAACCTTTCGTGATTGCAGCGGCCCCGGGAGACGAGTCTGAAGTTCTGTTGGATGGAACAGTCCCAGTGACAGTCAGCATCGATGACCGGAATGTTTATGCACCGCATAGTAACATCTATGCGGCTAAAGCTCAGACGGATTTCTGGCAAATGTTTGTGGATGATGTGATGCAGACAAATGCCAGATGGCCCAATGCACTGTGGAGTGACTTGAGTGTATTCAACGCCAGCTACTGGGCACACTCAGCCAATACCAGCAACTCCACAGCGGGTATTATGGTGGACGATGGTAGTCATGGAGAATGTAAGCAGGTTTTCGAAATGCGATATTACCTAGGAGAGTGGAGCTGAAGTCTTGCCTCTTCCTTTTCCTCCTGTCTCTTCTGTCCCCCCCCCCCCTCCCGCCCAAGGGTTGCCACTCGAAGATGATGTGTTACACCTTTGATAAAACAGGGCTGCGGCAACGGTGGCAACATGTCTTATGTTTGGATGCGCATGTGATATTTCTCAATACCAGTATCCATGGAGAGGGTATTGTAAGATGATGGACTAGGGAGACCAATAATATCAAGACTACATACGGGGGGGGGGGGGGGGGGTTATGCACCGGGGGCGTTGTACTCTTGATAATAATATAAATGCACCCGGAATGTATACCCCCTCCCCCCCCCCCCCATACACACACGAATGATGCATGCACTCCTTTCCATGTACGATGCCCCTTATACCAAGATGATGTTTCAATAGTTCCGTGTTGTACGCGTGTGCTCTCCATGCTCAGTTCCGAACGACTTGACGGGGGCGGTTGCAATCCTGAACACGGGCAGTTGGAACACGTACCCCGCAATGGTACTCAGCCATGCACCGGGATCACACTCTTTCACTTACAATGCTTCACACCAAGTGCACGATGGCCCCGGTCAAAACCGATACTTCATCGAGGGAAAGATGGAGTTCATTGACCAGCCGACAGAGTGGCTGTACAACAAGACCACCGGCATGGCATACTTCATACCCGGAGACAGACATGGACCGTACCGGCACACAGTAACGGGTAAAGTGTCGGCGTATGCACTGAACATCACTGACTGTAAGCACTTGGTGCTCGCCAATTTGACATTCTTCGCCACCACAATATGGGCGTCAAGTATTGCTGAGCAGCCAATACCGACGTACATCGATCGCTTGACCGTGTCATCGGTAAACTTCTCCTATCCCAGCTACAGCCGGAGAATGCTACAGGATGTCAGCCCGCCGCAGTGCACTCTGATCAGCAGTCATTTCTACGATCCGACGTCCTCAGATCTGATGGTGAGAGATGTGGACAAGAATCAGCTTGATAAGTGGACGGTGGAGGGAGAGCACCCTGGTCGCCATGGCAGACACTCAATCTTCAATTGCACCTGGATGTACACGGATGGTCCAGCACTGATAGTGCAGGCCAATCAGTGCAACATTACTAATAACTACTTTGCCTACAACGACTGGTCGGGCGCCGACTCGGTTGTGCGCAATGGCGGCGTTGCCACCATCAGCAATGAGAACGGACACAGTGATTACTTTGCAAGGAACACGCTGTACAGGAACGGCGCCATGACTGGCTACCAGGCACCGGTCGGCTCGACGGTAGAGTACAACCTGATCACGGGCCAGTGCTGGGGTGATATTGAACACGACGGTGCAGGTGTGCAGGTAAGACTGAGCGTTATCTCCCTGACAGGACCAGTGGAAGCAGTTTTTGATTGGTCCGGCCATACCCTACTGAGCCTTCATACAGTTTGTGTATGATTTAGAGAGTACACGATACACATGACCTCTCAGCAGTAAACACACACTGGTGGCCAAAACGTTGATCCGGCCATGGCCTGACCTACCGGACCGGTTCTGCCGGGCCTGTCACATTGTGACTCATATCCAGCAGGCAGTAGAGCAGAACTAGCTCACCCCTGTGTATGCAGCCTTTCTGATTGCTTATGCTTATCGATGTGAAACTCACAGCTAAAACTGTCCCTTTTTTGGATCATGTAATTATACTACTTCAAAGTAGGTGTCTAGGACCAGGCAGGCACAGTGGGTTGGTCAAAGACCATGATTGAGATGCGAGAGGTACCTGGTTCAAGTCCTGCCTGGGAGCGGTTTTTCCAGCCGTGCTGCTACCCACAGTCAACTGGGAACTTGTGGCCAGGCACAATAATGGGGTCGTTTTCGGCACTTGTGCCAGTGGTTGTGAGACTTGCCCACTCACCCCCACTGTTAGGCGCTGCATCTGCCGCTAGGGTTTATCGGGTGTTAGCGGCCGTCGTGAGTTCCTTCGGGAACGGATACGATAATTTACTTTTACTTTACTTTACCTGACATAGGTGACCAGCATTCCTTTCACATGCAGTCCATACTTCGGCGCCTTTCAGGTGTAATATAAATTTAGGTGCCTGGTTTCTCTACCGAAATTAAAGTTACACCGAAAAAAATAATGTGTCAGAACCGTTACAGGACATGTGGGTATTGGGCTGATGTGTGTGGATCTCCACACACTCTAGTCATGTACATCACTGTCATGTACATGTACTGTATTGCCTGACATTCAGCAACCGGACAATTCATGACTTTAACCAGGGAGTACGGTCAGACTTCGCATAACCGCACGCATCTGTTTTCCACAAAAATATCCGGAAAGGCGAGGGAACCGGATAGCCGAACACCGTTTATGTTGGATGCATCAAGTATGCTGTAAATATGTAACCAGCTATTTTCTTCCGGATGGCGAGGGATCCGGATAAAAGAGGACCGGATAAGCGAGGTTTGACTGTAGTAAATACCATAATAATTATTCATATTGATGTGCTGCTCTTCTATTGTGCATATCCAGTTGCATCCCGAATGCCAGGCTAACACAACATTGGCAAACAACTGGGCTCATGACTCGTTGAAGTACGGGCTGCGCTTGGATGGTCAGCCACCGCACACAGGCTCTCATGCCAGAATGACTGGAAATGTGGCGTGGAACAGTGGCGGACTAATGGTCAAGGGAGACTACCATACGGTCAACTACAACCTAGCATTTGACCTGCGCAAGGAAAGCCACAGTGCAGTCGAGAGACAGAACTGCAGTATCTGTGTGTTGGAGTATGTCGGAACAAATCCCGTTCCTGTGAACTCGCACACAACAACAGTCCACAATGTTGCAGATTTTATCAACGGTGGTACGGGAAATGGTGGACACAGTAAAGTGACAAAGGTTGAGCCTCTGCCCGGCCTTCCATCTGATAATGTCCAAACAAATGTTCGAGAAGAGGTAATGGATGTCGAAAATCTCGATTTCCGTCCTCGCAAGAACTCAACCTTTCTCAAGTATGGCGGTGTCGGTCCCTATGTTCCTACAGGAGATCGCTGGACACAGTACTGGATTCCAGGTCGGCAGTCCTACAAAGCTAGCACCCCAATACCACCAGACGGTAGTGCTACCGTCAAAACTGATCGTGACTCTGTGATGTGGCTGATTGCACTGAATGCACAGGCCAGTCGGGTGACATTCTTAGCATCCTGTAATGCTTCATTGCACTCACACCCGAAGGAAGACAGACAAGAATGGAATAACATTGGTCATGAGCCCAGACCTACAGAAGATCATCTATGGTCGAGCAGTCCAATTCCATTACCGGAGAATGTCTACTATCTACCGACAAGTTTGAAACCCAGGACAAAGTATTGCTGGAAAGTTGACACAATAATGCCTGAAGGTACTATTGTTCCCGGTGATGTGTGGTCATTCACTACCAAGTGACACTGGTTAGGTGGTATGAGAGAACAGACTATGTAACGTAGCCTGCAATAGTTACTGAGCTTTGTTGATATTTATTTCTCTGGAATAATATTCATTTGAGGCTCTCGGCTTGACATCGTGGTGAAGCATTCCAAGTCTAATGGTTGGAGACTCCTCGACTACTATAACCTGGAAAGTCTAACGTTTTAACGACCAATTTTTTTTTCGTTATTTGAAGAAACGTTATTCTCGAACCCGGTTTGAGATGTCTGTGTAAAGATGCGCATACGGATGGGTGGCCAGGTAGCCATCGTTATACTTCTGCACGTTATCGTGCCGAAATTACAAAAACATTGAACTCTTTGGTCGTTAAACTTTCCGGTGTTTACAGTAGTTTGTTAGGCTGGAATGATTCCACGGAAGTTTCTGTAGGATTCATTCCCAAATTTTGCTTTGCCAAGATGATTCACTGGTGATACATGTACTTCGAAGTATTTGTTTTTCCGATCAATCAAACTTGTGAGGTTTTATTGGTCGAGTTTTGAAGGGTAGTAGTAGTATTTATTCATATTTCTCTAGGGCAGTCCCCACAGACCTATGGTCTCCTTACGGGGTACCCTAGCCAATCTAGGATTGCGATACGAAATTGACTTGGTGAAGCAGCAAGGCGGACCGATGCGGGGTCTATCTGAAAGGTCAAACATATTCACCAAAGTACCATCAAGATGAGCTATAGCTGCATGCTACACATGGCGCACACCATTGCAGAGCCGGTCACAACAAAGCAATAGTCAACCCACCTTTAAAGACAGTTTGAACCGGAAACCCCCTGCAGCTGTATCCACAACGGCAGGCTCAACAACAAAAGAATACTGCACTGTTATGTCGGTGCCGCGATATGCCACATCACATAGCAACTAGACGCGAAAAGTCACCATTGAAGTACATACTTACCTGGAATCTCATGAGCTCAGACAATCCAATGTCTAATGTGAGGTTCAGTGGAGAGTGAAAGATCGTGCCCAAGCCTACCACAACATCAGGGAGCGTTGCGCCCTCTACACCAATGAAACCTTCCTCATGGTCCAGACACTATGATCAACATTTATACCTCGACAAGCTCCCAGAACTCGTCTCTGTCATATCGGCCTCGGCAGCTGACGGGTTCTCCCGGGCTGTACGACAAACTTCCCCGGGTTGTACGACGAACTAACTACTCTGCCGGTACTAGTTTACATGTTGGGTGAACGTGTTCCCCTCATGAGCGCGCGTTTGTACGGCAGTTGTCTTTTGTATCTACTTGTCACTTTTATCAATGCATGGGCCGCGGGATGTTGTATCTGCTAACTGTCTTATCGTATACGCTGGCTGTTTAGTTAATTCATAATTAATACGCATTTCTCCTTGTCTTCTCCCATTGGTCAATTCTGCATAGCAACAAGCTCTCTATGGTCTGATTGGTTGGGTTTTCCCGCCTTTGCTACTCCTTTGTCTAACTCGATCCTTTTTGTTATCATATAACCCCTGCTGCTTCTGATCAAAAGTACCAACCTTCCTTCGACCTTCACTCTTGAATCGAGCTGGAATCATAGTGACTCTCAACCTTATTCGAATGACCAAGGTGAGCGTGTGTGGCTGAATGGATACTTGGATCAACTATATTGGTTGATGACCTGGTGGGGTTACTACGGCAATGCGAATGTATATGTTGTAGCCTTGAGATCGGTATTGTGTATGTCCGGCACGACATATTTGGTGCTGTGACCAGGATCCAAGTTCTGTTCTTCTGTAGGCGATTGCTTACGGAAGGCCTCCACAAGCTGGAATGTTTGGTTGATGTCAGATGGGCTGTTGTCTAAACCGAACAGATCGAATGATTTGACGGCCGGGCAGCAAACAATGATCGTAATGTAGAGCGATTGCTCTTTGTTGAAGGCAGAGTTGCCTATTTTGAGAGGATGTGGCTAGGCGAGAGTGTTGACAGAACTGCCAACACTCTCGCGCATGCGGGTTGAACTGGCGCGCGGACTGGTGATCGGTTGATCACCGTACCGTACTACAGATTTGTAGTTTGATGATGAGCTATATGAGGAGGGTTGAACTGGCGCGGACTGGTGATCGGTTGAACACCATACCGTACTACAGACCAGTTTGACCATGATTTTTGCTGACCCGTACGCGAATGGTGTGATCCGATGACGACTGTAGTACATACGAACGTATGTACTGTGCAGTACTTGTGACCTGAACAGCTCTCATTGGTCGGAGGACTACCGTACGAAGTAGCAAGTGGGGAATATAAGGCGCAACTGGGCAAGGAAAAGGTATCACAGTCTTGCGATTGCAAAAGACAAAGATATCCTGTTGAGAGCGAACGCACTCGATTTTCTGATTATCATGGCTCACAATCAGGCTCCGGATGCAGCAGCGAACGCTGCTGTAGGGGGTGCCAATGGTGGGGCGATGGTGGTACGGCCGGCAGTGATGCCTGAAGCATATGATGGCGTGGGGGATTGGGTGGAGTACTTGCAGTACTTCAACCAATGTGCTCGTGTGAACGAGTGGAATGACGTGCAAAAGGCTCAATACTTAGCCGTACGGCTAAGAGGGGCTGCACAAAAATTTGTTGCGACTGTACCTGAAGCCCGCCGAATGGAGTGGCCTCAGGTCGTAGAGGACTTGTCGAGGAGGTTTGCACCACCAGAGACAGCCCGCCAATATAAGTCGCAATTTAGAACGCGAAGGCGCAAGCCTGAGGAAGACGTCAGTCGATTGGCTGACGACTTGCGTAGTCTTGTACACAGGGCTTACCCGACCATGGGTGGAGACGTACAAGAAGAGTTGGTGCGGGATCAGCTCATTGATTCCATGACTCCTGACAGGTTGCGATTGCGCTTACAGGAAAATGCACCACGAACGGTGCAGGAAACGATCGAGATGGCTAACCATCTGGAGAGGGTGTGGGGGAACGAGGGCACGCACGGCCGAATGGACGATGCGTATGGCGTACCACGTCAATTGGTGACGGCTGCGGTTGCACCGTCAGAGCTCCCTACGTTGGAGTCGTTGGCAAAGTTGGTGGAGAAGCTTAGTGATCAGGTGGACAGGATTGCCCACCCTCCTAGGCCGAACCAACAATTCAGGAGAGGGGACCAAGTGGACAGAGTTGACCACTATAGGCCTGAACAATCGAGGGGTTTGACTTGCTGGTTCTGTGGCCGAATGGGACACAGAAGAGCTGACTGTCCAGACTTGATGAAACCCGGAAGGGAGTACCAATCTCGCCGACCGGCGGGAAACGGGCATTGATCGAGACGGCGGGCCGCGTCTGCGATCAAGAAACTGTGCTGGGTCCAGAAACTGAGGCGATTGTCTCGGATGCTCTAGAGAATGACTCTGAAGTGGTCGCTGCCTTGAGCAGGGCAGCAGAAAGCCACGGAGGTATGATGATTGAGGGAAGGATTAATGGGCTGCCAGTAGAGTTACTGGTAGATACGGGTTCCTCAGTAAGTCTAATTTCTGAGACCCTCTCGCAGCAGTTGGGCTACATGTTGGGCGACCTGGAACCACCAGAGAAGTCGACTGGCTTCTGCGGTGCGGATGGTCAGAGGTTGCATGTGTGTGGCACGGTCGCTGCATGTTTGGCAATACAGGATGCTATTTGTGTCCATGAGATGAAGGTGATTCGAGGGTTGCGGTATCATTGCCTGATTGGGAGGGATGTACTATCGCAGATACCTTGCGAGATCACGTCGAATGATGGGAAATTGAACTTCAAGGCTGATAAGGCTGAAGTTTCAACGGTGGGAACATCACAACGCTGCCATAATCTTCGATTGAAGAATAGGGTAGTTATACCTCCATACTGTGAGATGACGGTGGCTGCCGTTATCGAGAACTAGGAGGATGTTCCTTCATGTGGCATCACCGAACCAGACGGCTGTCTGATCGATGGTGGGGATGTTTTGTTGGCACGAGCGGTTGTTTGTCCAACAGATGAAGGTGTACCCGTTCGGGTATTGAACTGCTCAGAGGAGTCAGTATCTTTAGGAAGAGGTGCCCGAGTGGGACAGCTGCTACCTATTTCAGCCGTGATGAGTGTCATGGGCGAAGACGAGGATGATTGCGATCATATAGGAATGGAATCCACGGGGGATTCGGGAAGTTCCGAAGACTTATGGTCGGCGCTCAACATTGGACTAGAAGGTCCTGTGAGTGGGAAGTCTGTGTCGGGGGATGACGAGCTGCAGCTCGGTTATGAACCTGGTGAGGGCACAGCGGAGGCGAACCGGGAGACGTCTCGTGTTCAGCCTGGTGGGCAAGGGTCAATTGGGAATGAGGAATTGGCACGCTTGCGTGATCTCGTCTGTCGCTACCGGAGGGTATTCGCGATGAACTCTGCTGAATTGGGTCGCACGACTGTGCAACACCACAACATTAACACCAAGGGAAGAAGTCCTATCTTCCAGGCTCCTAGGCGATTGCCTTGGAATTCAAGGGAAGCCACCCGTGAACTAGTGAAGGGCATGAAGGAACAAGGGGTAGTAGAGGATTCTACTAGTCCTTGGTCTTCGCCAATAGTGCTGGTTAAGAAGAAGGATGGCTCAACTCGATTTTGCGTTGATTATCGCAAATTGAATGCCGTTACGGAGCGGGATCCATATCCTCTCCCACGGATTGATGATACGTTGGACGCGCTGAGTGGCGCGAAGTACTTTTCCACCTTGGATTTGTGTTCCGGCTATCATCAGCTGCCTATGGCAGAAGAAGACAAGGAGAAAACGGGTTTCTCCACTCCAGATGGGCACTACCAGTTTACAGTCATGCCGTTCGGTGTGTGTAACGGTCCAAGCTCGTTCCAGAGACTTATGAGTGTTGTCTTGCGTGGGCTACAGTGGCAGATTTGCCTCGTGTATCTCGATGACGTGATTGTGTTTGCAAAGACTTTTGATGAACACTTAGAGCGGCTCGAGGCGGTGTTTGAACGGCTATTGGACGCAGGGTTGCGTCTAAAACCATCCAAATGCTTCTTGCTGCGTACGAGGGTGGATTTTCTGGGCCATGTGGTCTCGGAAGAGGGTGTGAGCACTGATGAGGCAAAGACTCACCGCGTGGCTACGTGGGAGCAGCCTACGAATGTAGCGGAAATTCGGGCATTTTTGGGGTTCTGTGGCTACTATCGAAGGTTCGTACCGAACTTCTCGGATGTTGCTAAACCCCTCACTCAGTTGACTAAACAAGGCCATGCGTTCGTATGGACCGAGGAGTGTGAAGAGGCATTTGCTACGTTGAAGAGTCGGTTGACTTCTTCACCAACCCTGGCATATCCACAATATGGACCTGATGCCCCGAGGTTCATTCTGGATGTTGACGCCAGTGGTACGGGATTGGGTGCTGTTTTGTCACAGCAAGATGAGAAGGGGGTCGAACGACCCATTGCCTTTGCTAGTCGATTGACATCTGCATCGGAACGCAGGTACGCTTCTACCAAAAGCGAATTGCTGGGTGTAGTTTGGGCGTTTAATCACTTCAGGTGTTACCTGCTCGGCAAGCGCTTCTTGGTCCGCTCGGATCACAAAGCATTGCAGCATTTGGACAACTTCAAAGAACCAGCGCCGATTGTCGCCAGGTGGTTGGAGTTCCTAAGTCAATTCGAGTATGATCTGCAATATCGAAAGGGCAAGGCTCATTCGAACGCAGATGGCTGGTCCAGACAGAAGACCAAACCTGTGATGAATGTTACAGAAGTGGCTCCTACCGTTCCTGGACCCTTGGTTCAGCGAAGGGACTGGACATATGGGACCAGCAAGCTGATCCTGACCTCAGGCAGCTTTTTGAGTGGCTAATGGATGACGGCGAGTCGGCTGACTTGACCGGAATCAGTCCGACTTTGAGGAAGTACTGGCGGGGACGCCAGCATCTTTCTGTGAAGGGCGGAGTGATTGGAAGGGAATGGGTTGAGCCTGAGATTTCAGCGCCCAACCGTTTTCAGATTTTGATCCCAGTTGATCTGCGGACTGAAATCTTGAAGGAGTATCACGATTTCCTTGGTCATGTGGGTATGAAGCGGACGATTGCCCAGCTTCGCACTCGGTTCTATTGGCATGGAATGAGTCGTGACGTTGAAGATTGGATCGGCACGTGCACGTCATGTTGTCGACGCTCCCGACCGGTTGGTCGAGGACAAGGGGCACCCTTACAGGTGTCCTGGGCGGGGTATCCCTTCGAACGTGTGGCTATGGATTTGATTCCAGGACTGCCTGAGACTTCAGGTGGAAATGGCGTCACATTTTGGTCGTTGTGGACTACTTCACGAAGTGGGTAGAGGCGTATCCGTTGAAACGGGTGGATGCAGCGACTGTTGCATCGGTATTTGTGAGCGAATTCGTGTCCAGATTTGGAGCACCGGATAGCTTGCATACGGATCAAGGTGCAAACTTTGATTCGAAACTGTTCAAGAACGTTTGCGGCTTGCTTGGTATCAAGAAAACGCGGACAACGGCTTACCATCCGTCGGGTGACGGATTGGTAGAGAGGTTTAACCAGACGTTAGAGCGATTGCTCTCACACTATGTTCAGAGAGACCAGCGTGATTGGGATGTCCAATTACCCGCAGCATTAATGGCGTATCGGGCTACCACCCAAGCCAGCACAGGGTACACGCCGGCGTATCTCCTCTTCGGCAGAGAGTTCTGTCTCCCGCAAGATGTTGCGTATGGTTTACCGCCAGCTGAACAGTTGGATGAACCTACGTATGTGCGTCAATTGCGGTCCCGTTTGGCGGATGTGCACACGATTGTGAGGCACAAGCTCGGTGCAGTGCATCGACATCAGGCGCATCTCTATGATCATAGGGCTGTGTCGGTGGAATTCGCGGAAGGAAGTCTGGTATGGCTCTTGGTACCTGCTGTTCCGGTTGGAACCAGCACCAAGTTGGCGAAATTATGGAAGGGACCGTTCAAGGTTTTGAACCGGTTGTCTGATGTTGTGTATCGCGTCCGTGATATGGGATCAGACTCGGCTACATGTCAAGTTGTGCACGTGAATCGCTTGAAGAAGTGTCGTGTACGCCCAACACATCTCGCTACGGTTGTACGCGAGGAAGCGTCAAATTCATCTCCGACAAGGAACCCGATCAGAACTGCGTCACCACAACCGAGCTCCTACACGCCTGATACCACAGACTTGTTGTATGCGGAAAGAGCAGGTGGCCGTGACGAGCAGTTTGGAGGAGTAGAGCTACTTCCCATTGATGCTGCAGTAGTACCGGCTGATGTCAACCGTCCAGTTCAAGGAGTACCGTTGCCTCCCGCTAACGCTGCAGTAGCACCGGCTGGTGTCAACCGTCCAGTTCGAAGAAGGAGACCACCCCAACGACTGGAGTACGGCTAAGGATTGCGGGACGCAATCTCCCAGAAGGCCGGGGAGATGTCATATCGGCCTCGGCAGCTGACGGGTTCTCCCGGGCTGTACGACAAACTTCCCCGGGTTGTACGACGAACTAACTACTCTGCCGGTACTAGTTTACATGTTGGGTGAACGTGTTCCCCTCATGAGCGCGCGTTTGTACGGCAGTTGTCTTTTGTATCTACTTGTCACTTTTATCAATGCATGGGCCGCGGGATGTTGTATCTGCTAACTGTCTTATCGTATACGCTGGCTGTTTAGTTAATTCATAATTAATACGCATTTCTCCTTGTCTTCTCCCATTGGTCAATTCTGCATAGCAACAAGCTCTCTATGGTCTGATTGGTTGGGTTTTCCCGCCTTTGCTACTCCTTTGTCTAACTCGATCCTTTTTGTTATCATATAACCCCTGCTGCTTCTGATCAAAAGTACCAACCTTCCTTCGACCTTCACTCTTGAATCGAGCTGGAATCATAGTGACTCTCAACCTTATTCGAATGACCAAGGTGAGCGTGTGTGGCTGAATGGATACTTGGATCAACTATATTGGTTGATGACCTGGTGGGGTTACTACGGCAATGCGAATGTATATGTTGTAGCCTTGAGATCGGTATTGTGTATGTCCGGCACGACATCTCTATGTGCCGATGTTAGACTGTGCCAAGTACCTCCCCAGTCATCATGGCCGTGATTACCTAACTACTACTAGCAACTTTGCCATGATACTCGAAAGCCTCCTAAATGTGCCACCAGTAACCGACACACTCTGCACTAATACTGTAATAGCGTTATAACTTATCCCTGAAACTAACACAGTCCCACATGCACATGATGCGCACGATGTTTCTACACTGCTTATTGAATTTCAGTGCAAGACATACTACCAACCCAATACCCAAAGTACAGTATCACCATACCCAGTATGCACTAACATCCCGGCACTACCTTTTTCCTGTGTTGTATTTGAAACCGTTTTTATTTCATGGCTTGATGAGGCTCAAATAGCTAGTTGATCAGACTGACAAGCTGAAGGCTATATAGAAACTGGCTATAGATGACTAGCATATCCACCAGTATGATTATTCGATAAGTAATGACGCAATTGTGGTTGACAATCAAGCACAATTACGTCATTCCTGACTTCTTGGTACAGTTGTGCAAGGACTTACTGTAGGTGAAGGGCAGTGCTGAACAAATGGGAGATATTCTAACATTCAGAGGGACAACACGAGACTATGCCGGGTACTGGCAATAGAAACTACATACACAGTATCGGTGTAACATAACACGGTCATGGACTTGGATTTCGAGTGGGGTCTGAGCACGATGTCTGTTTGAAATGACACAAGTTGGCAATGGAACTAGGCTGAATTAAGCTGTAACTCGAAGCCGGTTTCATGGCTATCCGCCAATCCTCAGACAACAAACTATTAATTTTGAAATGACTTCTCCTGCATGATGCAGGCACAGGTCGACAGTGTTGTTTCATAACTAATATGGATGACAAGAAAAAAGCATCAGCTTGTAGATCATCGGGTATGATGATGTGAATTGTGTAACGCAGAGAAGTTTGGCCGGAAATATCCGAGCCGGCGGTGACTTCTAATATGATAAGCCTCTGGTGCACCCCTATTAGTGATGATTTTGAAAACTTACACGTATCAAGGACTGGCCCATACATGCCCAGTAATTGGCAGTGCTTGATTGTTGGCACTTTACATGCCCGCAAAATTCCAACTAATAAATTCATAGAATAACGCCGGAGAGGTCCTGTTCCAGAGCAGAAGCGGAGGCTTGATGCTGGCCCTAACAATTAGTAACGGTCTGATGTTACGCTGTCAACGGTAAACATGCACATGTGATTGTACTAAATATTTTTTTTATTATACATGGACAGTTCTGGCCACAGAAGTACGACCTCATGAATAGAGCAGCACCGTACTCAAGTGTGCAGGCCAGTGTGTGCCACGGTGGTGCTATAGGGCTGTGTAGCGCCCAGCGTTAGTTTTTCATTCGGGATTTCAATTTTTTCTGGCGAGGACTGTAGGTTACCGAGGCCCTCACTTAGTGTAAGTAAATAGTTTAGTCACATGGTAGTGAATGACCACACATCACCCGGAACAATAGTACCTCCAGGCATTAATGTGTCAACTTTCCAACAATACTTTGTCCTGGGTTTCAAACTAGTCGGTAGATAGTAGACATTCTCTGGTGATGGAATTGGACTGCTCGACCATAGATGATCTTCTGTAGGTCTGGGCTCATGACCAATGTTATTCCATTCTTGTCTGTCCTCCTTCGGGTGTGAGTGCAATGAAGCATTACAGGATGCTAAGAATGTCACCCGACTGGCCTGTGCATTCAGTGCAATCAGCCACATCATAGAGTCACGATCAGTTTTGACGGTGGTACTACCGTCTGGTGGTATTGGGGTGCTAGCTTTGTAGGACTGCCGACCTGGAATCAGGTATTGTGTCCAGCGATCTCCTGCAAGAATGTAGGGGCCGACACCACCATACTTGAAGAAAGATGAGTTCTTGTGGGGGCGGAAGTCGTAGTTGACAGCATCCAACACGCCTTCCCAAATATCAGTCTGAACGTTGGCAGATGCGAAGCCGGGAAGAGGCTCCACCTTCTTCACCTTGCTCTGGCCGCCATTACCGGTCCCGCCGTTGATGAAATCCGCGACATTGTGATCGGTCGTGGTCAATTTGTTCATGGGTCCCGGGTTGTCGCGAACATAGCCCAGGACACATATGCTGCAGTTCTGTGCCGCCACCGCGGTCTCCACGTCCTTGTACAGATCAAACGCCATGTTATGCTCAACTGTGTGATTGTCTCCCTTGACCATCAGGCCCCCGCAGTGCCACGCGACGTTATTCGACAGGGTCGCAGACGTGCCTACACGCGGCGGCTGTCCATCAAAGCGAATGCCGTACTTCACCGAGTCATGAACCCAGTTGTATGATAGGGTTGTGTGCGTCTGGTATGGAGTCTGAACCTGCAGTGTGAACAGAGACAAATAGGTAGGAAGTTCTGATTCAACGTGCATGGCAGTATATGACGTAAGCAACCTGTCCAGTACTTTCTGCATGGGCTGTGACTACCTGCCTGACCTGTTGGCTCATTGCAAATGGCCTATGTACAATGCACTTATAAAATAATTGTATGTTCATGTATAATGGTGTACATGTACCTGGTATACTTCTACACGACCTATCATACTGTCCTGTCCACAGGCACTTGGACTGGATTGTTGTTCAAAGTTGGAAAGTATGCAGTTACCTCTTCATGTTCCGACTGCTCAAGTACATGCCTACTATACACGTACTACTTGAAGAGCAGGACTGGGATCTCATCAAGGGACCCGCTGCTCAATGATGAAGCCCACACGGGTGCTTTATATACTGTAAAAGCAGAAAATTTCGGTGGTGTCATATTTTCGGTATTCCCCAAAATCGGCGGTTCGGTAGAGGGAAATTTTCGGTAAAACCAGTTCTCCAGGTAAGTGTGCTGTATACAGTATCGGTTGTACTGAAATTTTCGGTGCGTTTTATTTTCGGTAAAAATTGTCGGCACCGAAGTTACCGAAAATAAAACACCACCGAAAACTTCTGCTTTTACAGTAGTGCATTACAAAGACATGATGATCTTGACCTATGCACCATGCTTGCATGTCGGGTTTGCTTATAATTATGATTATTGTGGCTCAGCCCTGAAATTGAGGCTGGAAACATATGCCGTCCTATCAAGTTTGCACATGTACTTGTCGCGGTGACACACACACACACACATCGTTCCTACCTGTATGCCTGCGCCATCATGCTGTATGTCACCCCAGCATTGTCCTGAAATACGGTTGAATGCAATGGTGGAGGCAACAGGTGGCTGGTACCCAGTCATTGCTCCGTTCTTGTAGAGTGTATTACGTACAAACAAGTCGCCAGATCCACGTTGATTGTTTATCGTCCCCGTACCGCCGGTCGCCTTATCCTGGTCCGCGCCGGACCAATCATTGTAAGCAAAGTAGTTGTTGTTGATGTTGCAGTTCTTGCCTTGTACGTTCAGAGCCGGACCGTCCGTGTACATCCACGTACTGTTGAATATTGTGTGGAAACCATGATCTCGGTCGTCCCATTTGCCATCATGCCATTTTTCGGAATCCATGTCATCGACATCTCTCACCATCAAATCCGATGATGTCGGATCATAGAAACGGCTGCTGATTAGGGTCCACTGCGGTGGGCTGACATCACGTAGCATTCGCTTACTGTAGCTAGGGTAGCTAAAGTTCACAGAGTGTATCATCAGGTGATCAATGAAAGTTGGTGTGGGTTGTTCGCGGATGCTTGATGCCCATATTGTGGTGGCAAAGAACGTCAAGTTGGCCAGCTGAACGTAGCTGCAGTTGGTGATATTCAGAGCGTACGTCGACACTTTGCCCGTGATCTTGTGCAGATAGGGACCGCGTCCGTCTTCGGGGATCATGTACGCCATGCCGCTCGTGACGTTGTAGTACCATTCACCTGGGGTATCGACATAGTCCATCTTTCCCTCCAGGAAGTATCGGTTTTTTGATGGTGAGTCATGGTATTGGCCAGTGGCATTGTAGGTGAACGAGGCATACCCACGCTCATGGCCCAGCACCAAAGCAGGGTAGGTGTCCCAGCTGCCAGTGTTGAGCACTGCTACTGCGCCGTCCATATCATAGACAGGAACTGAAAAAAACACAAGGAGAACATGATATCACCAGTTAGACTACTGTAAGCATGTACGTCATGTATTGTGAGTGCATGCAAGCACCAACGGAAATATTTCGTTGAATCTGCCGGATCCCCTCGAGGTATGCCATTGTCAAGCTGCTTCGAAGTACGTCATGAGAAATACTCACAGCAGAGCATCACCTGGCAAAACCAAACAGCGCACCGCAGTACATGTGTATCTCTAGCAGCGTCGGAATGCATCTCTAGCCATGTAGTGTGCATTCTTCTGATTCCCATAGCAACCCTCGGCCCTTGCGTGAAGATAGTCAGAAACCCCATCAAATCACCCATACTACCATAGCTCAAGACTATGCTTCACTGCATCACCGGCTAACTGCACATGTGTTCTACTTCGAAGTAGTTCCCCCCCCCCCCCCTCTCCATACACACGACCATACACGTGTACACACATTCCCCATTCAACGCTCTACAAGCAATAACTACTGTTACTGTCACTGTTAGATGAGGCTGTGCCGGACTCACATTCCCCATGCCTGCCATCGTCCACCATAATACCCGCTGTTGAGTTACTGGTATTGGCTGATTGTGCCCAGTAGCTGGCGTTGAATACACTCAAGTCACTCCACAGTGCATTGGGCCATCTGGCATTCGTCTGCATCACATCATCTACAAACATTTGCCAGAAATCCGTCTGAGCTTTAGCCGCATAGATCATACTGTGCAGTGCATAAACATTCCAGTCATCAATGCTGGCTGTCACTGGGACTGTTCCATCCAGCAGAACTTCAGACTCGTCTCCAGGTGCCGCTGCAATCACAAAAGGTTTCTCCTCCGTTCCATGCAGACCTCTAACGGGCAGCGGGTCTCCTCGGAATGGATAGCGCCCAGCATGTAGTCTACATTCATCACCTGCAACTTTCAATGAAGAAATACATTCGGAAAAACTCTTTCCTCCCACAGTGCAGAGGTTTCCCTGGTCAACTAAAGCTGGCTTTTCACACGAAGGGTCCGGGTAAGCGTGATAAACTGTTGCCGTCGCTGTAGCAGTCAAGGATACGATGACGCAGAGGAGGGAGGGAAGGAGGAGAAGAGACTGGTGAAGGAGGGAGCATGACAATGCTGCCCCGATCGATTGCCCAGCCATCCTCTTCATGGCCCAGACATTCCCATCCCGTCTGACGGAGATTTATCTTGGACCAAGTAATAGTTCGGGTTCCTTCACTGATTTACTGCATGCTAGATCTACACTGACTCAGTGACTGTGTAGGTCCACCACAATGCACTGAGTAGGTCTACTGCATGTCTTTGCATCGTGACAGTGGGTTCAAGCCCTCCATAAAGCCATTGAGGGTGGACAGACTGTTAGTGTTAGCTGTCGACATGTCAGCTCTCGAGATAAGTCGACTCTGGTTCTTTACCATAATAATAGCGCCACCTGTTATGCGGCTCATTCTGACTGCAACCTACATGTAGATCTACATATACCGGTAATGTCATTTTGTACTTTGTAGCAAAAGCAAAAAGGCATGGCCGACACTGAGACAGCAAGAAGATCTTCGCTGTCACGAGGACGGGCTGACATGTGCATGATTCATTGATTGTAGCACGTGTGTTCGTGGTGCATGGCGTGGGAAAACAGCAGACAAACACGATAATCAGGACATCAAAGCTTGAGGATTTGTTGTCTAGTATTTATACATGTATGTCCACAATATCTGCTGCGTATGCTGTCGATCCGGATCGCGACGACCGGAAAAGCGCGGCTAGGTTCCAGAGTCCAGTGTGGGGATTTACTTCGGGAATTCCTGTCGTTGTCTTTCGGTCTTTATTCGTAGAGAACACCGCGATCTCCATGATCACTGTGAGTGTGACCAATGACTCAATGAGTAGATGTAGATCAACCCCAGTGCTTATGTCGTAGCTGTACACTACTGCAACAGGATTATTTTTTAAGCAGTCAGAGGCTACTTGTAGCTCTGACCTCCAACTCCAGGGCGGAAATCAACAGCCGGCCTTCCACTACTGTACTATCTCAGTATCTGTAGTTCCAGCTTGGAAGGTTCAAGGTCATGGACTGGTATAGCGATAGGACCTAAGCCTAAGGCTAAGTAAGAGTGGTGTCAGGGGGTTTCAGGTGTATAGTAAAACAAGGTTCACGTCCGTAGACCGTCGAGGCTATGGCCGTCAAAGCCCAAGCTAGGATTGTCATCATCCGTCACCACCACTTGAAAGTTGAAATAATAGTTTCTAGCAGTTTAATAGTTGCAGTTTGTCACATTCCAGTAGTCTACTAGTGCTGACATGTAGATCTACCATTGTGTACTGTGCAGGGACTACATAAAAATCATTGTGGTCCCTCACATGCAAGCGGAGACACAAAAATAATTATTGATCTACAACTACAAGGTCACGCTATCTACTAACTACTTACTTACTGTAACTTAGGTACCGTTCATTGATTCAAGCGTCAGCCATGTTGACGAAAATGGGGTGGTGTTCAGCCGCGCCGCTGGTGTTGGCAGTGGCTTTGCAAGCACTTTACGGGATTGGTCCATCGATGGCAACGGTTTATCACGCCTATCCGGACCCTTCGTGCCAAGAACAAGCCATAGCCAAGCAGGGAAAGCTGTGCACTGTGGGAGGAAAGAGTTTTTCCGAATGTATTTCTTCATTGAAAGTTGCAGGTGATGAATGTAGGCTACATGCAGGGCGCTATCCATTCCGAGGAGACCCGCTGCCCGTTAGAGGTCTGCATGGAACGGAGGAGAAACCTTTCGTGATCGCAGCAGCCGTTGGAGAGGAGGCCGACGTTCTGCTGGACGGTACTGTTTCTGTGGCAGCTGATAATGATTGGGACGTGTACACGTTCCACAGCCAGATCTATATGGCTCCTGCACAGATTCACTTCTGGCAAATGTTCGTGGACGGTGAGATGCAGACAGTGGCAAGATGGCCCGACGCGCTATGGAGAGATCGGAGCGTGTTCAACGCCAGTAATTGGGCGCACTCGACGAACACCAGCAACGCCACTGCTGGCATAATGGTCGATGACCGCACTCATGATTATGGTGGTAAGCCTTGACTAAGGGGTGTGGAGATACGTGTATGGTAACCACACTACATGCACTAGAATTAGAAACTGATCGTCCTCTTGTTGTTGCTCATACATGGGTCAAGTGAATGCTAAGGTACTGTTGGACATTCTGAAGCCTCAATCCTCCCAAACGCAACGCAACGGACGACAGGAACGAGTGGGGGGAAACATTTTATTATGGTAGACGCAACGCAACGCAACAACTACATTATGAGAGAGAGCTCGACTGAAGAGAGAGTCAGAGAGAGAGGCAACGCAATATAAAGGGCCTGGGTAGCTATGGCAAACATGGGTGCGCAAGTAGCTACCCAGGCCAACGGAACGAAAGGTGAGAATGACGTAGTACGGGTGCATGCAGGCCAGCTAGGGGAAAAGGGGATACTGTACGGGCGCAGGTACCTAACAGTACAGACACCTTGGGTCCTGTAAAATGGGGAAATGGATGGGTAGTCGTGTTCACTGCACAGCCCAGCGTTTTGTTGTACTACATCATCTACAATGTACATGTGAGGCCGCACAGACAGGGGGGGGGGGGGCTGGTCTGTGCCTGTTGCTGCACTTCATTCACTCACCACTGTATGAAGCTGGGAAGTGAAAGTCTTCACTAGCTGCTAGCCACCAAGCTGGAACGAGTGCTGGTGCAAAGCAGACTAGACACAATCCTGGCCGCCAGTCTCATCATCCTGTGTTCGTGTTTGTGTGTGTGTGTGTGTGTGTGTGTGTGTGTGTGTGCGTGTGCGTGTGCGTGCGTGTGTCTTGCTTCTGTGTGTATACGTGTATATGTGTGTGCATGTCTGTCTGTCTGCATTCTGTTAACTCTCAGTTCCATTCAATTCTATGGACATCATTGGGGCCGTGGTAGTGCTCAACACAGGCAGCTTTGAAACATACACATCAACTGTTATTAGCCATGAGCAGCTATACGCTACTTTCACCTACAATATCACTGAACGGGCCGGAGAACGGCACGACGATCCGTCTGATGATCGGTACTACCTTGAAGGAAACTTTGACTTTCTGGATCAGCCGTCGGAGTGGCTGTATGATAGGGTCAAAAACTTGACATACCTCATTTCTGGAGACGGCAGCTATCCTGGCATTCACAAGATCACAGGCAAAGTGTCGACATACGCTCTGAACTTCACCAATTGTAGCTACGTTCAGCTTGCCAACTTGACGTTCTTTGCCACCACAATATGGGCATCAAGCGTTGCAGAGCATCCACTACCGACGTTCATTGATCATTTGACCATCTCGTCAGTAACATTCACCTATCCTAGTACCAGCAAACGAGTGCTGCGGGATCTCAGTCCACCGCTTTCAACATTGATCAGCAGTCGCTTTTACCAGCCAGACTCCTCGGATATTATGGTGAGAAACGTGGACACTGATCTCGAGAAATGGTTTGCCGGCGGAGACGATCGAGATCATGGTTTCCACGCAGTTTACAACAGTACGTGGATGTACACGGATGGCCCTGCTCTGACCGTGCAGGGTAGACACTGCAACCTTAGCAACAACCACTTTGCTTACAATGATTGGTCTGCGGCGGACGAGATCACTGCAGACGGTGGCGTGGGTACTATAAATAACCAACGTGGATACGGCGAGTACTTTGGACACAACACTCTCTACATGAACGGTGCAAGTTCAGGCTATCGACCACCACCGCAATCCACTGTGGAGTTTAATCACATCGTTGGCCAGTGCTGGGGTGACATTCAACACGATGGTGCTGGTATTCAGGTAAGGAGAGAGTACTTGCCACTTCAAATTCAGCAGTAGCTAGTGGGTGGAATGAATGCTTTAGAACCTTTTGCGCCCGGGTACTAAATCCACGGATTCCTGCCACCGCACTTAGTAAACATTCCATCCCATCATAGTAGCCACTTCTTGGAAGCAAGTCGTTAAAATGATAATGTCACAGTTTGCGTAAGACCCAGTCAGACCCAGTTTCCACATCCATACGAACACCACCACCCAAGCAAGTCAATAATCAATTAAAAAAATCCAATAAATCAATTTATGAGTTTCTTCAGAAAATCTTCACCTGTCTGAGTATGTGCAGCAACATGTTCATGGTTATCTATGGGTTAGCTTGTGATGGGTCTCGGAGCAACCGGAATAGAGTGCTCCGAATGTAGATTTTACCGAAGTTGGCAAATTGCCAGATTTATATGTCGATCAGGGCATAATCATTTTTATAAGGAATCACTGTTTGAACTGCGCATTGATATGATACAGGTATATCATGATGTGAGAGTAGTCCCGGACTGCCTTATAATCAGTGTCCAACACAAGAACTTGTGATTACTCACTCTTGTGCACAGGTGCTGGCCACAAGCCAAGCAGGCACACACCTGTCAAACAACTGGGTGCACGACTCAGTCAAGTACGGCCTGCGCTTCGATGGCCAGCCACCCAGCATTGGCATCAATGGCTCGATGTCGGGCAACGTTGCCTGGAACTCTGGTGGCTTGGTGGTGAAGGGAGATCACCACGTTGTGCGCCACAATCTAGCATTCGACCTGCACAAAGAAACACCCGAGATGATTGCAGCGCAAAACTGCAGCCTTTGCGTTGACGGTTACGTCCGAGACAACCCAGTGCCCATCAACAAGTTCACGCTTACTGTAAATAATGCAGCCGACTTTATCAACGGCGGTACAGGCAGTGGTGGGCACAGCAAGGTCAAGAAAGTGGAACCACTGCCCGGGACAGTGTATGGCAACATCCAGACAGACGTCCGAACAGAGGTGATGGACGCTGACAACCTAGACTTTCGACCTCGCAAGAACTCATCCTTCTTCAAGTATGGTGGCGTAGGGCCGTATACACCCAGTCTGGATCACTGGAGACAGTACTGGATTCCAGGTCGGAAGGCCTACAAAGCAAGTACACCAATACCACCACACGGTAGCACTACCGTCAAAACAGATCGCGACTCTGTGATGTGGCTGATGGCTCTGCAAACACTATCTTGCCAGGTTACATTCCTGACCTCGTGCAATGTTTCATCGCACCAGCGTGATCGGGACGGAGACAATAGGCAGAACAAAATTGGTCACGAGCCCAAGTCAACGAGTGAGTATCTCTGGGTGAGTGGTGCGTTTCCACCATGGGAGAATGTCTACTACCTACCGACTAATCTGAAACCCGAGACGAAGTACTGTTGGAAAGTGGATACGTTGGTTACTGGAGGTGATATCCTTCAAGGTGACGTGTGGTCTTTCACAACTATGTAACTTGATTATGACACAACGGTAATTAGTAATTTAGTTTTGTGCGAGTAACATGCTCTATTGTTCAGAACCTGCTACAGTCGTGTAAGTTAGGGTCACTTGAGTCAACTTACTTTATGGTCCAGTCTGATGGATTCTCAAGCTAGTTTGCCGGGAATGTTTTACGTGGCGGGTGACATTCCTTTGTTATTGCAAGCACTTGCAAGCGAAAAAACACGCCAGAGGTTACATTAATTTTAGGTGTTTTACAAGGGGTAGTAAGTTAGCAACATGTCATGGAATTTATGATACGTTGAAGTACCATTATACTAGTGATGGTGTTGGGCTGCAAGACAGAGACAGAACCGGTGTGGGTGGCCCTGAGTGCGGACAACCAACGCTCGCCGTATTATCAGCTCCTCCACATACTTCGCATTGCTTTGAAGGCCTCGGGTAATATCTGTAAGGAAAGTCACTATGGTGTAAAGTACCACAGTGATCTTGTCACACACTTGTATTTTGGTGGAAATCACAATTGACGCAGTTGGATTTTTCAGCCTTGAAGAGTAGAAAACTGGAAGCATTCTCTTCAAGTAAGAAGGGAAAAATTGAATCTGGAATGTGATCGGGAGTGGTGCATGGACTATAAACTAACAAGTATAAAGTATATCTGTCAATCAAAATATTGTGTCTGTAAATAGAAGATCTACGTTCAAGAGGCTGGTTACTGTGACTGCTGCTACATTACAGGTGGCTGATAGCCTACAGCATAATGATCAAGGCCACTGTCAAGCCGATAAGGAGACTCAAGAACTCAAAATGGTACACTCTGCGGCTGAACGAAAAAAACTTTTCAAGAGAGTCCACCATAAGGACGGACACACCTGCTGAGCCTACTTGCCCTGACCAGTTATGTACTGGCTGCACAATGCTAGCGTGGCTAATACTAGAATAGTCACGGCAGGTCACATCCTGTGATTGCTCCATGCTGCGGCTGGTTGACCCTTGTAAACTCTGTTCTACCAAAACTTGTACGGGTGAATTTGAGAGCAGGGTTCATTGTCGCCCGTGTGTGCCTGTGGACGCATCCTGTTGACCAGGTACAGCTGCTCCAGGACCGTGCTACTGCCGGCTGCAGACAGCGAGAATGAGGAGTGACTGGCTAACAGGACTCGGCACCGACGCAGCAGCGCATGGTCGACGAAAACGCGCAGTTCGCCGTGCAGCGTGGACTCCAGTGACTGCGTCTTGCGGTAGTGGCCCAGCTTGTCGATGTGCAGCACTTGGCCCAGGGAACGCGTGTGTGAAAGGAACGCTGGCTGCGGCAGCTTCAGTTTTGCTTCCTCCAGGAGAGCGTCATCATCGGAAACTAGAAGCCACTTCTGTACATCTGGCCGGCACTTGTCCGAGAAGCCAGGAATGGACGTCTCGCCTCGCTTGCTTGCTACGCCACTGGATACTGCTTTGGCACACGACCAGAACGGGGCCATGTCGTGATGGCGGATTCCCTCGATCACTTGACCCGGCTGTGTGTCGGCGCCCATCTTGCCGCCGTGCCTTATGTGCAGGCATATTCCGTGCTTGGAATCCCAATCCTGCTCAACGGTCACCCTACTCACAGTTTCTGATAAAAGAGCAGACTCCTCAAACAGCCAACGGAACGCCAAGCCCATCGCGTCCGGTGGCGCGTGCTGGAATCTCAATTCTCGCCGAAGGATCCTGGCGACACAGGCCTTGGCGTGGTTTGTTGTGACACGCAGTATCTGAGGACCACTGGGATCCAGGGCCATTGCAACTAGCTTGTCACAGTCGGGTGTGTCATCCCGCTGCTGGAAGTAGCGACGCTCGGAAGATGTCAATTCCTCACTGACTTCCTGCTTGGTCAACGTGGATATTCTCCAGTCCAAGTTCCTCCCATGGCCTCTAGTAGAAGCACGGGGTGTGTAGTAGGTGTCCAGACGAGATGGCTTCTTCCAGTCGATGAAGAATGATCGGTTGGACATTAGCGCCACGTAATACAAGACAATGCTGCCGTGAAGCCTATCCGCTAGCCCGCCGCAGAACCCGCCATGCTTACAGCTGTACACTACGGAACGCAAGCCCAGCGCGACGGCCGCGCTATCATGCCAATCGTCGACGGAATTAAAAAGCCTAGTAGAAGAGGCCGCGTCAAAGTGGCCACTTCGGTGCACCTGCTGGAGTTTTGCATGACGCTTGATCAGACTCACCAGTCGCTGCCGTTCTGCCTCCCACTGTTGCCGTCGCTGGTGGCTTCGTCCATCCTCTTGAGATTGATGGGGCACTACGGGAAGCTGTTCATCATCATATCCTTCGCCATGCGGTTGGTAGAGTCCAAGAGCTGTCGGGGCACTTGTCCAATCTCCGTCGCTCTCCTCGTGCCCAGAAGGTAATGTGCCGCAGATGACAGCATTACGGCGCAGAGCCCAAAACGTCTTTGCAGGCTGTAGATCTACACGTCGGTCAGCGCAAAACCAAAAGTAGAATAAGGTCGGGATAAGGAGAGCTACAGCTGACAGCCCAACAGCAGACCTGGATCGCTCCTTCCAGCGCCGTCCTACACCGCTGGGATTCGCAACCATTAGCATGCGAGCGCGTCACACTTGCAAACATTCTACCACAAGACCGTCCACTCCTACAACTGAACAACACGTTTGCTATCTGAACCTCACTAGCTAGGCGTCGTGCAGTACGACGACGCGATGTCGAGTTTTTTTTTCCACGACGAACTCTTGTCTCACTCGCTTGGTCGTTTTGTAGCCGGCTGACTTGATTTGCACGCACATAGTCATAACGGCTTTGCGAGTGGCTGACCAGGCAGACGAAATCGTGCGACGTCCACGCGTCCGCGCTGTACCTAGGCTACAGCGTAGATTTTACGTGCGCTAGACCGCTAGTGCTGCCATGCATGCACACGCAGCTGTGAAGTGAGTGTGCATATGCGCATGCGACTCGACGTGATGTCTACCAATATAGTACCATGCGATGGTTAGTTAGTTCAACCTGGCAAGTCTTTGACATGACACGACATACAGTAACACTACACTCTACAGACAGTGTCAGGGAGAGCCGGAGTTGCACGCCACCGACAGGCGACACGAGACTCCCTGACACTCCAGTAGTACAGGTCAGCCTAGTCAGGCCAGACGATGAGTCGGCACGCGGCATTTTTGGACCTTCCGCAACTACTACTACTACTACTGAGTACTAGCAGGGAGTAGTATTTTACTACTCCCTGCTACTAGTACTACACTACAGTCTAGCGTGCTGGCAACTGAAATCCGACCCCCTGGGCGGCGCGGCTGCTACACCATGATTACAAAAAACAGAGATCGTCGTTCCCGAAGCCTGCGAAGGGGGATTCGGGGAATGAGTCCGAATGACTACTACATGTATACCATGGTATACAGACAGTCGACAGACTCAGTAGGCAAGAGTCCATAACCCCAGGTTATTATTATGGACTCTTGCTAGTACAGCTGTACACTGTACTACATGTACAGACTACATAGTCATTGTGATGTAGTACATCTTGTGTGCTCGTAGATCTACTGACTGTGGAAGGTCATCATGGTCATCCGATCAGGTCATGGCGTTCGTGGGCCACAGTCGACTAGTCATGGGGTGAATGCTTATCCGGCCTGATCGCCTACTGCGGCCTAGCGCCTGGGCTCGACGCGCTCGAGTATCCTGCGGAAAGCGCCGCATGACCCCTGTGCGTTCCTCTTCACTGACTTCAGTCTTCAGCCTTCTTGCATCGGATCTACTGAAGTACGACTCGTAGATCTACACTTGATACCTACCTCCTGATCCTCTCTCTTATCATGTACCATGTACCATGCTGATAAAGGTGACAAATTTCTGTACATGCATTTTAAAATGCATGTACAGACAGTACTGCATGCATTGCATGCCTAAGGACCTAGGGCCAGGCATTGCTCTCTGATCGACTACAGTCATTCATTGTCGCAAGTCACAGGACCTGGGCAGCGCTGTTGCAGCTCTTGTTTATTTCTGGATCGCGACGCGATGTGCCAAATCACCGCCCCCGGCTCCATCACCAGATCACTGATATCCAAATGAAATCACCGCCTCTAGCTCTATCACTGAAATAATACATGTATCCACATCACCGCCTCTAGCTCTATCGGGTGAGAGAGCTAGCTAGAGCCTAGAGGCAGTGATTGGGCAACGCGAGGTACGGATATCTAGATCCTGTAATCATGGTACATGTACAATGTAATAATTATTGTGTTCCTTCCGAAACGACAGTCGACAGCCATCATACCATGACTGATCACAAGCACAACTGTTATTTCTCGACGACAAAAAGTAATGCATTGAGTCTGTATGTACATGTAAGTCGTCTTATCTGCGTGACTAGCCCTCCGGATACTACCGACTACAGAACAGTCTAGTACTAGTCAATGTCGACTGTAGCCTAGGCGTGAAACCACAAGACACAATGACTTGATCCCAGCCTTCCCAGGCCAGGCCGGGCCAGGGGCGATGTTGCTTCCACAGCTACAAAGCGGCTACTGAGACAGACTACACAAGTACATGTCATTGTGCACAGTCTAGTATCAGTGTCTTTCTACTTGACAAACAGCTGTCCCGTGTCATCACCGTTTCACACGCGCACTGACTCCCAGCCACAGTGACACGGACATTGACATACACCGTGACACATGCATGAGGACAGATCCTTGACTCTTTGCCCAGCACTGCAGTGGTATCTACTATCACTGTACATGTATCAGTATAAAAACTAGTCATTTACTGTCATTGTATAGTATCATTATCACCTACGCTGACTATGTAACCTTCGTCATGCATCAAGGCTACATGTATGATGTACATTTTGTCCGTGTAGCTGAATGAGAACCAAAAAACTTTCTTTTTCTTTCAGTTTCACCGCAAAGTGCATGACTGGTTGCCCAGTTGAGTAGGGCACAAATGCCGGACATTGGAAATTATGAGTGCAGTCTGCAGTCTCAAACGAGCCACGTCGACACCGAATAGAACTACGAATCGAGAAGATACAAGTAGCTAGTGCAGATTGCAGCTGTGTGCAATGTCATGCACATGTACATGACACGTACAAGCTCATAGTCATACTGACGAGTGACAACTGCCAAAAACGACGCGACGTCGACGGGTATCACCATGATCACACACACGGACATGTCGCCTCGCGTGGGAAGTGTGATCTTACATAGTCAGTGACAGTGACAATTGCATTGTGTGAGTACTAGTACTACATGTAGTGCGCCGTGTGCGTCTATCTGGACTGAAGTGATGGCAGCGTG